GCGCAGGTGTCCCGAACGATTTGGCAACGTTGATTCGCAAGCACCCTGGCATTTTTCCAGACGACCTACCGGCAGGTTTGCTGCCTAGGCGAGACCACGACCACAAAATCGAGTTGGAGCCCGGCACGCAACCGACTATTCAGACTCAATGGCGGCTGACTCAATCCAAGCTGGATGAACTTTGACGCCAGTTGGACTACCTGCTCGAGAAAGGTTTCGTTCGCCCAAGCACTTCCACGTTCATAGCTCCGATCCTGTTCACCCAAAAAAAAATGGCGGGCTACGCATGTGCATTGGCTACCGCGCCTTGAATCGGGTTACCATCAAGTCCCGCTATCCTATCCCGTGTGCCAACGAACTCATCGACCAATTTCGTGGAGCCAAGTTCTTTTCGAAAATTGACCTGTGCGGAGATTACCATCAGATCCGCGTGCACTAAGCTGACTTCTACAAGACGGCGTTTCGGACCAGGTACGGGAGTCTTGGATGGTCGCAATCTGCTTCTCCGGGAACTTCAGAGTTTTCTGGGTTTTGTGAATTACGTTCGCCGGTTCACCTGAACATGGCGGGGGTAACTTCCCCTCTCACGGATCTCCTGGAGAAAGGCAAGTTTTATGAATGGGGGGGAGAGCAGCAAGTTGCGCTCCACCAGCTCAAACTTTTCCTGACTACACCTCCGGTTCTTCGGATTGCAGATCCTCACCGTCCGTTCGAGCTCATCACCGACGCTAGCGACCGGGCTGTTGGCGCAATATTGTTACAAGAATTCAGCAAGGGATTTCAACCCATTGCCTACGAGTTACGAAAGCTGAACCCGGCCGAGCGAAATTATCCTGTCCACGACAAGAGTTACTCGCCATCGTTCACGCTTTCAAGATCTGGTGCTGGTACCTGACGGGCGCTGACGTGACAGTTCGAACAGACCACAAATCGCTATAGTTCATCCGCGCCCAACCGACACTAAATCCCCGACAGATTCGCTGGCTCGATTACCTCGAGTCAAACTTCCACTACAGAGTCACCTACAAACGGGGGGTTAGCAACATCGTCGACGCCCTGACCAGCCCTTCATTCCATGCCGCCACAGTCCTAATTACCCAAGCTTATCCGCTGCTACCTGGCCTATTCACCCACGGATATAGTACCGATCCATTCTTCACCACTAACAGTCATCCCCAACTGACGGTCGAGCAAGGGGCCTATTACCTAAAATCCGATTCCAATCGGATTTGGGTTCTCGCCTACCGTACCCTACGAGAGCTACTGATACAGGAGGCACACGACTCGAAATTATCGGGTCACTACGGCATCGACAAAACTGCCAAATTACTGAGCCGTAATTATTACTGGCCCGATTTACCGACAAACGTGCAGCAGTACGTCACCTCCTACGCCACGTGTCAACGCATGAAGTCTTCACGGCTTCGACCTACGGGATTGCTGCAGCCGCTCGAGCCACCCAGCCGACCCTGGCAACAAGTGACGATGGATTTCGTCACTGGCCTGCCAGCTGGTTCAAGCGGTAACGACGCGATTCTCGTCGCCGTTGACCGGTTGACGAAGATGACCCATTTCACCGCCTGCAAAACGACAATCACTGCCGAGCAGACAGCAAAATTGTTCCTCACGAACATCGTGTGGCTACACGGCATCCCTTTGGCAATCATCAGCGATCGCGACCTACGGTTCATGTCCAGCTTCTGGACCAAAACCTGGCAGTAGTACGGCACACATCTGCATCTGTCCACGGTGTACCACCCGCAATCGGACGGTCAGAATGAGCGCACCAATCAGACGATGGAGCAGTTGATTCGCACGACGTGCACAGACCCGGCCCAATGGGAAGACTCCCTTCCCTTGATCGAGTTTGCGTACAACAACGCCCCATCAGCCACGACTACTCAGTCCCCGTTCTTCCTCAATTACGGGATGGACCCGACAACCCCTCTATCGCCACCGATAGAAAATCCGGCACCAAGGTCGCAACAGTTCGTCGAAAATCTCCGACAGTCTCAGCAAAAAGCCGCCGATGCCATCCTCAAAGCCAACCAACGGGCTAAGCAGCAAGCTGACCGACGACGCCGAGACTTAACTCTTGCCCCTAGGCAATTGGTCCTGCTCGACACCAGAAATTTGGGAATTCCCCTCCCAAATAAACTACGACCAAGATTTTGCGGCCCATTCTGCATCATCCGCATGGTGACACCCGTCACCGCCCAGCTGCAACTGCCGGACGACTGGCGAATTCATGATTCATTTCACGTCAGTCTCCTGCGACCGTTCGTCCTGAGTACAACTAATCTTGATCGTCAACACATCAATCCTAAGGTCAACCCAGTACTTGAGCCATCGAAGATTCTCGCTCATCGTGTACGAGGCCATCGGGATACAGCAGCCATTGATTTTCTTGTACGATGGTTCGATCGCACGACTGCCGAAGTTATAAGTTATAATTTAATATAGGCTTGGTAGGTTGTTACTGAACCTTTCTGTAGGGGGTACAAACCCCTCCTTGTACTCCCCTCTCTTCCTAATCCAACTCTCTTCTCTCTCGACACTCTCGTCCAGCTCCTAGCTAAACCCCGCCACCACATTCATGGCGGCCTTGTTCCTGCCTAGTATCCTAGCCTAGAGCTACTTTAACATGGTAACAGAGCAGGCCGTTTCCGGTCCTGCCTTCCAAGCTTCCGCCTCGTCCTTGTCTTACGTTTCACTTCGTACCGTGCCGCTGATGGCGGCCTTTCGTTTTCCTGCCGCCGTGGCGGCCTTGCCTTTCCGTGCCGCCGTGGCGACTTCTCTGAGATGCCGCGGCGGCTTAGTCGAGCTACAGTCGCACCTCCGCCTCGCCGCCGCGGCATTGACGTCGCGCTGTGGCGGCGTCTTTTGGCTGCCGTGGCGGCGTCATCGGGCGACATCCGGCCGCGCATCGTCAATGGTGCCGCCGGACCTGCCGCCCGCTTTGCAGCCGCCGGCGTGATTCTGGACTACGCCCCACGCCCCTCTCCCCCCCCCCCCCCCTCCCCCCTCCTTCCCCTGCTTCCCCCCCCTTCCTTGCTGCAGCCAACGACTGCCTCATGCGGGCCCTCCCCACTGCCGAGGTGACTGGACATGCCGCCGAGAGGGCGGGGGCCGCTGCACCAGCCGTTGACGTCCAAGCCGCCGCTGCCGTTGCTGTTGCCGCGGGCCGGGTGCCGCCGCACGCCGCCACCGGCGCCGCTGTCGTCAATGTCGCTGCTGCCGCCATAGCCATCCCACGGGTCGTGGGAGCTGCCCGCTTCTGGAGTCGTTGTGTCTCCTGCTGGGAATGGGGGTGCTGGGCTAGGGGGTGTGGGTGTGGGTGTGGGGGTGTGAGTGGGCTTGACACTACCAAGCCTAGGGGGTGTGTTCAAATTATATAAGTTATAATTTAATATAGGCTTGGTAGGTTGTTACTGAACCTTTCTGTAGGGGGTACAAACCCCTCCTTGTACTCCCCTCTCTTCCTAATCCAACTCTCTTCTCTCTCGACACTCTCGTCCAGCTCCTAGCTAAACCCCGCCGCCACATTCATGGCGGCCTTGTTCCTGCCTAGTATCCTAGCCTAGAGCTACTTTAACACGACGATCTTTGGGTCCTCGCAACTATGCTCGGTGAACACAAAGTCGTCCGGGACTATTTACACCGACGACGTGTCCCGGATGTGGGTAGTCTCATCCCGGAAGGGGGGGTGGTGTAAGGAAAATCCTTTTTCCTTACTGGGCTTGACTACAGCGCGTACACCATCAACTCTTGGAAGTCCAGGCTAGGCTAACTTCTTCAGTCCCGAACCACTCCTCGAACCCAAACCTCAACACACAACGCTTCCGTGGCTTTCATCAACCGAATCGCCCCAACCTTTTCGCGTGGTTCTCGTCTAGCTCTGTTCATGCCTATAAATGCCTTGGCCCTCATTTGTATGGGACACTCTTCAATCACGACTCCATTATTACACTACCTGTTATTACTCTGATTAATTCATAACAGCACTGCTGAGTGTACTGGCGTAGCGTCTCACACTGCACCCCTCACCTCTGTTTGCCAGGCAGGCACTTCCCACGGCTCAACTGGCAGGTACAACACGTGGTCGTACACATGTCCAATTGGCATGGGCTGAAATATGTCTGGTGCGTTTGTTCTGGATCACGCAATCTGAATCACAACGCTGCGCGTGCGGAGCTCTTGTGTTGGCATGCACCATTGAATCAGACTGCGTAAGCACTTGCATTGCCACATCAGTTGAATGATTTTGCGCGGGATTCCGTCAGGAACACCTGTCACTTGGCCGCGTGGCATTGGTTGACTCTCCACGGAGCCAACGATATTTCAGGGAGGAAAAGCATTGCGTGTGACGGAGGTCCCAGGGCCCACAAAGTACGCGGTGACGTGTCAGTATGGGCATTACCAGGCCACATACCTCGACTGCTTTCCGTGTGGGCTTCCCCAAATCAGGCTCGACGCGACTTGCGTGTCCCTCGCTCACTCGCGGGAGGTGTGGTTCGCAGATTCTGAACCCAGACCTCTCGGCTGTAACAGCCAAGGGCACGACAGCCAAGGAACCCAGCCTGCATAGGTCCGGCGGGGGAACACGCTGGTGGAAGCTTTGATGCCAGTTTTGCTGCGGTTCCGTACCTGCTGCCGAGCTGACGCGATAGCGAGAACTACGCCCAGACGTACCGGACCAGCCAATTCGGAACGCGGTAATCCCTATGGCGGTGTGGTTCGGCACATTCATGAGGGAAATGTGTGCTTCTGAATCTCTCCTTGCTATCCTCGTTTTCCTCGTTCATTTCTGGTTCGCTTTGCGTGTTAGAGAAGGGTCCCTCGAGGTTGAGAATGGTTCTTGGCCTTCACCACTTTTGACTACGGCGCACCAGACTGAACCGTGAAGTGTAAACAAGAAGCTGCCTGCTTGAGTTCTCCACCTCCGGCTTCGAACCATTCACTGTTTAGTGCTGAGTGCTCAGTGCTCACCATTCCAGGGCCATGATGCAAAGAACCAACATGTCTGCATCATCAGAGAGACCTGGAGTATTTAGGAAGACAGGCCGTCAGGAGGAAAACTTCCAGTTGACAAATTCTTGTAGTCAGTTTAGCTTTTCTCTCTCTGTACCAGAGTTTCTCGTCATTCTTCTAGACATTGCTCGGCCTTAACCACAACTGCTATAGGTAATCGTAGACTTCGAGACGGGCTTGTGTACAGGGTGCTTCTGGGCGGTTCTCGTCGACAAGTCAGAGCAAGCTCCCTGTGAAGCATCATAGCTTTTGCTGCGTATTTAGAGGCAGTAAGTACGGAGAGACCACTCGGCAACCCGCGTTTCCATATATTCCGTGCCGATTGCTCTTTTGGCATACCGATAGAATTCAGGCTAGGTTAGACAAGTGTAGCTCCTCTCATGTCCGTCTGCTGACCTCTATTTCCTGTCTTTCAACTGGTTTGGTCTAGGTTCGGTTCAGTTCATCATCCGCTTCCGCTCTAACCGGTCGTTTAGCACTGACCGTCTTCCCTCTTCTCCATTCCCCATTCCCCATCCTCTGCCCTCATCCCGTCCCTCTCGCAGCCATGAAGTGGGAATCTAGCCGTCCGTTGGACATCCACTCCTCGCCGTCTCGCCCTGCGCACGCGGACTCCGTGCTTGCGCTTCCCCTCTCGACTCCCCTTCTCCAGCCGCCTCCTCCCCACGTGTCCGTTGGTCGCCGAGCAGCTCACCTCGCCGAAGTCTTCACTCCGAATCAGCGGTTCGCCTCCGTTCCAGCAGTCCCGGGAGGTTCCTCTCTTCAACCGTCCGCCTTGCCTTCTATCGAGGGGAACACCAGTGGCACCAGCAGTCGCAGTCGCACCGCCACGTCATCGCTATCGTTATCACTGCCGTCCTCGACGTCGTCGTCGCCGCCGTCGCTTCCGTTCGGCGGTCCTTGCCGGGCCAAGCCTGTAGATTCAGCAGGACCAGCAGTGTTGAAGCGGGGGAAATCCGCTGGTTACAAAGAGAGGCTGTTGCCGGCGGACAGTTCTGCTGCATCGAACCCTGACTCGGAAACTGCTACAAGATCGAGTGCTTCCGGCTCGCGGCAATCAACGGTACCTCCGTCCAGTAGTGTCAGTTTCAGGGGGAGGAGTAACTCGGGCAACAGATTGGTCAGCAGGAGCGAGGAAAACGGCGATATCACTCGGCGAGACGACGGGCGCGCACAACAGGCGGTCACGGAGTGGGGGGATTCCGGGCTCTCCGCCCCTTTAGTTGCGTTCGAGCGGCGGCTGGACGAGGCGGAGGAGTGGCTAGGAGCCGCCATGACGGCGCTTGGCGCGCGCAGCCGCTCCCTCGCGCAAGCCGCCGCCACCGCGGCGAGTTTCCCGCAGGAGCGGTGGGAGAAGGCGCGCGGCCGATGGCAAGCGAAACTAAGAGTGGAAGGCGGAAGGGTGCCTGCTAGGCCACGCGGGACGCAGCGCCGGTTGGCAGTGAAAGAAACGCAGCTGCAGGAGGAGGCGGCGGGAGAGCGGAGGGTGCAGATTTCGGGAGCGGAGGGAGCGGAGGGAGCGGAGAGGGAACGGCGGGAGGGGGAGCGGGAAGGGAAGGGGGTGCGGGTGCGGGGTGGAGTTCCGGAGCAGCTGATGTGTGGCGCGTTTGCGGGAATTGTGTCGCGGACTGCCGTGGCACCGCTGGACCTGATTCGGGTAAGTCCTGGCGAATTCAGGATCCTTCCTTTGCGGGCAAGTTTTGTCCGCCTCGCCGCTGCGCAACGCGGGCTGCGGCGTGCTGTGTGTCTACGCCGTCGCTGCGTGTGCTCCTACCATGCTGAACCGTATTGCACCGGAGCGACAGGCTTTCCCCCCTCGTTTCCCTAACTGTTTCTCGTGTGCTCGCCGGCGTTTCCCCCCCATCCCCCTCCTGGTTCGCATCCCCTTAATGGTCCGCGCATTTCCTCTCCTCTTCCTTCCACCCCGCCCCCCTCCCTCCATTTTGCGCTTTCCCAGACGCATCTGATCAGCAGCAACGGCCTCCCCGGCGCGCACAAGACGGCGGGGAGCGTCTTTTCCGCAATCATGGCGAGGGACGGCTGGAAGGGCTTCTTCCGAGGTAGGCTTGCCTGCTTTGCCTTCTTTGCCCGCTGGCTCGTGTGGTTCCCCGCACCATCCGGCTGTTGAAAACCACTTCAACTCTCGTATCCCTCCATCGTCTCTTTCTCAACCCTCCCTCCTCCCTCTGTCGCCCTTCGCTCTCTTTCCTTTCTCCCCTGTTCCGGGTCTCTATTTCGCCATTTATCCCTTCCTTCCCCCCTCCTCCCTCCCCCTTCCCCCCTCCTTCCCCCCCTTCCCAGGCAACGGTGTCAACTGCCTGCGCGTGGGGCCGCACAAGGCCGTAGAGCTCTGCACCTTCGAGATGCTCAAGCGCCTCCTCTGCCGCCCGGGCCACCCGCTGCAGCACGTGGCGGCGCCGCTCTCGGGCGCGGCTGCCGGGCTCGCAGGCACGCTGCTGACGTACCCGTTAGAGCTCATCCGCACGCGCATCAGCGTGCAGCCCGAGCTGTACCGCGACCTGGGGTCTACCGTACGGAGGATCGTTCAGGAAGAGGTAGGCGGGAGGGGAGGTGAGGGGGGGGGGGGGGGGGATGGGGGGGAGTGGCAGGGTCGATGGTCGTGGTGTCTGGTTTAGAGCTGGAGCTCATTCGCACGCGCATCAGCGTGCAGCCCGAGCTGTACCGCGACTTGGGTCCACTGTTGGGAGGATAGTGCAGGAAGAGGTGGGTGGAAGGGAGGGGAGGGGTGGGATGATCTCATTGTTGCCTTGGAGGTGCATCAGTGCGTTAGTGCATGAGCGTGCAGCTTGAGCTGTGCCGAGACCTCGGGTCCACCGTCAGGAGGATGGTGGAGGAAGAGGTACCAGGAGGAAGGGATGGGAAGCAGGGTGGGTAGAGAGGGAAGGGAGGAGGGAGGGGGGTGGTGGGGAGGGTGGGGGGGATGGATGGATGGGTGACGGACGGTTTGGGGAGTGTGTAAAGTTGAGCTGGACGCAATTTGGAGGCGCGGTTAGAGATGATTAGTGCGCAGCTGGAGCTGTACAGTGTCCCGGTGTCTGGATTTTGCTGTCATAACCGGATTGTTATTTTCATGCCATGGCTTTCCCCCCGGTCCATGAATTTGCAGGGTATTTTTTTGAATTCTCAGAAATACCCTGCAATTATTTTAGAATTCTAAAAAATACCCCTCATAACCGGATTGCTATTTTCATGCCATGGCTTCCCCCCCGGTCCAGGGAGGTCGCTTACCTTACTCCCATCCTTGCGCCTCTCCCCTCATCTCCTCTCTCTCCTCTCCTCCTCTCCTTTCCTCTCTCCCTGCTTTTTCATCCCCAGTGCGCCCTGTCGTTGTACCGGGGCATAGTGCCATCACTGCTGGGCGTGGTGCCGTATGCAGCCAGCAACTACTTTGTGTACGGCGCGCCCAGGACCGCGTACAGGAAGGCCACGGGCAGGGGCCAAGTGCCCAACGAGGCCAGGCTGGTGCCTGGAGGCGTTTAGAAACTTCCACGTCCAGGGGCGTATTCTCAATCTGTTTTCCTCTCCTCTTTCTCTCCCCTCCCTCTCCCTCTCCCCCTCCCCCTCCCCCCCCCCAGGGCGCCCTCTCCCTTTACCGGGGAATAGTGCCATCACTGCTGGGCGTGGTGCCGTACGCAGCCAGCAACTACTTTGTGTACGACGCGCTCAGGACGGCATACAGGAAGGCCACTGGCAGGGACCAAGTGCCCAACGAGGTCACGCTGCTGTTTGGGGCTGCGGCTGCGTCTGCCTCCAGTGCTGTGACCTTCCCGCTTGAGGTTAGTGCCTGTAACGAGCTGTTAGACCCTGGTAGTCTGGTAGTAGACTCTGTTAGGCACTGGCAGGGACCCTGCCTGTGCTTGCCTGTGCTTGCCTGTGCTTGCCTGTGCTTGCCTGTGCTTGCGTGCGTTTGCTTGGACGCACGGCTGCTGTCGCTGCTGCTATGCTCTTATTCTGTGCTCATGGCTGTGCGGCGGCACGTTTCGGGCTAACCTGTGATCCACTGGCCGTCTTGTGCCTCCTTAGCTCCAAATGGCCCCTTAAAGGCACCCTCTCGGTCTCTTGACTTCCCAACCATCTCAACATCTCCCTTCCAGGTGGTTCGCCGGCGGCTGCAGCTAGGCGTCACAGGCACGGCAGGGCCCCAGACAGCCATTGCCATCCTCAAGGGCATCTGTGAGGCAGACGGGGTTATGGCCGTGTACCGGGGGCTGGGCACCACGTGGCTGAAGCTTCTCCCGGCTGCTGGCATCTCGTTTGTGTGCTATGAGGCGGCACGGGTGGCACTGAGGGTAGATGACGCCAGCATGGCTGGAGGGCAGGAGAGCAGTGGTTTAAGCAGCAGCAGCAGCAGCAGCAAGAGGGCGGGTGAGGAGGAGCAGGGAGATGATGGGAAAGGCTTGGAGAGGAGTGGAGAAGGCAAGTGAAGGCTGAGAGGACGGGTGGGCACCACGCGGCGCACGGTGGCGGAATAAAGTGGCTGTTGACTGTGGCTGGTGGAGGTGTGCCAGTAGGTTGCCTTGGGGGGGGAGTGGGCACAAACCACTACTTGCCGCGACAGAGGCAGGTGCTGCTGCGGATATGCCAGGGTTAACTCCTGACTCCCTGGTTGTGCTGTGTATAACACCCAAGGCTGCAGTCGGTGTGGTGTGGTGGGCCCCCTTGTGCGGGCCTGCCACGCTTTACTCTTGAGATCATGTGCATTTGTCATTATGTAGATCGCCTCTTGGCCACACTGTGTTTTCCCTGCCAGTCCTGGCCAGGGGCTTCTTGTAGCATGCTGTAAAGGGCCAGCCAGATCATGATGTTTTCTTGTCTGCTCATTTGTTCATATCAATCTTGCTGCCGAAACCGGTTAATGTACGTAGCATTGCCACCACTAAAGAAGCACACACAATCCGTTTAGAAATGAGGAACACTGATTTAGTACGTAGAGATGAAATCAAGCCTAGAAGCACACAATTACCGTTATTTCAACCAACAAACCGCAACACCTCACTTGCGTCTTCTGCTCCAGCATCATCGTCACACACCAGCTACTCTGTTCACACCTCCTCACCCTTCAGCACCAGCACTTCCCTTCCTCCTTCCTTTCCCTCGCCCATTGCCCTTCGTTTTTTTACCTTTCCCATTCCCATTAACTGAGCGGGAAGCAGCAAGCTTGTGCCAAGCACCCAAGCCACCCAAGCCACCAGGAGCAGAGTCCCCTCTGCCCCCTCCTCTAGTGCCTTCACTAGGCATACTACATGCAAAAGAATCTGGTGCTTCACTACCAGATGGCTTGGCCTCAACCCGCATCTCCTGCTCTTGCAACTGCTGCGTTTCCCCATGTAAGTTCTGCTGCTGCTGCTGCTGCTGCTGCTGATCCTTCCACTGCTGCCGCTCAACCCGTGCTTGCTGCTGATCCATGCGAGTCAGGGCGAGAGCCAAGTGGAAGTCAGCGTGTTCCTGCAGGCCCCACGGCTGCACATGCACCGGCACCTCATGCCCACAGATAGCACATCGTAGCGCCCCTGATTCCCTCACCACCACCCACTCCACCTCTTCCCCTGCTGCTGATGCATCTTCTACCGCTGCTGGCACACACTTCACTGCCGCTGGTAACACGTTTTGAGTGGCGGCTGACGCGACTCGCCCAGCCCCCCCTGGCAACATCTCGCAGTATCTCTCCCCACCACCAGCAACACCTGACGACGAGCCTCCCCCTCTGCTCCAGCACCCCTCCTCTCTGCTCCTCTCCCCACACTTCCCACGCGCTGCACCTGCTTCCCCTCCCACTGCTGCTCCTCTTCCCACAACAGCCGACGCTGCCACACCTCCTGTGTCACTGGCTGCTGTTCTCATGCTGCCGACACCACCTACATCAGCATGCCCAGCAGTTCGCCTGTCGCCTTCTCCTGCTCCTGCTGCTCCGGCTGCTCCTGTTGCTCCTACTCCTCTCGCATCTCTAGCTACGTGAGGCAATAACGAGTCTATGCAGAGCTGCTGCCGCTGCCGCCGCTGCTGGCCTTGCGGCTGCTGCTGCTGCTGCTGCGGCTGGTGCTGCTGGCGTTGCTGGAGACGCCGTTTCTTGCTTGACCTCCCCCCCCCTTCCCCACCCGAGGGCCCTGAACTCGCTTCCCCAACAGACGCTGTGTTATTGGACTCCCCTCAACTGCCCTCCACCCCAGCACGCCTTTTGCCTGAACTGCTGCTTCACCCGCCAAACGCACCACCTTGAGCTCCTCTTCCATCATCCTTGCACTGACCTTCTTCGCCTCCTTTTCCTCCTTCTCCTCCTCCTTCTCCTCCTCCTCCTTCTCCTCCTTCTCCTCCTTCTCCTCCTTCTCCTCCTTTTCCTCCTTTTCCTCCTTTTCCTCCTCCGCACATGCTTTGCTAGGAACGATTTCCGTCCTCCTATCCTCCCTCTCCTCCTTCTCCCTGCTCTCCTCCTCCCTCTCCTCCCTCTCCTCTCTCTCCTCCTCCGCCTCCTCTTCCCTCTGCTCCCTCTGCTCCCTCTGCTCCCTCTCCTCTCTCTCCTCCCTCTGCTCCCTCTGCTCCCTCTGCTCCCTCTCCCCCCTCTCCTCCCTCTCATCCCCATCGTTCCCAGCAAGCATGGCTCCAGCTGTGCTCTCACCACCGTCACTCTCCCTCTCCTCTTCCTCCCAAACCTCTGGACACACCTCTCTCCAGAAATACGCATCAGCACCACCATTCATAGCACCCTTGTCTGTACCTTGACCATCAGCACAATCCTCCCCAAAAAATCCACTCTCAACGACACCAGCACCCCCACCCCCCATGTCCGCATGGCCCCCCCTTTGCCCCACATCTATCCCCGCCCACTTCTCTTCTATCCCCTCTGCTTTCAACCATTCTCCCCCTCTGCCAATTTTCGCCCCAGCAACCACGTCAGCACTCCCACTCCTCCTGCCGCCAAGCACCTCGCTGATGGTCGCCTGTCTGCCGCTGCCACTGCTGCTGCTGCGCGGCACAAGGGCCGACATGCGCAGACCTGAGGTAGGGTAGGGGCATCCGAACAGGGTTGTGCAATCCGAAAAGGTAGAGGGAGCCGGGGGGAGGCAGGGGAAGGGGAGGGAACACGGGATGGGGGGTTTAGGGTTAGGTGGAACAAGAGCCTTGGAGCCATACCTCCTGCTGCCTTGGAGCCAGTCCTCCTGCTGTCAACATTACAAACAGACTTAGCACAAGGAGCGCTATTCGGCACAAAGAGCCACACAGTACGTAAAACGACTCAGTGCACTTCATTGAACCACCCACCCAGCAGGCGCACGGAGCCCAGCAGTTCTGGTCTTATAAGCTAGATGGCTATCGGCCAGTCACGTGCACAGGAACGCCAACTCACTGCATCACGGCCACCGCAGCACCACTTGGCACCACTCAGCACGCAGAGCCACTCCACTCACCCAGCAGGCGCACGGAGACAGGCAGCTCTGCTCGGATGAGCTTTATGACAAGGGGCCAGATCTCCTGCTGCGACCCTATGGGCTCTGGCACAGAGATGGCTCGTGTGCGCACCTGAAAGGAATGGGGTGGAGTGGTGTGGTGTGGTGTGGTGTTCGTGTGGGGGGGGAGAGAGGGGAGAGGGGAGAGGGGAGAGGGGACGCAAAGCAGAGCAGAGCAGAGCAGAGCTGAGCTGAGCTGAGCTGAGCTGCTCTGTGGTTGCGGTTGCGGTTGCGGTCGAGGTTGCGGTTGCCGTTGCGGTTGCGGTTGCGGTTGCGGTTGCGGTTGCGGTTGCGGTTGCGGTTGTGGTTGTGGTTGTGGTTGTGGTTGTACATCTCAGCTGTCTGAACTGCGACCCCACAGGCTCAGGTGCATACATGGCTTGCGTGCGCGCACGTAAGCTGCTAAACATGAATAATAGAGAAGAATGACAGATTTGAGGCGCCTCAATCTTGAGGCGCCTCAAAACATGAATAATAGAGAAGCATGACAGATTGTGCGAGCAAGAGAGTTGGGTAAAGAAGGTAGAGGAGCATGTGGGAGGGGCGGATATGTGACTGCATTGTCCATCTGTGCCCCTACGGATTCCGGCTTAGAGAAGGCCTGGGCTGATCGTTTCAAACTGCAGCATAAGAACGCAGCATGTAGACAAAGAAACATGGCAACGGGTGTGTACATGCAGATGCAAATGCACTCTAGTCACTCTACCCCATGCACGCCTAGACATGGACTGACCTCAAAAGCGGTTGTCTTCAGTTTGAGCGAGAGAGTTCGCCCTTTCATGCCATGCTGCTCTAGGTCGCCCGCCAGGGAGAAGCTCAGTTGCTCTGCATCAGAGATGCGCCAGGGAAAGAAAGGGGGGGAAGTGGAGGCAAACACGCGAGGGAAGAGGACTCCTTCTGGCTCAAATGCAGGTAAGCTACTCGGAGGGTGGGGACGGCGAGGGGGAGGGGGAGGGGGACTGGGACGGGGATGGGGGCCGGAGTGGGGACAGGGACGGGGAATGGGACCGGGTTCGGGACTGGGATGGGGATGGGGATGGGGATGGGGATGGGGATGGGGATGGGGATGGGGATGGGGATGGGGATGGGGATGGGGATGGGGATGGGGATGGAGATGGAGGGAACAAATGGGCGAAGCGAGGGGAGGAGAAGGGAAGAGAGGAGGAAAGGGGATGACGAGAGACGGTCAGAGGAGAGGAGTTGTTGAGGGTTAGGAGAAGAGAGTTAGGTTGAAGGCACCACAGGTTTTAGGAGAGAGCAACGCAAGCAGCACCAAGTAAGTAACAAAATAAGCCAATGTTACGACAAGAAGTACTAGCAACTATTAGCATACCGAGCTTGTTAAGAATGGCTGGTTCGGCAGAGAGAGAGGAGAAGGTGCGCTCGCAGCTGATGCTCTTCCGGGGCCCATCCTCCACATCCCCACTGCCGCCTATGCCCAGCGCCGCTTGCAAGAAAAACTCTGCAGGGGGGAGGACGGGTGGGAAAGATGGGTGCGAGGGTGCTGATGCTCTTCCTGGGGCCCATCCTCCACCTCCCCACGGCCGCCTATGCCCAGCGCCGCTTGCAGGAAGAACTCTGCATGCAACGGAGGGGCAGTGATGAGTGATCAAACACCAGGAAGGTATGTGTCATAAGAGCATTGAGGCGGTAGTAACGGTTGCATGACATTCACAAAGCCTTCCTGAAAGGCGCAATTTCCTCTCTCCCCCCACTGCAGCCTATGCCAACCGCTGCTTGAAGGAAGAACACTGCGGTGGTGGAGGTGAGGGGCAGGAGGGAGGGAAGGTTTTTTTACAGCCGAAACTAGTTCTTCCTGGTTTTAAGCAAAACCTACTGTTCGTTTTCAAAGCTCGAGCTCATAGTCAAAACCGCTGCCTTGCAACGTTTCAACCAGCATGGAAGTGAGGGCGCAGGAGGGAGGGAAGGTGGGAAGGTTTGAGGGTTGGAGGGTGGGAGGGTGGGAGGGTGGGTGGGTGCGACAGCAGGGGAAAAATGGGCGTGGTTGGTAATACAGCAGTCAGAGAATTGCATTTGAGAGGTGGGGAATGGTTTTGCGTGTGGGTGTGAGTGTGAACGCGAGGGTCTGTATGGGGTGAATCTCTGTGGCTTCGGCAGCGTGAAGTGAGCGCAATGACTTTTGAGTCGACTCAAAAGTGAATCTTTGTGGCTTCGGCAGCGTGAAGTGAGCGCAATGACTTTTGAGTCGACTCAAAAGTGAATCTTTGTGGCTTCGGCAGCGTGAAGTGAGCGCAATGACCTTTGAGTCGACTCAAAAGTGAATCTTTGTGGCTTCGGCAGCGTGAAGTGAGCGCAATGACTTTTGAGTTGACTCAAAAGTGAATCTTTGTGGCTTCGGCAGCGTGAAGTGAGCGCAATGACTTTTGAGTTGACTCAAAAGTGAATCTTTGTGGCTTCAGCAGCGTGAAGTGAGCGCAATGACTTTTGAGTTGACTCAAAAGTGAATCTTTGTGGCTTCGGCAGCGTGAAGTGAGCGCAATGACTTTTGAGTTGACTCAAAAGTGAATCTTTGTGGCTTCGGCAGCGTGAAGTGAGCGCATACCAGCAGAAATGGGGGAGAAGAGGGCGAGGAGAGCCCCTCTGTGTGTGATGATGTCAGCACACACTGTCACTCCCAACACATCCCGTAGCAGCCGCTCTGTCACCTTGCCCACTCCTCCTATCTGCATGCCATGCCATGCCATGCCATGCCATACCAAATCACACCACATGCCATGCCACACATAATGCAGCCAAATACATAATACCACACGGGGCAACGTGCACATACGTAAGTTTGGAGACTCAAGTACGATGCGAACTCAGAGCCAGAGAGTTAAAACACAAGAGCAGGGAGATCCTTCCATTGAAACGTCATTGAGGCATGCCGTGTGAGCATGCAGTGTGAGCATGCCGTGTGAGCATCCAGTGTGAGCATCATGCATGCGAGCAGCACCTTGCGGATGGGCAGAGAGGAGACGAAGTGCAGGATGGCATCCTGGTTAGGCGGCAGCACGTACTGCCCGTTGGGCTTGTTGATGTCCGAACACACCTGAGGGGGGGGGGGGGGAGGGGGGTTGGTGTGGGGGAAGGTGGTGGGGAAGAGCGGGAGGGGATGGCATATCAGCTCTAGGCACACATGGCTTGCTGATGCCTAACGGGCAACCCTCTGCTGCCAACGGGAATTGGATTCGTTCTCTGCCAGTCGGGTTTGTTGATGCCCCAGCACACCTGCGTCATGGGCCTTCGGGAGGGCGGGGGAGCGAAACCTGAGTGTGTGCGCAAAGCATTGTGTTCTCTCGCCTTAGCCAGCAACCTATTGACTGTGAGCGACCCCTGCTCTTCACTGCACTCATCGAGTCCTACTCCAGTGCACACAATCCCTCCCACACAACAACCCAGAAACGTGTTCTCTCGCCTTAGCCAGCAGCCTATTGACTGTGAGCGACCCGACCCCTGCTCTTCACTGCACTTATCTCTTCGAGTCCTACCTACTCCACCAGCCTTAGCCAGTGCACACAATCCCTCCCACCCACACAACAACCCAGCATCGCGTTGTTCTCTCGCCTTAGCCAGCAGCCGGTTGACTGCGCCCCTGTGCTGCAGGCGAGACCCGCATGAGAGCACGCACATGTGGAATTTGAGTCGACTGAAACCGACTCAGCCTCCCCATCCCCCCCTTTCCCCCCCCTCCCCTTCCCCCACGCATGTGCTCCCACCTTGGCCAGCATCCTGTTGGCTGCGACTCCAGCGCTGCAGATGAGACCCGTGTGAGCATGTGCATGTGAATCTTGAGTTGACTCACCACCTCACCCTTTACAGAGGAGTCATTTTTTAGAATTATAAAAGACGAGTTGACTCAACACCGCACCCCTTTCCCCCTGACTTCCCTCACACCCGCTCCCACCTTGGCCAGCATCCTGTTGGCTGCGACTCCAGCGCTGCAGGTGAGACCTGTGTGAGCGTGCACCTTGTGCCGTAGCTCCTCCGCAACCTGATGTGCGGGGGACAGGGAATGGTTGTGTATGTGGGACAGGGGAAAAAGGAGATAAGGCCACGGGCGAACAAGGGCCGCTGGTAAGGGCAGTGTGAGCATGCATTTTGTACCGCAGCTCCTCCGCCACCTGATGAGCGGGGGACAGGGAACGGTGTGCATGTGGGGCAGGGAAAGGGAGATAAGGCCACGGGCGAGAAAGGACTGCTGGTGAGGGCAATGTATTATGTGAGCATGCACCTTGTGCCGTAGCACCTCCGCCACCAGATGTGCATGGCCGGCAGCAGGGGTATAGTGTCTATGGGGGGAAAGGGAATCAGGAAGAAGCGGCAATGGGAGAAGAGAGGCGGTTAGCAAGGGCGGTACGTGTTAGCATGCACTAAGTGCTGTAGCTGTTCTGCTACCTGGTGAGTGGCGGACAGGGGAACAGTGAGTGAGGAAACGTGGCGGGGAACACACACAAAAACGAAAGCATTCACAGGAGCATCTATACGCCTTGCGAAGCATGTCCAGAGCCATGCATGCATCACAATACCGGGGGGAACTCGGGAGCAACACAACAAGTACCTACCTGGGCGGGGGTCACGTTCCTCTCTTGGCACACGGCAGTGACGTCCAGATACGCCTCATCTAGACTGCGGGCGAGGAAGTGCGGGTCGTACTGGCGGAACACTGCATGGGGTGTGTGTGGTGCACCGTGCAGGGAGTATGGGATGGGATGGGTGGGAGGGATAAAATGGGTTGAACGACGAGAAGTTCATCCAGGTACGCTTCATCTAAGGTGCGAGCGAGGAAGTGCCGGTCGTTGATTTTGTAGGGTGTTTTTGAGAATTCTAAAAAACGCTTCATCTAAGGTGCGAGCGAGGAAGTGCGGGTCGTTCGTACTTCTGGGGTTGGGAAGCCCCAAAAAGCTGTGTCTCCAAAAAGCTAACATGAAACAAAGGAAGTGGAAGAAGCAGCATATCTTTATGGGTGAGGCTGACTGGAGTAGTGCTGGCTGGAACTGGGCAGCATTGGGCGCCACAGACACACAGACACACAGACAAGAAGCAGCGGACGATGGGGAGCGAACGATCTGACAGACAGGGAGTCAGACGGCCAGGCAGCAGCACACCTTCGTGTGTGAGGCTGGAGTAGTGCTGGTACTTGGTGAAATTGGGCGCCACAAACACGCACAGACAGGAGGCAGCAGTGGAGGACGGGGAGGGAAACAGCTGACAGGGAGACAGATGGTCAGCCAGCCAGGCAGCACACCTTCGTGTGTGAGGCTGGAGTAGTGCTGGTACTTGGTGAAATTGGGCGCCACAAACACGAGGTCAGGGCACAGCTTGCGAGCGATAAAGCCAGGCATGGCTGCTCGCACTCCGTACTTGCGCGCCTGGAGGGGAAGGGCAGGGGGGGGAGGGGGGAGGGGGGGCGGAGGGGGGGGGCAGAAGCAGTGGAGAGGAGAGACGGAGGGGAAACGTGGAGATTAAAGCCAGGCATGGCTGCTTGCACTCCATACTTGCGCGCCTGGAGTGATTCGGGGGGGGGGTGTGGGAAGAAGGGAGGACGAAATGTGGCCATTATTCTTGCTTGTCCACGTACCCTTCCCCCCCCCTCTTCCTTGCGCCACCCCTTCCCTTTTCCCCCTTTCCCTTCCCACAGCCTCTTTCACTTCCCCACCTCCCCCCCTCTTACACACCTCATAGTTGGCGGTGCACAGCATCCCCATGCCCCCAACGGCCATGGGTAGGCCGCTGAGCCTCTCGTCCCCCAGCGCCTCCACGGCAGCATAGAACGCATCCATGTCCACATGCACCCACGCGCGCCCCACCTCCCTCCGCGCCTCCATCCCCGCTAGTATCCCATCCGCTTTCCGCTCTAAGGCGGTGAGCTTTTCCTGGGAAATGGCCTGCTTGGCGCGCTGCATGTGGGCGACTCTGGCGAGCAGGGCTGCCTCCTTGCGCTGCTCGTGCAGGAAGAACTTGGAGCCCCGGCTCATCTCGTACACCACGCGCTTCACATGCTCCTTGTCCACGCCTTCCATGCCTGGAGGGAGGTGGGGACGGACGGAGGGGAGGAGGAAGGGTGGGAGAAATGGGGGGGGGGGGGGGGGGGGGGGGAAGGGGGGGAGAGAGCACGGCACCGCCAGAGTTGACAAAGGGAAAGTGGGGAGTGAAGGGAGTCTGTTTGAGTCGGTTGAGTCGACAAGGCTGGTTCATATTACATCCGCCTAGCATCACACGGTTGCTTCCTGATCATGGGCCGTACGCCGTACCTACTACCTCCCTACCGAGGTGAACTTTGAGTCGACGCAAAGGTCACACGGCTCCCACGGCTCTTGATCGTGCGCCGTACCTGCTTTCGCATTCGTGAACACCGTCTCGTACGATGACCACGCCTCCTGCTGCTGCTGCTTCTCCTTCTCCGCACCGCTCGCCATCCTCTCGCCCTCCTCGCCCTCCTCGCTCTCCTCGCCCTCCTCGCCCTCCTCGCCCGCCCCGCCCTCCTCTCTCCCCCGCTCGCCTCTCCAACCCTCCTCGTTAGCAGCGGTATCAGATGGACCGCCAGCTCCTCCTGTGGTAAACGATCCGCTTTCTCCCTTCACCTGCCCTTCTTCCCTTGCACCAGCGATCGTCCATGGGCGCGCATCGCACGTCCCTGAGCTTTCACCCGGTTGTTCGTGTGATTCCCGCACCAAAGCATCCGACCTCACCAGAAAACAGGGCCCCCCACTCCCTTCGCCAGAAGGCTCCCTCTGTCCTAGACAGGGACTAATGTCATCATGCGCGCTTCGCCAGGTTTCCACTATCTCCGCGGGTTTCAAGAGCCTGCTATTTCCCGTCACGGATCGGCTGTTACTCCCTCTTTCCATCTGCTCCCCTCCGAAACCGTGCCATTCTCCCGTGTCGCCGGTAAGGTCGGTTTGGTCGATTCGGGCAATTTCGCACCGTCGATTTAACCCCAGGAAGTCGTCGCACTTCTGTCCTTCTGCCCAGTCACGAAACGTGAACTCACTCGGGTAACCAGCAAAGTGAAAATCGCCACCATCGCCTGGAACAGTGTTCGTAGACTGTTCAGGTTGTTCGCTCATATGATGTTCGCCTGTGCACGGAGCAGCACCGTCAATCTGATGGCTAAGATTCGCCATCGATAGCCTATGGCAGTTACACGCCGGGTCGACCCAGTCTAACACTAGGCAGACTCGCGTCAACACTTATTTCTAGGACATATACACAACGACTAAGGACAGAGCCTTGAGCAGGAGACGCGATTCGCGCACGGTACAGTAGCAACATTAAAGCTTTAAGGGGCCTCGATACAATGCTGGTGAGAGATATGTAGCAGGAAGAAGCAGTATGAAAGTTGAGGATATAAAAAAAGGCGTGGTGTCTTGAGCTGCATGCGTGGCAGAAAACATCAACCTACAGGTTTTCCAGGGATGGTTCATAGGGCAAGGTGTTCCTTCTCGGGAGTTGTTTGCTGCAGGTTCAGCGAAGTGCTAGATGCCTACTCGAAACCATGTAACCGTGTTATGATTGGCCTTTATCTAATTCGCGATTTGCGAATGGCCAAACGGCACAGGAAGCGGGTTGTTCGGTCGTTGGTCTGTGTGTCTGTCAAACGTGACGCTGACGCTGTTTCGGGAAGAAAATGCTGGCTGAACACATCGTTACAAGCTCATTATCAATGTAGAAATGAAATGACGTTTCTCCAACCATTCTTCACGTATACACACGTCATAATAGTTCCTTTCACTACAATAGGGTCACTCAAGCTCCGTTTATATTTGAACATTCAGCCATTCCACTATTTACAAACGGAAAATTCCTTATTTTCTGTCTCTTTAAAGGACAAGTATCCTATCACTCCAACAACCATGTCCCTACTTCTGTCCCTGACGTGGCCCCTCCTGTTGAGCCTGCTGCTGCCCCCCTGCCCGTTGGTGTAGGTCCTGCACAGGTTAGAAAGGAGCACAACGTATCAATGCTAACCCAGGCGTGCAATGCAATACCAGGCAGACAGATAGACAGGAACCATCAGTTGTGCAACTTTTAAATGTCAATTTACCTGAACAGCACGAATTGAGTCCATCTGAATAGCGTTTCTCGCCTGCTGCAGAGCTGCCAAGTCGTCCGGCATCTTTTGACCTTGCTGGCCTCCCCCTTGCTGCCCTCCCTCCTGCTGGCCCTGTTTTCCAAGACACGGGGAAAATTTCCCACCAGGCACGGAGTCACAACCCAGCACACACAAGACACCACGGAGGTTTAGGATAGAAATATGGCGTTACAGGTGTAAGGCAGTTTTAAAAAAATTGCAATCAACGCCTTTGCTGGAACTATGACCCAGGAGATGCAGTGACACGTGCGTACCTGGGTAGAGAAATGGTGGTGCTGCGGCGCCTGTCCTGGACCCCACGAGACGTGATGGTGCTCCACGTCACCACCTCCCTTATCGCTTGAGAAAGACGCCTGCCCTGATTGGCCACTAGCTCCGCTGGAATAAGAGGCGGAGTAGGAATACGAGAAACCCTGCCCCCCCTGTTGCCCCTGCTGCTGTCCTTGCTGCTGAACGCCCTGGCCTGACTGTTGCTGGCTGCTTCCCAGCATGCCGCCTGCTCCCTGCTGCTGCCACTGGGCCTGTCCCTTCCTTGGATCCATGGTAGGCCTCGAAACGATGCTGGAAGGCAACGCTGCGTTACTCGATGTGATGAAAGCAGATGCCAGCTCGCCGACTGGAGTTAGAATCTAAGAGATGGGAACTCGTCGTACCAGCTTCCGCTCATATATGCGAAACTACCTTCTCAATGAATCAAGAAAACCGCTCCCGAAATTCAGAGGCACTGCTATCTGTGTCGGTCGAGACCCTTCTTGATGATGGACGGTCCCAGCCGAGGAAAGCCTTCAAGTCCCAGTCCGCCATTTCTCCTGCATGCATTGTGGAAAAGTGGAGGTGACGCGTGGACGCCATGTGTGAGCTGCTGGGTGGGGAAACGCCGAAGTACAGTAACTAACCCACCAAGACACAAGTTGGTACCCAGTTCTGATTTTAGTTCTATGACGAAAAGTTTTACTCTTGTACTCCCAATGCGATCGTTTTGATTACGCAGATTGTGTATCACTTGGGGATGATGACATAAATACCATAAATTCCTAGGTTCATTTATCGGGGATGAGAGAGCGATAACACTATGAATACTCACCTGCTACATGCTCACATAAGTGAGTTTCTTGAAGATTGCTATGAAAAAATAAGCTTTTAACGCACACAAAAGAACCTCTCTGCCACATCAGCGTCAACGTGGATTCGAGCCCTACTCTGAGCTCGTCACACAGACCACAGCAGGGACCCCTCACCCGCAGGCTGCAGTGAGCCAGCCAATATGATAGTGTCGCCACAGGGTTCGTCTCGTCACTCTGAATCACCACCTGCCCCAAAATGGCTGACGTGGTCGGGATAAATGCCAACCCCTCACTTGCAGATATTTTCTTCGGGTACAGTAACCCCGAACCTCTAAACCCACATTTCCTCCTTCCAGAACCCCCCAGAACCTCCTAGAACTCCCCTTATTTCTGGAACTTCCCTTGTACTGCTCTGGATTTGGACCCTCTTCGGATCTCTGGGGCATATTGGATCCCTGGTTGCAGGCTTAGAACCGAACTTTGCTGGACGATTCTTCGAGATAAGAGTTGTTCTCGTTGCGTGAAGACTGCATCTTCCGTCCCACCCATCTCACCCACCGCATTGTCACCGGATCGAAGTTTTAAACTCGGATCGTCGAAGCTCCAACCAGAGGAACTACGGACCGCCATTGCGTTCCATTGCCTATTTAGTCATCGCGCGTCCTGCTGAAAGGCCTCTCATTCTCACATTCGACTCCTGAAACCGTTTCCGAGTCCATTTTTGCCCCTGATCCGTTTTCGACTTTCCATCGTCGCCGTCACCGCAATGGCTTCCCTCGTCACCGTCACCGCAGTCTCCTCCGTTAGCCTCGCGTCGCCCGCGTTTCTATCTTCGCGCCGGCCCTCTGCCGCAGCTGTCCGAAGCAAGGGCAGAGCTTTCCAGGCAGGAACTCTCTGCTATTCACGCCCCTGCTGTGTCGTCTCGTCCATTTCTCCAGTTTCTTCTTTTCCTATAACAGCAATTAGCTCCTTGTTATCTTTCCACAAAAGCATTGTCTAACTCCACTTCTATTGTTCCATTGGCTCTTTTTTCCCGTGGCATATGTTTAAGCAAAAAGCAACAATGCATTCCCCCTCGATAATGGGATTCGCCCTTCGCTCGATCACCTCGCCTCAACATCACCAATGAACTGTCCCTCTCCCCGCTGCGCACCCTGTCTCTGCCTTCCTGTCCACGTGTCACCAGTTCCGCGTCCGCGCGTCGGACGGCGAAGGCAACCCCGTCGTCGGCTCTGATGTCGCCGCTGTCGCCGCGAGAACCGGGTCCATCCTCTGCCCGGACTGCGACGGAAACGGTGAGTGCAAGATTCGAAGAAATCGCTCTCTCAAGTCTAGGGTGATTGAATTTTTGAGGGGCCTCAAAACTAGGTCGATCCTCTGTCCGACTGAGACGGAAACGGTGAGTGAACAATTCAAAGAAATCGCTCTCAAGTCTAGGGTGAGTGAGGGCGAAGCCGGCCCTAATTTCAGGGTTATCTGGAGCGGCGACTGATCGAGATCGAGAGAGAAGTGTGATTTCTTCTCTTGACGATCTGTGAGGCATTTGCGGCCCAAGCGAGAACTTGTACGGCGGCCTTTGGAAGGTGCATAGGGGAGCGTTCAGGAGTATCGTTGGAGCATTGAGCTCTTATACCGTCAGGAGTACTTTGATGCAAAGTGACGGCGTCGCATAGCTATGATGCTGGGAATGGGAATACCCGTCAGCAGGTGAAAACTCAGGGGAGAATGCGCTCGATTTCGAATTTCTCTCATTCTCTTCGAAATTCCCTCTTGCTTCGTTCCGCACCACTGCATTCCCTTCTCCCACTCCCGCACCCTCTCCTCTTCCTCCCGCCGGCGTTCAGAAGCAGTGAAATTCTCTGCAATCTCCCAACTAACGAGCCTCCCCTTTTCCCCTCCCTCCGTCCCCCGTCCCCAACCCCCAACTCCCCCCACCAATTCGCTCTTCTCTTCTCCCCCATCTGCGCGCGAGCAGGCGCGGTGCAGTGCCGGCAGTGCCAGGGCGGCGGAGTGAACCTGGAGGACCACTTCCAGGGCCGCTTCAAGAAGGGCACCGTCTGCTGGCTCTGCAGGTACGCCTGCTTCTGCTGCTGCTGCTGCTGCTGCTGCCCTGCTGGCTCGCCGCATAGTTTGAGGCAGAGGGTTCAGTTGGCTACTCCTGCAGTTACTGCAGCTGCTGCTGGTGATTCTCAAGGGAGCTTGTTCATTTATCCCTTAGTAAACTCTGTTTCTGCTCCATCTGACCAACTTCCTTTCTGCTCCCTGTTTGCCTAACATGCATCAATCTCTCTGCTGGCTCCCTCTTTTTTATGCAGAGGCAAGCGCACAGTCCTGTGTGGAAACTGCAATGGAGCAGGCTTTGTGGGTGGTTTTCTCAGCAACCAGGGAGAATGAGGGGAATCTGTACCGTGTAGTTGATCTGTTGGTCCTGGGTTATTTTTGGTCTACAAGCTCAATTGCAGTGCACGGTTCTTACCACATGTAATTCCTTTGGCGGCTTTTTATGCCAAATTCGGCGTGTCTTTAAAGATCCAGATTTGGTCGTGGATCCTTACACACTGCCGCCCCCAATTCTAAGTACCATCGCACGTTTTTTTGTAAAATATATATTTTTATGGTACTACAGGTAGATTGAGTTAACAGCAGCAGGTGCACCCCCACAGTAAGAATTGCATGCCTAAACTATCCATATGGCGCTGCTGTAGCCTCCCTCAGACGTGTAAGGTGCTGCTGCTGACCAACACCATGGGTGTACCTGTACAGTATATTCCATCCATGCTTATCATAATTTGAGCACTGCGAGGCACAGCAAGGGGGCACCTCTGTTTTCCCCCAGACCGGCTCGACATCCGGAGAAGCCCGAGGTATGGCTCTAGAGTCAGGGAAGCATCTCTACATAGGAGGACCCGTTACACCCTAAGCGGTAACAACCTGTACAGCTCACCAGCACAATGGCGAACAAGCTTCGAATCTCATCGCATCTCACATGCGCATTTCCCATCACGGGGAGAATCTCACTAAGGATGATCGGAAAAAACCAGGCAGAACCAAGAATGATGCCTCGCGCTCTTTGCTGCAGCTGCTCACTTCCGAGCCCCTGCTTTCGCCAGCGACGTCAGCCCCTTCTTGCTCCTGCTGATCGCGCCTTTCACTAGACTCATCCCCGTCTTCTTTCCCAGACCTGCCGCGAACCCACCAGAACCGGGAGCGCGCAGCGCCTCTTTATGCAGGAACGACGCGCTCCGTTTCTCGGCTCGCTCCCGCGCTTCCCGCGCCTCCTTCCCCTCCTCCGCCTCCTTCTCGAACCGCTCGCCGGTTCGGATCCGCGCCGCTTCGGTCTGGAAATCGTTGAGCATGTCCCGCGTCGCGGTTTGTAGGATTCCTTGGAGGCACCTGCGGAACATCGGGGGAGGCGCCACGGACGGCTGCACGATCTGTCGCAACACGATGCGCGACGCGACGCGCTTCGCCGCTGTCGCTAGCGCTGGCGCTGGCGACGCTGTTCCTGCCGCTGCTCCTGACGAGACGCTCGCTGGCGACTCTCCTCCTGTCGCAGTGGGTGACGCTCCCGCCGTTCTTCCCGCGGCTTCCCCGAGCGCGAACAGGTCGGGGCAACTGTAGCTAAGAACGCTGATCGGGCTTCGAGACGGGTCTTCGTTAGGACTGCTGGGGCGTTCAATGGGGCTGCTCGAGCCAGAAAGGCTTCCGGAAAGGCCGTCTTCACCACCGATCGCGGAGGCTGCGGGGACGAAGAGCGGCTCGACCTTCCAAAACCCTTGGAACTTCTTCATAAAACCAGGGCGCGTGAGCTCGTAGGACATCTGGAGTGAGGTGATAGTAAACATGACAGAAGAGGGTGACGTTAGGGAGGGTGACGTTAGGGAGGCAGGGATGCAATGGATGAAGCCGCGGCAGGGGCGACGTGACTTTTGAGTCGACTCAAAAGTCACCTCGCAGGGGCGACGAACGAAAGGAGAGGCGCACGAGCTTGAAACGCATCCGTCATGTCGACGGACGGACTGCCAGTGACTGACCGTGCGGTTGGGGCGGTCTTGGATCATGAGGACGTGCGCGGTGAAGGAGCCGGAGATCGCGGGCAGGCGCCACGCGAACGCCATGTTCATCTCCACGTGCTGCACGCCGCCCTCGTCGCGCACCACGCGCACGTCGCTCACGGACTGCGCGCGAGAGGCGGCGGGGGAGGCGGGAGAGGAGGGGGAGGAGTGGGAGGGGGAGAAGGGAGAGGTGTTGGGATAAGGTGTGAGAGCGGAATGTTCGTAACTGGGCTTTGTGATACACGAGGGGGAGGAAGCGCAGATAATTGAAGCGAGCAAAAACGAGAACAGCGGAAACAAACGAGAGAAAGAAAACGAGGAAACGATCGCTGACCTTTATATTCTTAAAGACGCGCCGATTGTGCGGGTCTTGAACAACGTTAAACACCGCATCCGGTGGCAGTGCCACGGTGGCAATGCAGTCCAGCTGGCACACCGCGCCGGAGCCCATGCTGACCTCGATCGATGGCGGCTCGTCCACCCAATCGGAATCGCGGAACCACTCCTGCAGCTGCGCCTGCATGTCGCTTTCCCATGATGAAGACGCAGTGGCGGCGGCGACGATAGCGGCAGCGGCGGCTTCCGTGGTGACGGCGCATGGCGAGTGATCTCGACCGCAACTCGCCGTCCTCTGAACACTAGCTTCTGCGGCAACGGCGTCGGCGGTGGCGGCTGTAGTAGCGGCCGACGAAGCGTCATTGGGATTGGCTGCTGCTGCTGCCGGATTGACGTTAACGCCAACGTCGAAGCTAGTCCTGACGGACCAGCCTTCGTCGGCGAACTCCGTTCCTCCGTCGCTGCTGCTGGTCGCGACGACGGACGCGTGACTTGTCCTAGGTGGGCTGAGCGAAATCGCGTGGCGGGAAACCTCCGCAATCGCCATGCTCTCGCTCTAGACTAGTCGAGCCGTGACTTTTCCGAGGATTGGAATGGCGAATAGAAAGGCCTTTGGACCACGCTTTATGCAAAGCGTCGGTTGGCTGTCTTGTACGGGAAGAAATGTGGCAGGAACGCGCGTCACGAGCTGGAACTAACGTGAGTACTCGCCCCGCGGAGACTACGGTATGCGTCGAGGGCAGACAGAGGAGTTCGTAGTAGGCAGGATAAAATTGGGCTAGAGCCAATGATGGAAGAGTTATCGGCCTGTGATGCAATGTATGAAGGCGGACGATGAGGAAATTTTAGGGTGGGGTGGCTAAAGTCGCGAATCGCGATGCGTGTTGTCGGCAGGGGTGGTTTGGGCTTCGGTGCGTGAAGATCGAGGCGCGCTATGTTGAGGACATTCGGTAGGAAAATCTGCGGCTAGTGTCGTCGTTCGAGTCGAGGCGATAGCGAAGGCGAAATCGACAAGCGAAAGCTAACTGAATCGAAGTTGACAGGCGAAGTCGATATTGGCGATGTTGTTGGTGGTGACAGGCGAAAGGGGCGTCCTGACTTCGTGGAGGCGGTCCGGGAAGTGGGTCAGGTTGCCCAATGGCCAGGGTGGGGGCGGGTGAGACCAGACAAGAGAGAGCAGACGAAGCACACGAGCAGGTGACTGGAAGTTGCTGATGCTGATGTGGAAACATGAGCGGTGATTCGGATGGTAGTGGTTTCGGGGGCCAGGGGAGGGGTGGGGTGGAGCTTCAATTGGCCACACACTTTGATTGCGTGGGAAAGAGCTGATGGCTAAAATTTCCAACATGGAACTAAGCGGCTCGAATTGAAGGGGTGCCCCATGACGTTAGCACGGAAGTTTCCTAGAGAACCCTTGAGCTTTTGTTACAAATGGTCGGTATAGAGTACAATGATTAAACTTGGTGTGCTTCCCAATTTACCAGCACATCTTAGTATGAACAAGGACAGCAACTCGCACTTCATATTGGCAGTGCTCTGGGGAAGATGGTGATTGTCACTTCCAAAAGACCCTAATAATTGAGTGGGGAGGCATGAATATCCATGTTTCTCCCTCCAGATCTTCCAGTCACTTCCCGTAGTGATTTTTTCGAAGTGTTGAAAGTGCATGATAAAATTCAGACAAATAACCGACGGTCATGAGCGTCCCGTAGTGAGTATGCTTATTCTTGTGTGGCTGGTGGTGCACATTGCAAATATATGGTTAATTCTGAAGGATGTACTACATACTTATCACGTCCCATTTCATCCTGAAGTGGTGATAAGATAGAATCTTGCCAACTTCTCAGCTTGAATGCAAACAAGGGCAACCCACGTGTCTCAGTTGCGGATTTTCCGCGTTTCGGTATCGTCGCTGAATGATCGTGAGTGAGACCAGCTAGCTCGCAGCCGTCCAGTCAGTGGAAGTTTCACGTGTACAGGGTTACCACAAAGATCCCACCACACTTTCCCCTCTTTCCGATCTCTCTCCCTGCACACGCAACTCCATCACATAAATTAGCCCCTAATTTCCCTCTGTCCTTGTACGCATTACTTGCCCACGTTATCGCTTTCCTCCGCTCCTCTTTGTCTTCCGGTCGTACAGGAAGCCACCGCGTCACTGCTGACGTGGTCTCAGGTTCAGGACCTCGCGACTTTCACGACTTTAAACCTCGCGTAGCGGGCGTTTCCCCGCGGAAAATAAGTACTTAGCGAGCTCGAAATTCACCATGGCCAACAGTCTGCTAGACTCTAGCTCCGGGGACACGGAGCCATGGGGTAATAATAATACCGCCGCGACGAACGCGGGCGTTAATGGCCCAACGGAGGGCAATGGTATTCTGGGGGGAAATAGTAGCGAAATGAGTAGCGAACACCCCGCGGTGCTAGTTAGCGGCAAAGATGCCGGGTTGAATCTGCCGCCGGAGACGGCGGAGAATCTGGTGATCCTAGAAGACCCAGGCACGGGCCACCGAGCCTACATCGTAGGCTCGGCGCACGTGTCGAAGCAGGCGGGGACGGACGTGGAGCGAGTCGTGTCGGCGGTTCAACCGGAGATACTAGCCGTTGAGGTGAGGCGCATTGCTCTTGCGTTGTTGAGTCGCCTCAAAAGCTCTTGTGCGTTGAGCTGACTTCAAAGCAGGCGTGGAGTGATTTGTGTCGGCTGGAGGTACGACTGGAAACGCATTCTGAAATGCATTCTGAAACGCATTCTGGAAAGGTAATTGGAAATGCGGGGTGTCTGTCAGGCGTTCAACGGGAAATGCTGCCCACCACACCTGCACACCTGCATCCATCCCCCTGCATTTATCCTCCTCAATCTCCTTCCCCCTTCCCCCTCTCCCCCTCCCCCTCCCCTCCCTTTCCCCCCTCCCCCACCACCCCCCACCCTCCCTTCTCTTCCCCTTCCCTCTCCCCCCAACCTCCCCTCCCAGCTCGATCGCGAGCGTCTGAAGAACATCATGGGTATTTTGGCGGGCTATTCTCGATCACCCTCTCATCCTTATCACCCTCCCCCCCTCCCCCCCCCCCCCCCCCCCCCCCCCCAGCTCGATCGCGAGCGCCTGAAGAACATCATGGCTATTTTGGCTGGCGATGGCCCCAGGGAGCCGCCCAAGACTGTCTTTAAGGTGTGATGGGAGGGATGCATTGCGCGCTGCCATGGTTTTGTTGAGACGGTTAAGGTGTGGGTCCTGCAACAGGTGTGGGCCCTGCAGGCGGAAAGCGAAGGGGTCTGCTTTTGAGTCGTGCTTTGGGGGGAGCAGCTGTGGTTGATTCGTCTCGGCAGCTTGGCCCACCATTAACGCCCATTATCGTCGTGTTCCTGCCGGGTTCCTTCCGCCTTCGTCCGCTCCGCACGCCTCCTCCCAGTCCCCCTTCGTCCCACCCCTTCTTACTCACCCCTTCTTACTCACCCCTTCTTACTCACCCCTTCTTACTCACCCCTTCTTACTCACCCCTTCTTACTCACCCCTTACTCTCCGCCCCTCCTTGTTTTGAGGCGCCTCAAGAAAATTCTTCCCCTTCTTTACACACCGAAACCCAGTGTCTCCCTGCTGGCGATGAGGACCATGCACTCAGCCAAGGTGGAAATTGGAATCTCTCTCGCTCTTCTTCAACCTCCACGGCTTTTGAACCGACTCAAGGGCCTCCTTCCCATGCACTCCTCCCCTTCCCATGCCAACCATCTCTCCTTTACTCACCCCTTCCTCCCCTTCTCTCTTTTCTCTAGGTGCTGCTGAGGACCATGCACGTTTTGAGTCGACTCAAAACATTACTCAGCCAATATGGGTCACTTTCCCTCACTTTCCCTCACCCTCCCTCGCTCTCGAACGGTCCTTCGTTGCTGGGAGATCCTGGGTACAGGCTAGGCATATAAGGTAGGTACAAGCAAGCACGATATACGAGGCAGAGCTCCTAGCCTACGGCTACTCCCTAGGGTGCTCAATCATGGCGAAGCAATCCCCCTCCCCTAGGGACATGCCCGCCTCGGGCGCGCCCAGGGGTGGCCACTCTAGTGGCGATGCCTCATTCACCTTCCCGAGGTAGGTGAGGGCTTGTCCCCGCTGGAGGGTAACTGACCAGCGCTGGCGGAACTGACTTAGCAGTTTTGCCACCTGGCAGGAGTTGGGGTCGGCGTTGAAAAGGCGGCGGGCAGCCGTGTGCGCCAGGAGTTTGAGGAAAGTTGGCACTTCGGCGCATGGGCAGCCGTATGTCTCAACCGCGAGCGGGAAGAATCCGACGTATGCCGCCCTGTGGCGGTAGTCGTCGATCTTTTTGTCTGCTTGCTCTTGGGTCATATAGCCCCGGCCCTTGCGGGCCAGCGGGTCTCGGCAGCTCACTGGGTCGGTGACGGTGACATCGCAGATCCAGACCGCCCCTGACTCCCGGTCGCGCACGGACAAGTCTGCGGTCTTGCCGTCTACCGGGTTGTATATCGCGGTCTCCTTCGTGACTATGAGCTGCGCGTTCTGCCCCATGCGAATGCACTTGTCGCGGAGGGCATTGCGGGTGTCGGTGCGGTCGTGCCCGGTCCCACAGCGGAAGAGGTGGTGTGGGAGGCGTGGGTCCTCGATCGCCACCCGCTTGTCCCACTCTCTCAAGCGGTCCGTTTAGTACTCGAACCCTGGGTACAAACTAGGCAGGCGGATGACAACCCGATCGCCACCCGCTTGTCCCACTCTCTCAAGCGGTCGTGCTCATTGATAAAAACCCGAGGACCATGTATTCGGCCCACTCTCTCTCTCTCTCTCTCTCTCTCTCTCTCTCTCTCTCTCTCTCTCTCTCTCTCTCTCTCTCTCTCTCTCTCTCTCTCTCTCTCTCTCTCTCACGGTCCTTCATTGCTGGGAGATCCTGGGTACAGGCGAGGCATATAAGGTAGGTACAAGCATGCATGGAATTCCTGGTCTTGCTCCTAGTCCCCGGCTATTCCCTGGGGTGCTCAATGACCGCGAAGCAGTCCCCAAGGGACATGCCCGCCGCAGGAGCACCCAGGGGCGGCCACTCGAGTGGTGAAGCCTCATTCACCTTCCCGAGGTAGGTGAGGGCTTGGCCCCGCTGGAGGGTGACGGACCACCGCTGGCGGAACTGACTAAGCAGTTTTGCCGCTTGGTAGGAGCTGGGGTCGGCGTTGAAGAGGCGGCGGGCGGCCGTGTGCGCCAGGAGTTTGAGGAAGGTTGGCACCTCGGCGCAAGGGCAGCCGTAGGTCTCGACCGCCAGCGGGAAGAAGCCGACATACGCTGCCCTGTGGCGGTAGTCGTGGATCTTTTTGTCAGCCTGTTCGCGGGCCATGTAACCTCGACCCTTGCGGGCCAGGGGGTCTCGAGAGCTAACTGGGTCAGTGATGGTGACGTCACAGATCCAGACCGCCCCCGAGTCCCGGTCTCGTAAAGCGAGGTCGGCGGTTTTGCCGTCAACGGGGTTGTAGATCGCAGTCTCCTTTGTGACTATGAGCTGTGCGTCCCGGCCCATGCGAATGCATTCGTCGCGGAGGGCGTTGTGGGTGTCGGTTCGGCCGTGCCCTGTCCCGCAGCGGAAGAGGTGGTTTGGGAGGCGGGGATCCTCGATTACTACCCTCTTGGCGCAGTTGCAGACTCTGGGTGCGGGGAAGGGGAGGCCCATACGGAAGGCCAGGGCTATGGCAAAATGTGGGGGTGCCAGGCGGAGCGAGGGGAAGAGGGGGATGGCGAGGAGCCAGTCGCCGGCACCGTACCCGGTGAGGGAGAGAAGTCTCTGTGTGTGGCCGCTGAGGGGATTGGGGTCCATCTCCCTTGACGCGGTCAGCTGGCTGGCGAAACGGGCGGCGTGTACCTCCAGAGCCAGGCGGTGCTGGAGCGGGTCGTCAGTGGGCTCTGCCCGTTCGGCTTGGAGGAGTTTCAAGGCTGGGGCTGGGAGGGCCGCCTCGCACTCCGCCAGCCAGGTATGTAGAGGGGTAGGGCCAGTGAAGGGGGGGGCCAGGAAGCAAGCGGCGGCTGCGAGCGGGCCGGTCGGGTCCGAGGGCAGGGAGACCTGGAGCTGGTGGGCCTGGGTGACGCTGGTAAGGAAGGCATGGGGTCCTTCCACGGTGGGGTCCGTGAGACCCAAGCCGCCGAGTGAGGGGGGCAGAGATGCTTGCTGCCAAATGCGCGACGATTCTCGTTCCCCCCTGGGGAGCTGGAGTTTGCACGCACGGAGGAGGGTGTAGAAGAGCTCTTGGCCCCACCGGGACCACTCCTCTGCGGGCAGCAGGTTGAGTGGGGTGGTGCGGGTGAGGTAGGATACCCGCCGCGAGACACAGCGGTGGAGGAGGAGGGCGGCGGACTGGGGGTCCATGGCAGCCAGGGTGGGGAGTGGGCTGGCCATGTCGGCCAGCTGCTCTCGGAGGAAGGCAGTTGTGGCCTCGGGTGGGCCGACATGGCTCCCGAGGATGCGCAGGCCATTGGCGTGGAAGGGAATGCCAGGGGGGAGGAGGGAGGCGGGGGGCTGGGAGGAGGACCAGGCCGCGCATTTGGAGGGGTTGTGCGTTAGGCCCAGGGGGCGCAGGGCTGCTGTGAGGTGCGTGAATGCCGCTGCGCACGCAGAGGGTTCCCCCAGGAGCGTGATGTCGTCGGCGTACGCCAGGCAGAGGACGCTGGGGAACGCTGCGGCCGTCGCCTGGAGTGCTGGGTGTATGGCCGCCGCGAAGAGCAGGGGCCCCATTGGGTCTCCTTGCCGTACTCCCCGGGCGCTGAGGAGCGGCCCGCTGTTGAAGCCCGCGTCGAGGTAGAGGTGGGACGGGGCGCCGTAGGAGAGCTGAACGAAGGGGAGCAGCGGTCGGAGGGGCGAGTTGTGCAGGGTTGTTGAGTCAACCAAAAGCCTATTTCCCACATTTCCTTGCTCACCCGTTTCTCCCCCCCGCCCCTTCTGATATTCCCCCAGGCGCTGAGAACCATGTATTCGGCCAAGATGGGGTCGCTCTCCCTCTTCTTCAACCTGCAGGGCAGCTTCGTTTCTGCTGTGAGTGCTGCTGCTGCTGCTGCTGTGAGTGCTGCTGCTGCTGCTGTGAGTGCTGCTGCTGGTGTGAGTGCTGCTGCTGGTGTGAGTGCTGCTGCTGGTGTGAGTGCTGCTGCTGCTGTGAGTGCTGCTGCTGCTGCTGCTGTGAGTGCTGCTGCTGCAGCTGCTGCTGCAGCTGCTGCTGCTGCTAGCTATAAAGGCCCGGTCGATTTTCCTGGCCAATGCAACACGAACACGTCTGGCTGCTTTTGCTGATCATCCCGGTCTTTTTCCTTTTTGGGTCAAATGGCCACTCAACAATATATCGTCGTCTCCCCCCCCCCCTTTCCCCCTGCCACCACTCACGGCAGCTGCTGGGAGTGCCATACGGCTACGACATGATGACAGCTGTTAAGGTGGCGGAGGACAGTGGTGTGCGTGTGGCCCTTGTTGACAGGTGCGCGGTCTGCGCCCATTCTCTTCTCTTCTCCACTCCATCCCTCCTCTCGCCTCTCTCCTCTCTCCTCTCTTCTCGTCCCTTCCACTCGCATTTCCTCCCTGCTCTCCTCCCCTCCGTTTCATTCCCCGTTTCCCAACTTTGTGCCCATCACTGATGAAGGCTCGCTAGGGTATGCCCTGCGGCCGAAACATGTTTGTTACCTGGTTACTTGGTTGTTAAGGGAAGAGCTCCGACTACTCCGAACTCAAGTTTACATAAGCACTTTTTATAGTTTACTGTTGTTCCTACTTGCTAACCCGTCTCCTGACGCCGCGCTCACTGGAAGATGTCCAAGGATCTGCTTCCACTCGCATTTCCTCCCTGCTCTCCTCCCCTCCGTTTCATTCTCCGTTTCCAAACATTGTGCCCATCTTCCCTTGACCTTGTGCAATATCATCTCGTGCATTCCCTTACGTTGTGAGAGCGGCTCTTGCTTTCCCACTCCGAATCCACCTCGAACCTCCTTATTGCGTTAACTTCACACGAGTTTCCAGGGGTCTGCAAGGAGTCTACTTTTGAGGCGCCTCAAAAATAGACTTCACACGAGTTTCCAGGGGTCTGCAGGGGGGGAAGGGAGCACCTTCTCTGGAGTGGAGACTCGTTCGTTCGTCCCCTTGCAAAGTACCGGAAAGTGCCGGAGAAGTCGTCCCCTGGAAAGCGCCATGCACCTGGATGGAAATGCACGTGAACTCTCCCGGAAACGCTTGCATACTCCCCTGCAAACATATGTGATGTGAACTCCTAGTTGACTTTTGAGTCGACTAAAAAATACTCCCCTGCAAACACATGTGATGTGAACTCCTAGTTCGCCCCGACTCCCGCCTGCCCTGCAGGTCATCCTTCCTCACGCTCGTCCGCCTCATTGACCAGACTCGCCGCATCCCCTCGTCGCCTCCCCCCATCGGTGAGCCTACGTGCACCGTGACCTCAACTCCCACGACTAGTTTACCGTTTCTCTGCCATGTCCTTTCCGTTTATCGTTTTCACCTTGCCCTTTCTTTATCCTTTCCCTGCTCTTTCTTTATCACTTTACTCTCTTTTGTACGGGACGAGCCTCGAGTGATTTTAGCAGCTTGTGCTGTGCTGCTGCGAAGGGCAGTCTTCCTTCTCCCCTCGTCGCTCCCTTCCTTCCTGAACGCCAAGGGCTTCCCGTTTTTCCCTCGTCCCTTCCTTCCTTCCGTCTCCCTTCCTCCGTCTCTCCTCCCCCTTTCTCAGACGAGCGCAGCAGGGGGGAGGGCCGCCGCAAGGCTCGATTCGATCGAGTGAGGAGGCAGAGGCAGATGGTTTAGAGGGACAGTCTTCTTTCTTTCTCCCCCTCCGTCTTTCCTTCCTCCCCCCTATTCTCTCTCACTTGCTTTCTCAGACGAGCGCAGCAGGGGCGAGGGCCGCAAGGCTCGATTCGATCGAGTGAGGAGGCAGATGGTGCAGAGGGCGAGAGACGCGGGGTGCGACGAGCCAGCAGCCACCTTCGACTCCTTCATCACTGTCCTCTCCACCGCCTTCAAAGGTGCTTGCTGCTTGCTGCTGCCTTCAAAGGTGCTTGCTGTCCCTTTAGGGGCGTGTATCTCTGGCTTCAAAGGTGCTTGCTGTCCCTTTAGGGGTGTGTATCTCTGCCTCCAAAGGTCTGCCTTGAGTCGATTCAAGAGACGAGCCAGCCGCCACCTTCGACTCCTTCATCACCGTGCTCTCCACCGCCTTCAAAGGTGCTTGCTGCTTGCCTTCAAAGGTGCTTGGTGCTTGCTGCTTGCCTTCAAAGGTGCTTGCTGCTTGCCTTCAAAGGTGCTTGCTGCTTGCCTTCAAAGGTGCTTGCTGCTTGCTGCTGCCTTCAAAGGTGCTTGCTGCTTGCCTTCAAAGGTGCTTGCTGCTTGCCTTCAAAGGTGCTTGCTGCTTGCCTTCAAAGGTGCTTGCTGCTTGCCTTCAAAGGTGCTTGCTGCTTGCCTTCAAAGGTGCTTGCTGCTTGCCTTCAAAGGTGCTTGCTGGTTCCTTCTGAGTCGACTCAAAAGTCAGAAGTTGTTTTGATTTGAGTCTGCTCGCTCTTGAGCCAGCAGCCACCTTCGACTTCTTGGTCCCTCACCAAGGAGATCCTATTTTTGAGGCGCCTCAAAAATTGGTCCCTCACCAAGGAGGTCCTATTTTTGAGGCGCCTCAAAAATTGGTCCCTCACCAAGGAGGTCCTATTTTTGAGGCGCCTCAAAAATTGGTCCCTCACCAAGGAGGTCCTATTTTTGAGGCGCCTCAAAAATTGGTCCCTCACCAAGGAGGTCCTATTTTTGAGGCGCCTCAAAAATTGGTCTCTCACCAAGGAGGTCCTATTTTTGAGGCGCCTCAAAAATTGGTCCCTCACCAAGGAGGTCCTATTTTTGAGGCGCCTCAAAAATTGGTCCCTCACCAAGGAGGTCCTATTTTTGAGGCGCCTCAAAAATTGGTCTCTCACCAAGGAGGTCCTATTTTTGAGGCGCCTCAAAAATTGGTCTCTCACCAAGGAGGTCCTATTTTTGAGGCGCCTCAAAAATTGGTCCCTCACCAAGGAGGTCCTATTTTTGAGGCGCCTCAAAAATTGGTCCCTCACCAAGGAGGTCCCTGACCACACCGTCTCCCTTCCCTCCAACCGCAGGCAAGGAGGTCCCTCTCGACGACTACCGCCGCGTGCGCGCCTGTGGGCGCCGCGTGGTGGATTCGTTCCGCCACTCCGCCATCCACCACTCCCTGCTGCCCCTTGCTCCCCCTGCTGCCGCCTTTTCTCCTCCACCCCCTGCGTCCTCCGTCCTTTCCCATTCCCCCTCTCCGGCACTTCCCACTCATCCCCCTCCCTTTCCCTCTTCCATCACCTCTTCATCCCTCGAGGTGACTTTTGAGTCGACTCGAAAAGTCACCTCTCCATCCCTCTTCCATCACCTCTCCGTCTCCCTTCTTTCAAGGCAAGGCCGTCCCTCTCGACGGCTTCCGTCGTGTGTGCGCCTGCGGTTGCCGCGTCGTGGAGTCGTTCCACCACTCTGCCATCCACCACCCCCTGCTTCCCCCTGCTGCCTGCTGCCTGCTGCGTGCTTCTCATCCCCTTTCCCGTTCCCGCTCCCACACTTCCCACTCGCCCTTCCTTTTCTTTCTTCCAAACCTCACGGTCTCCCTTCTCTCCAGGCAAGGAGGTCCCTCTCGACGACTTTCGCCGCGTGCGCGCCTGCGGGCGCCGCGTGGTGGAGTCGTTCCGCCACTCCGCCATCCACCACTCCCTGCTGCCGCCTGCCGCCGCCGCCGCTTTCTCTCTCCCATCTCCTGCCGCTGCTGACTCGCCTGCCGCTGCGGGTACCACCACAGCTGGTGCTGCTGGAGAGGCAGCAGCAGGAGGAGGAGTAGCAGGAGGAGGAGTAGCAGGAGGGTACCAGAGCCCGTGGTGTCCCAAGCGGCATGTGAGGGAGAGGGTGCCTATGGAGGCGGTTGTCACGAGCGCCACAGACACGGATCTCCCCCCTGCAATCGTGTCGGAGAGGGATTTGATTCTGGCCCAGGTAAGGCTTGTTTGCATGAGAGTGTGTGGTGCCCCATGCAGCATGTGAGGGGGAGGGAGGCTGTGTAGGGGTGCCTATGGAGGCTGTGGTCAAGAGCGCCATAGACATGGATCAGGTCCCTCCTGCAATCGTGTTGGAGAGGGACCTGATTCTGGCCCAGGTACGATTCCCACGATGCATGTAATGACTGACCCCCTTCGTTGGTACCAGAGCCAGAGGTACCCCAGAGCGGCATGTGGGGAATAGGGTGGGTTATGGAGGCGGTTGTCAAGAGCGCCACAGACACGGATCTCCCACCCGCTATTGTGTCGGAGAGGGACCTTATTCTGGCCAAGGTAGGCCGTTTGTCCCGTGTCGGCCCTGCAGTAGCAGTGGTGGGAGCAGTGCAGCTCACATCCCTTGCATGATCCACTGCTAAACTGGCGCACTCAATCCGGTTTGCCTTTCCGCCTCTCTCCCCCCCTCCCCCCTAACTCCCTGCCTCTCAGAGCATTTGCAAGTGCACGGAGATCGAGTGTGGTTGTGTCCTAACCCCCCAACTCACCCGTTGTGTCCTACCACCACCACCCCCTCCCGAACTCCCTGCCCGTCAGAACATCCGCAAGTGCACGGAGATCGGGCCCACAGTAGCAGTAGTCGGGGCGGGGCACATCCCTGGCATCATCCACCGCTGGAACGATGCTCTCTCACCCTCCTCACGCCTCGAAGCCATTTCCTATCTTCTCCCCCCCAACATGCGAGCCCGCGAGCTCTCCTCCTCGATCCCCTCCTCTCTCCCGGCCCCCTCCTCTTCCCCCGACGCAACCTCTATTCCAGATATCCACCAGCCATTCCCCATAACTGATTCCTTCCGAACCGCCGCTGAGGCATCCCCCTTCACACCCAACTCCGGCGCCTTTCCCTCGCCTCCCAAGCTCGGGCCGCTGGTGCTCGCAGCAGGGCTGCTCGGCCTTTCGTTCTACCGCCCGCGCGCCGCGATGTTTTTAGGAGTGAGCCTTGGGTCTGGCATCATGGCGTCTCAGCTGCTGATGGCGAGTGCGTTTGCCAAGGCGGGGAGGGTGGTGGGGGCGCTGGAGGACGCTGGGAGGCGACTTGGAGAGGAGGAGGATGATGGTGCGTTGTGGTGAGTTGATGAGGCTTGTTTTGGCGTTCGCAGCTGCTGATTGCGAGTGTGGTGGAGAGTGTGCTTTTGCCGAGGGGGGGAGGATGGTGGGAGGAGATTGTGAGAGGAGTATGGTGCGCTGAGGGGAAATGTTCATAGGTGGGGGCGTTGGAAGATGCTGGGGGGGAGATAGGAAGAGGAGGAGGCTGGTTTGGAGAGGATGGTGCTCTGTGGTGCGCTGTTGAGGTTGATGAGGCCGGTGTCTTGGCGTCATGGCCGTCTCAGCTGCTGGTAGCGAGCACGTTTTTTGAGGCGCCTAAAAAAATAAGAATAGAGCTGCTGATAGCGAGCACGTTTGCCAAGGCAGGGAGGGTGGTGGGGCCGTTGGAGGACTCTGGGGGGAGACTTGGAGAGGAGGAGGAGGGTGCGCTGTAGTGACAGGGAGTAGAGGTGGGTGGGTGGGGTTGTGGGTGTGGGCATGTGAAGTGAATTTGGGAATGTGGGAATGTGGATGTGGGTGAATGAATGAATTTGGCTCAAAGACTTCGAGTGTGGGAATGCGGGCGTATTCCTACTGTTCAGGATCAGGATCAGGATCAGGATCAGGATCAGGGTCAGGATCAGAAAAACGGAGTTGATCCTGGTGGGTGGGCAACCTAGAACGCCAGGATCAGCTCGGGATTGTAGCCACGTCACGTCGCGAAGGTGACTGCCGATTGGATATTGGTGTAGAATGTCAAACATAAGCATAACTCATGTTTGTATAGACTGTATAGGGTCGCCTCTTAGAGGGTACAACACTCTTAGGTATATACCCTTGTACTCTCTCTCTATTCAAGCATTCTTCAGTTCTAAGATGGTATCAGGAGTAGGTAGGTCCCACCGCCCCCCCACGCTTCCGCCCTAGGATCTACCCCCGTGCGTCGCGCCGCCTAGGCCCCGTCGCGTCACCTAGGACCAGTCGCGCCCCCCCTGGGCCCGTCGCGCCCCCCTGGGCCCCGTCGCGTCACCTAGGACCAGTCGCGCCCCCCCCTGGGCCCGTCGCGCCCCCCAGGGCCCCGTCGCGTCCCCTGGGCCCCGTCACGCCCCCCTGGGCCCCGTCACGCCCCCCTGGGCCCCGTCGCGCCCCCTGGGCCCCGTCACGCTCCCCTGGGCCCATTGCGCCCCCTAGCACCCGTCCCGCCCCTCCTGGGCCCCCCGTTGGTGCCTCCTGGCCCTGTCGCGCGACTCCTAGCCCGTCGCGCCTTACCTAGCCTGTCGCGCCTTTCCTAGCCCGTCGCGCCGTTCCTAGCCCGTCGCGCTTCCTAGTCCGTCGCTCCGGCCCCGCGACCGTCCTAGCCGGCCCCGCGACCGTCCCAGCCGGCCCCGCGACCGTCCCAGCCGGCCCCGCGACCGTCCCAGCCGGCCCCGCGACCGTCCCAGCCGGCCCCGCGCCCGTCCCAGCCGGCCCCGCGACCGTCCCTGCCGGCCCCGCGACCGTCCCAGCCGGCCCCGCGACCGTCCCAGCCGACCCCGCGATCGTCCCGGCCGGCCCCGCGCCCGTCCCAGCCGGCCCCGCGACCGTCCCAGCAGACCCCGCGACCGTCCCAGCCGGCCCCGCGATCGTCCCAGCCGGCCCCGTGCCCCTCCCAGCCGGCCCTGCACCTGTTCCAGCCGGCCCCGCGACCGTCCCAGCCGGCCCCTCGTGCCCGTCCAGGCCGCCCCTGCACCCGTCCCAGCCGGCCCCGCGCCTGTCCCAGCAGGCCCCGCGCCTGTCCCAGCCGGCCCCGCGCCCGTTCCAGCCGGCCCCGCGCCCGTCCCTGCCGGTCCCGCGCCCGTCCGAGCCGGCTCCCGCGCTTGTCCCGGCCGGCCCCGCGTCGACTTCCGGCCCTTCCTCGCCGGCCCTACGACCGTCCGATCTGCACTCTCCCTGGTACGGTTCTCCACCACCTTTCATCGCACTGTACCGCACTGTACCGCACTGCACCGCACCGCACCGCATTGCACTACGCTGCACCGCACTGCACCGCACAGCACCGCCGTGCACTGCCCTGCATCGCACTGCCTCGCCTTGCACCGCCCTGCACCGCACTGCACTGCCCTGCTCTGCACTGCACCGCACTGTACAGTCCTGCACTGCCCCTGATGGCGGCGGAGCTTCGCTTCGACGCTGAAGGCCAGCCTCTGGAGTTCGAGGCGTGGCTTGCCGACCTCCGGCGTCAACTCACTGGCCAGCGGCAGGATGGTGAACCGCTTTCCGCACACGTTGACGGTACGCTCCCCTGCCCAGACCCCCCTACTGTTCTGCCCGCTGACTCCGCACCCACTGAGCGCGAGTCTACTGCTGCCACTGCCCGTGCGCGCTCTGTCTGGCTTTCTCGAGATGCTGTCGCTCAGCTTGCCATTAGCAATGCCCTTTCCCCGTCCGAGCGCCCCCGCTTTAGGTCCCTCACTACTGCCCAGGCTTACTTAGATGCTGTCATCAAGCGCTATTCCACCCCTCCGGCTGCCTCGGTGGGTCGCCTGATCCTCCCGATGCTCTTTCCTGACCTTGCGTCTTTCCCCACTGTCTCTGACCTCGCTGCCCACCTGCGCTCGACAGATGAGACCTGGCGCGCTGCCTGCACTGACGCACAGCTTAGAGCCCACCAGCCGCCCATTACCTCTACCCTTTACCTGCTTGCCACCCGCCTCCCTGACCGCCTTGCTGTCGCCCGCGACCGCTTCCTTAGCATTCACCCCGCAGACCTCACCCTCACTGACTTTGTAGACACCCTGACTGTGATTGAGACCCGCCACCGCTCCATCGCCCAGGCGAGCGGTACCGTGCCGGTCCCTATCTTTCAGGGTTGTGCCCCCGCTCAGTGTACTTTCTCCGACGGCTCTGCCGCTGTGGCTGAGACTGCTGTTGCAGCGCAGTTTCGTTCGGGGAAGGGCCGCCGCCCCAAGGTTGGGCGCGGCGGAGGAGGCTGGGGTGCGGGAGGGGGTGGTGGTGGAGTCGGGTCGTCTGGTGCTGGAGCGGACGAGGGGACCCTGCCCAGTCCAGCTGAGCCGCCGCCCCTGCAGTCGCAGCAGCAGCAGCAGCCGCAGCCTTCGCAGCAGCCGCCGCAGACGCGGCAGACGAGTGTCCTCCCGCCCGGGTGGCCCGGCGCTGGCGGTGGTCGGGCGCGTGGTGGTGTGCCGAGTGGTGGTTCTGGAGGCGTGCGTTGTCAGTACCAGATCCAGACCGGTCCTCACCACGGCTTCGTTTGCGGTAAGATCGGTCACTCCACTCCCCGCTGTTTTCGTCGCTTGGACGACCTGTTTCGTCAGCGCTTCGGCCCATCGCCAGACCTCCCAGACTGGCACAATTTGCTCAGTCGTAAGCTTCAGATTTTTGACATGGACATGGATGCCATTGTTTCTGCTCTGCATGTGATGTATGCTGATGACTCTAGTGTGCTTCCCGCTTATTACTCACTGTCGGATAGTGTAGGTGTGCCTAGCTTAGCCTCCCCTGCTGCGTCAGGCGTAGGATCCCCTGCTTTGTGTAGTCTTGGTGCTTCCGCCGTCGTTCCGTCGCCAGACGCCTCTGCTTCGCTTTCCTTCACCCTATACTCTGGCGCTTCCCGGTGTTTCTTCCGCGACTTCACCACACTGACGCCGCTTCCTGTTCCTGCTGCCGTTTCTCTTGCTGACCCCTCCGGCGGTCCGGTAGTCGCCCGCAGTTCCACCACCCTTCCCTGTCCGGCGGTTCCTTCGGGCACTCTCACAGGTCTGCATATCCCCTCGTTCTCCAGGAACCTAGTTGGTGTCGGCTGCCTCCAGGACCTTGGCGTCACCACTACGTTCCCTGGTTACGAGCGGTATGCTGTCTGTACCGAGGCCGCCACTGGTGCCCCCCTGTCCACGTTCCCCCGGGACCCGGTGTCCGGCCTGTTCACTCTGGACACCGTGACCCCCCCGGCTGGAGCGCTCCCTCAGGTGGCTACGTCTACCCAGGTTGCTGCTGCCTGCTCCTGTCGGTCCCTCACTCACCCGACTCTCCTTTGGCACCACCGCCTAGGTCACCCTGCGCTCCCGCGTCTGCGTCACATGTCCCAGCACAGTCTTGTCCTTGGTCTCCCAGGTTCTCTCCCCGCGTTTCCCTCCTCCCCAGCCCCACCTTGCACGCCTTGTGTCGAGGGTCGGCTTCGCCATGCCCCTCACTCCTCCTCGTTTCCCCCTACCGCCGCGCCGCTGCAGACCCTGCACCTGGACGTCTGGGGCCCGGCCCCCGTCCCTGGGCCGCGTCGCGAGCGCTACTTCCTTGTGCTAGTCGACGACTTTACTCGCTACACCACAGTCTTTCCCCTGGAGCGCAAGGCTGACGTGCCTGGCGCTCTCATCCCCTGGCTTGTCTCTGCGCGTGTCCACCGCGGTCTCCCTGTCTTGCGTCTTCACTCCGACCGTGGTGGCGAGTTTGCCTCAGGTGTCCTTGGTCGCTTTTGTCGTGCGGAGGGCATCACCCAGACGTTCACCCTACCAGACTCCCCACAGCAGAATGGGGTCACTGAGCGACGCATCGCTTTGGTCATGGAGGTGGCTCGCACCTCCATGATCCATGCCGGTGCACCCCATTTTCTGTGGCCGTTCGCTGTGCACTACGCTTCTCACCAGCTTAACTTGTGGCCGCACCCTCAGCAGCCACAGGTTTCGCCGACCCGTCTTTGGACTGGGTCTCCTAGTGACGCGTCTGCGTTCCACGTCTGGGGCTGCCTTGTTCACGTCCGTGCCTCCGGCACGGACAAGCTCACTGCCCGCACCCTTCCCTGCGTCTTCCTCGGCTTTCCCCTTGACGCGTCCGACTGGCACTTTTACCACCCGCCGTCTCACCGCTTCTTTCACTCTCGCGACGTCACCTTTGACGAGTCCGTCTCCTACTACCGTCGCTTCCCCCAACGCGGTCCCCCGGTTACCCCCCCCCTGTTCCTGGTCACTCCTTCCCCGGTAGTCCCTGCCCATCCCCCTCCTCCTCCCCGTCCTGCCCCCTCTGGTGTGTCCCACGTCACCCCCCTTCCGTCGGTGGACCCGGTTGAGGAATCTTCTGACTCTGGTGGCCCTGCTGCGCAGTCCTCGCCGGCCGCCCCTCCCCCGGCGTCCCCTCTCCAGTCCCCTCCTCCACCGCCTCTGCCGCCGCTGCAGTCGTTGTTGTCGCTGCTGCCGCCGCCGCCGCCGCCGCCGTCCCAGCGCCCGTTCGCTGACTCTGGGGGTGCTCGTCCCGGTCGCCCTGGGGGTGGTCCCTCAGGGGGTGCTGGTGTGGAGTGTGTCAGTGGTAGCCGAGGAGCAGCTTGCGGTCCAGGTGTCGTCGTTGTGCCGCCGCAGCAGGAGTCCCTGCCGGTGTCAGCCCTTCGCCTGCTCGGCCTTCCGTCCCCTGACCCTGCGGCTGTTCCTCTCCGACCGTCTCCTCCTCTTCCCGTCTACGGCCCTGTCTTCCCTCCGCCGGACTCGTCCTCGGCCCGTCTTCCCCCTCGTTCCCCTCCTGTCTCCCCTCCCGTGTCTCCTGACCCGACTCCTCCGTCGCACGTCTGGTCTCACCGTCCCTCCCGTGCTCGTCCTGCCTCGCCTGTCTTGCGCTCCCACCCTATGTTGCTTCGTTCCCACGCGTCTCGTCCTCCCCTTCTGCCATCGCCTCCTCCGTCCTCCCTTGTTGTTGCACCCCCCCCGCTGTCCGACTACCTTCGTGCCGCTCGTCCTCTTGTTCCCCGGGTCCTTGCCTCTCTCGTTACCGACCCGTCTGTTCCGGTCTCGTGCCTTGACGCTCTTGTAGCTGCGGTCGCTGACTTTGCCTCTACCCGCCGCCTTGACTATGCCACAGCTTTGGACTCTGGCCCTGCCTGTCCTCCGTCTGTCGGGGTGCTCCTGCCCTTGGCAGTGACGTCCTGGAGGACCGCCAGTTCGAGCTTGCTTTCCTGTCCGAGGCTGCTCCCCATCTCTGTTCCATGCTGCTAGTCCCTGAGGGTGACCCAGACGCTTTCGACATCCCGACCCCTCGCACTTACGCTGAGGCGACCTCGGGACCTTGGGCCTCGCAGTGGATAGCTGCCATGGAGCAGGAGATGGCATCTTCGAGATCCACCGGCACCTTCGTCGACGCAGTTCCCCCGCCTGGGGTGAACGTAGTCGATGGCCGCTGGCTCTTCAAGGTGAAGCGCCCTCCTGGAGAGCCACCTGTGTTCAAGGCGCGCTACGTGGCTAGAGGCTTTAGTCAGCGTGAGGGGGTGGACTTCTTCCAGACCTTCGCTCCGACCCCGAAGATGACTACTCTTCGGGTTCTGCTACACCTAGCTGCTCAGCGCGACTACGAGCTTCACTCCCTCGACTTCTCCACTGCCTTCCTTCAGGGCAGCCTACACGAGCAGGTCTACTTGCGTCGCCCTCAGGGCTTTACTGGCACCTTCCCTCCTGGGACCCAGTGGCTGCTGCGGCGCCCCGTCTACGGCCTGCGCCAGGCTCCCCGTGAGTGGCACGACACTCTCCGTGCTACGCTTGCTGACCTGCAGTTCTTTCCGTCTTCCGCAGACCCCTCACTCTTCGTTCGTGCTGGCCAGACTCCGTTCTACATCCTTGTTTACGTCGACGACCTGGTCTTTGCCACAGTAGACAGGGACGCACTAGCCTCCGTGAAGGTAGAGCTGCTGAAGAGACACACGTGCACTGACCTTGGAGAACTGCGCCGTTACCTTGGCTTGCAGATCTCTAGGGACAGAGCAGCGCGCACCATCACCCTGACTCAGTCACACTTGGTGTCCCAGGTCCTTCAGAGGTTCAGCCTTCAGTTCTCCTCTGCACTGCCCACCCCTCTGCCTGTAGACCACAGACTCTCCGCTCCAGTGTCTGAGGAGTCGGTAGAGCCCAGCGGCCCCTACGCAGAGCTGGTGGGTTGCCTCATGTACCTGATGACTTGCACTCGCCCAGATCTCGCGTACCCTCTCAGCATCGTGGCTCGCTTTGTGGCCACAGGCAGACACCGACCGCAGCACTGGTCTGCCGCTAAGAGGGTTTTGCGTTATCTTGCTAGTACATCGGGCATGGGGTTAGTACTAGGAGGACGCAGGCCAGTGGTCCTTACTGGACACACAGACGCTTTGTGGGCAGACGATGCCGAGACACTCAGGTCTACCCAGGGCTACTGCTTCAGCCTTGGCTCAGGTGCCGTTCCGTGGAGAGCTACCCGCTCCTCGTCTGTTGCCCAGTCCAGCTGTGAGGCTGAGATCTACGCTGGTGCCATGGCGGCACAGGAGCTCCGCTGGCTGACCTTCTTGCTCACTGACTTAGGTGAGCGGCCTAGCTCTGCTCCGGTCCTGTTCGCTGACAACAGGGCCATGATCCTCCTGTGTCAGGAGCCTCGACTCGAGGGCAGAGCGAAGCATATTCAGCTGCGATACTTCCTCCTGCGCGAGCTACAGCAGCGACGCCAGGCTCGCGTAGTACACTTGGCCTCAGATGCCAACACAGCTGATATCTTTACGAAGGCGCTTGCGCCTAAAGATCATCAGCGGCACTGCGTACAGCTTGGTCTAGTTCCTGTAGCCTCTCACTTGCTAGGGCCTTGACTATGTACTGTCCTTTATATGCATACTCAGACTGGACTTGTGTCCTCTCCCAATGGCTGGACTAGTAGTGCCGCCCTGGTCTTGTTCTTGCCTTGTCTCAACTCCGTCTGACTGGTCTTTTAGACCCTTGTCTCAGAGGTTGGACTAGTAGTGCCGCCCTGAGCTGCTTGTTCAGGTCATTCCCCGTTGAGTCTAGGGGGTGTGTCAAACATAAGCATAACTCATGTTTGTATAGACTGTATAGGGTCGCCTCTTAGAGGGTACAACACTCTTAGGTATATACCCTTGTACTCTCTATTCAAACATTCTTCAGTTCTAAGATAGAATGCTTGTTTTGTGTGCCACACAAACACCTGTACGTTATGTGTAGGATCTGGTATTGTGATGTTTGCAGGAATTACTCTTAAGGGATATCAGACAGCATCAGTGAAGCTGGAAAATAATAAACTATACTCACCTCACCATTACATGTCCATTGTATAATGTGCACCTATAATTACAGCACAGCACACACACACATACTCATTCCCTTCCCTCCATCCAGCCCCCCCAGCGTCCCACTCCCGCTCATGCTCTCCGAGGCCCCTTGGAGCGCCGCTCTACTCACCACCACTCCCCACCCTACTCACAACTCGACGAGCCTCTTCCCCTCGACCAGCGCCACCAGCTTGGGAACGGCGTGCTGCAGCGCACACACAGCACCAGCTCTACATCCTTTCCCCCCTTCCCCCCCTCCCCCACCTCCCCACTCCCCTCACAACTCCACGAGCTTCTTCCCCTCCACCAGCGCCACCAGCTTGGGCACGGCTTGCTGCAGAGCATCCGCTGCGGTGTGCAGGTTCTCAAGGAACTCCTCGGTGGTGGGGCGGTCGCCGTCCACTATGTCCGTCACTGCCTTCACCGACAGCAGCGGCAGGGAGAGCAGCGACGCCACCCATGCCACTGCTGCCGCCTGGGAGGGAGGGGGGGGGAGGGTCGGGGGAGGACGGGGGTGGGAGAGAAAAGGAGGGGGGATAGGGAGGCGAGACCAGGGGGGGTCGGATGAGGTAATGGTGGGGGGTGCACTGTGACAGAGCTGCTATGCCAAATGCATGATGGGATGCCAATATGTGGACGCAGAATGGCACAACCAACCAGTTTCCTTCCTCTCACCTCCATGTCCTTGATAGTGGCCTCGTTCTCTTTGATGAGCTTCTCGTCCTCCCCACTCATGTCCAATGAGTTGCCCTACGACCCCTCGTGAGGCACCTCAAGCAAGCAGCACCTCCGACCCTCCTATACACACACAGCCAGCAGCACTACGTGCCCCCTTTCCCTCTCTCTCACCTCCATGTCCTTGATAGTGGCCTCATTCTTGGTGATGAGCTTCTCGTCCTCCCCACTCATGTCCAGAGAGTTGCCGCTCGACACACGCCCCACCTGCATGGGTTGACACATCCCAAGACTAATTTCAACGGGGAAAGAATTCCAAGGATTCGTTTCCGAGATTCGTTTCTGGAATTCGTTCCCGGTGATGAGCTTCTTGTCCTCCCCACTCGCCGAACCTGGGTAATGGAAGGGTGAGAAACGAGCACTGAGCCTTGCCTCGAAGTGCCTCGTCTCAAGGAGCTGCACTCCTTCCAAGCAACCATGCCGGGTCGAGGGCATTCCTTTAAAGCCCAGCCTGCCCTTTTGAAGGCCATACTTCTGTGGCTTCTTGGGATATGAGCCGGGCATGCGTTGCGCGCAAGTTTGGCAATCCAACCTTGCAATTTACGACAGCAGTACGGCCCTTACAGGGAAAACGCTTGGGAGGGGCACTATCCCATTGCAACCATTCAAATAATGAAAGGATGGGTGTGTACTGCACGGCAAGACAGGACAAGAGAAAAGACAACAAGACAAGGAACCGCAAGAGAGTTACCACTGACCTTGAAGCCGAGGGCAGAGGCGATGCGAGAGGCGTGCGGGGACTCAATAAGGCCGATGCCGTACTCATCAAAGCCCTGAGGAAGGGGCGGGGAGAGCGAGTGAAGGCGAGAGGGGTGGAGAGGGGTGGTGAGGAGTGCCAATGCGAGAGGCATGCGGGGACTCGATAAGGCCGATGCCATACTCATCAAAGCCCTGAGGGGATGGTGAGAACGGAAGGAGGGAGTATCGATAATCGATCCGTGGAGGGCAGGGGGGAAAGAGGGGGAGGAGGGGGGGAAGAGGGGGAGATAGGTGGTGAGGACAGGAGTTGCGATAACGTTCTCGACAAACATCGGGGTGAGATGGGAACCGGGGGGGAAGAGAACGAGAGGAGGGCGCAAGACAGAAAAGAACGCAGACTAATTAAGTCGACCGAAAACATACTCACTGGGAGGGGAATGCGGCGATCGTGGTTGGCAAAGTGCGAGGCCAAGTACACGTCTCCAATGGCTGCTCCCTTGGCCTAACATGTACGGCAGAGAGAGAGAGAGAGAGAGAGAGAGAGAGAGAGAGAGAGAGAGAGAGAGAGAGAGAGAGAGAGAGAGAGAGAGGGCGGGGGACGAGGGGAGCCGTAGAAGGAGGGTGGAGAGAAAAGGGGGGGGAGGGGGGGGTGTCAAGTCACAGCAAGAGCGTGGCATGGTGCAAAGGCGAGTAGACATCAGCAACGGCTGCCCCCTCCCATCCCATGGCCTCACAAGGAGAGATGGATGACACAGAGGGAGCGAGAAGGCGAGGGGAGGAGAGAGGGAGAGTGGGAGGGGGGGGGCGGGAGGGGAGAGAGGAGGGGGAGGGGAGAGGGGGAGAGGGGATACGTGGGATAAGTACAGTGACAGAAGCAGCCCTGGGAGGTCAAAAGAGAGGACTTTTGAGGCGCCTCAAAAGTGGGATAAGTACAGTGATAGAAGCAGCCCTGGGAGGTCAAAAGAGAGGAGATCCACTGCTGCAAGGCTACAAGGCTGCAAGGCTGCAAGGCTGCAAGACTGCAGGGCTGCAAGGCTGACCTACAAGCCCCCAGCCTGCTACTGCAGGGCGACTTTTGAGTGGATTCAAAAGTCACCCCGTTACAAAGCCCCCAGCCAGCCAGCTGCTCCACAGGCTGGCTGCAATGCTGATGAGAGATCCCTGGAGCAGCCTACTACTCTAAACCAGCTCTACGCTGCCACAAGGAAGGCAGGCCTGAGGTGCGTCACCTTGAGGCCGCCAGCAGTGCCGGCGTTGTTGACCCTTGGGTCCTTTGACAGCCCCAAGGCAACTCTCCTCGGTCGCACGGAAGATTCACGCCTCACCTTGAAGCCGCCAGCCGTGCCGGCGTTGATGATGAGGTCTGGGCGCAGCGAGCCCGCTGCGGCATACACCGCCACTGCTGCTGGCACCGTGCCCACGTTGTCCACTCCTGAGAGCGCCCAATAGTTAGTGTGTGTGAGTGAGAAAGAGAGAGTTCGAGAGAGAGGACAGACGATTTTTGAGTCAACTGAGAAAATGTCGCAGCGAGCCTGCCTGCTGCTGCATACACCGCCACTGCTGCGGGCACCGTGCTCACGTTGTCCACTCCTGAGCACGCAGCGAGTGTGTGTGAGCGTGAGTGAGTGAGTGTGAGCGTGAATGGGACTGTGGGAGTGAGTGAGAGATAAAGCGTGAGAGAGAAAGCGAGAGAGGTGGAGAGTGGAGGCGAGAGACAGGAAAGGGAGAGGAGAGCGAGGGTAGAGAGTTTGAGAGAGGAGTGAAAAACAGGCGAGGGAAGAGGGCAGCGGAGAGGTGTTCTCAAAGCAACACGTGTTGGCCTCGCCTTACACAACACAACTGCATGGCAACGCACCTAGAGCCCTGTCCTTGCCAGGCGTGACGAGGTGCACGCTCACTCCGCCATGCGACCCTGAGTGCAACTGCCAGGGGGAGCCCGCGGGGAAGCTGAGAGGCGCGAGGGGAGGGGGGAGGGGGGGTGGGAAGTGAGAGGGCCGCAAGGGGGGAAGGAGGAACGTGGGAAGCGGAGGAGGGGAGGGGAGAGTGTGAGAAGAGACGTTAAGGTGGGAACTGGCATAATCGCACTGAGCACGGGTGAAGGAAGGAGCGTGGGGAGGGGGAGGAGGGTGAGTTCAGCTGGGGGGGTGCAAGGGGGTCTGGTGTTGAGGACATTTAGGGAAAGACAGGAAGCTAGAGAGTGAGGAACAGTGGCACAAACTGGGGGAACGCACGCATATGAGAGACAAACCGAACTTTTTAAAATACTGCTTAGCATGCATTCTTCCGTAAGCATGCATTTTTTGTTACCAAATTGCCTCACTATTCCCTCATTTTCAACCCCCATCTCGTTTGACCCGCTTATTGATCTCAGCAAACCCCTAACCCCTTTCATTCTTCCTAAATCCAGGTCCCTTTTCCACTCTTTTACACTCACGAGTCGTGCTCCTGCACCTGCAAATTCATTCCTTTCCCAATCGACTCCAAACACACCACTAGAGGAGATAGCACACACGGTGCGGGTCTTTCTCCAAGGCCTGTCTACCACTCACGAGTCGTGCTCCTTCAGCTGCAGATCCAGGCTATTCACCAACGGTGCCGCTTCGGTCGCCATTGCTGCTCGCACGGAAGGGAGATAGCACAGTTAGTAGACACTGAGGTCAAAACAGAGGATGGAGAGGCAACTTCGGAGAAATTGGCTATTTCCACATAATGATGGTGAACTCCTAGGCAAAATGGGGATCGGATTGGATCGGATCGGCTGCACTGCACGCGCAGTGTGAAAGGACTGGGACAAGACAAGTACCGGGGAGCACAACATTCGTCCTGCCGTCCCGTGCACCGACAAGCGACACTGACTACCCTACATTCGTCTCCCCCAGAGCTAAAACCTTTTGCAAGCAAGCAACTCTTGGAGGGTTATGCGGATAGAGACGGAGTCGAACGACGCAGAATATAGAGGGAGAAATTGGAGTGGAGTGTCCTGCATACCCATGTAGATAAGGATGCTATTGACGGCTTTATCCTCCACAGGCGCTGTTACGGCCGCTTCTTGCGGCGTGTTCGGAGACATTGTCGCGATTGCCTCGAACTAGTAGCAACAAAGCGCAGGGAGCAGGGCGAGCTCGGCGCGCGGCAACAGCGCTGCGGAAAAGGTCGCAGATAAGCGACCGATAGAAGCCGTTCACGGAAGTGGAGGTGGTGAGAGGAAAATGGCGAAAGAATAACCCCAAGGCAAGTCAAAAAGCGAAGCTCGAGGGTTGGGGTTAAGATATTCCAACATAAACACTTGCTGATCGACACTTCCCGCACGCGTCAACCCATAACCAGGGTCAATCCATGAGTAGCAAGTATATATTTAAATGGATTTACGATTTATCTTGAAGGAATAATCGAGTTCTTGGAAATCCTTATATGACTAAATCGCGGAAGAAGCATTGCCTTGTGATTGCTCATCCATGTACATACATTCTTCATCTCACATACACATACAGGATTCATGTAATATGTTCATGTGACGATTACCGAACCTCGTTGGTTCGGCTATCAGCAGCATGGTTGTGGTGTGGTTTGGGGGGGATGCTGTCCCTAAATTCGTGGGTAGCGGGTGGCTCTCTTGGCCCAATTCATTCCCCTTCACATCCCAACCTACCAGCCCCCCGTGGCAAGGTAGACAGCCACTGGCTCCCTGGCTTTCGCAGGGCCTCGTCCCCAGACCAGTAATCGTTTCTGGTTCGGAGGATCTTTATTTCCACGTGGCGCAACCTGCGAGGCCCACTTTTCCGTTAGGTTCCATCCCCCGAGAATTTCGCCAAAATGTACACACAAAGTCCCAGAGATCCGCGCCCCCACTTCTGTGGGAGGGAGGCATCCACCGGGACGACGGAAAGGACTGTCAGGAAGGAAGCAATTTGCGAGACGCACAATGCACATCTTCCATTTGTTTGAAAAGTGTTCCGTATCTGCCCGGAGGCTGAGCGACGCGATAAACTAGAGGTGGGAGGGTGTCCGAACCTTCTGATGCAGTGCTATGAACTGACCGCGATCTCCGGGCTGGGATCAGGGCAAACGTTCCTCCCCACCCATCCTCCTGTTCTCCCTCCCATCTACTGCAACCGTTCACTGGATCTGGGTTGATGCGAGGAGGCCTTTCTTCTGGTCGCTCCCACTCCATTGATATCTACTTCAAAATCGTCATTTCAATTCAAACACAAGAAAGGTGACATTTTTCTTTGTTTCTCTGTGAGAAATTCTGTCTCACTTCTCAGCAGCTCCTGAGATCTTGAGTTTAGAGCTTGTCGACCGCACATACACCATGGCCTCTGCTGTCCTCTCTGGCTCAAGCCTCGCTGCTGTGGAGAAGTCGGCATTCACTGGCAAGGTCCCTGCTTCCTTCAAGGCGGCATCCCCTGCCAAGTTTGTCAACGCTAGGCGCGTTGCCGTGCGTTCACAGCACGAGGCCAAGCGTTCTGCAGCTGCTGCTGCAGTTGCTGCTGGTTCCGTGCTCTCCGCTGGCGCAGCCCGTGCCGTGGAGGCTGAGCAGATCGTGAACGCACTTGACCAGGTAAGCATCTAGTCAAGATGCTCACCAATTTCCCCGCATTTTCAATTCTTGCCTGACACTCTCCCTCCTGCTCACGCTCCTAATTTGCAGTTTCTCATCGTTCCCTGATCGTTTATTTTAACTGCATCAACTGATGCTGAGGGACATCATCCTGAATTCACCTGTCATGCCCTTGGAATTCGACGTCGCAAGCGATTTCGGAATCTCAATTTAATGCAATGTCATGAATGATGTGCTACGTCTTTCTGCTCTTCTTGACCAGGTTGAGAACTTCTCCCGGCAAGCCGCTGATGCTGCCGTTCAGGCGTTCGACGTCGTCAAGTCCGTGACCGGTCAAGTGGTTGATGCCGCGTCTCCTTTTGTCGAGAAGGCCACTCCCGTCGTCATCGACGTGACCAAGAAGGCTGTCAATGCCGCTTCCCCTGTGGCGTCTGAGCTCTCTGACCAGGCCACCAAGGCTCTCTCTGACTCCGGCGTTGAGATCGTCCCCATCCTCTCCGCAGCCAGGGTAAATTCCTCTCCTTTTTTCATTCTCACTTAGATTTTCACTCCGGCGTCATCTCGTGTCGAGTATGATTTGTCGAGCCAGTAGGACCTGGTCTCCATTGAGGAAAACATAAGTCCAGGTGACTGAAAACAGAAGTCCAGGTTAGCTTTGTGTCAGTTGCCCGACACATCTTTGGAGATTTGCGCATGTCAAGTTCTCATCTCTGCTGAGATCGATCTCCCACTTTGTACTTGCAGAATGCCGTCGGCGTGGCCGGTGATGTCACCGAGAAGACGATCGACCTCGCTTCCCCCTACGCTCAGGCCACCTTCGACACCGTGATCGCTCAGGACCCAGCGGTTCTCGCCGTCGCCGGTGGAGGCCTCGTGCTCCTCTACCTCCTGGCACCCGCTCTCGGCGGGTCCCTCGCCTACGCCGCTCGCGGTTATGCCGGCGAGTTCACCGCTGCTCAGGCGCTTGACCTGCTGTCGAAGGAGGACTACACCCTGGTCGACATTCGGTCTGACGCCCAGAAGTCCCGCTCCGGCACTCCTTCCCTGCCCCGCAATGCCAAGTCCAAGCTCGTCGCTGTCCCGTGAGTCCTGCTCCATCCCTAGCATTCTTAGCGATCACTCTGCCTTCCCCTTCAGGCTGTCTTCTGATGGTTTCATGTTTCGTCAAGGTTAGTCAGCTCTCGAAGTTGCAACATTCTTGGACTCTCGGCTCGTTCGTTCCGACTCCCTCACTCAGCTAAGCACGTGTACTTGATAATAACCCTCGCTTCCTCTGTCTATCTTCTCTGCAGTGTTGAGGATGTCGACGGCAAGCTCCGCGGCCAGATCCGCAACTCGCGCAAGGTGGAGGCCGACATCGCCGCCATCAAGATCGCCGCTCTGAAGCGCCTCAACAAGGGCTCCCGCGTCATCCTCATCGACTCGTAAGTTTATCGGTCCTCGCATCCTAGCTTATGGCTATGTTACTATTGCTGGCCACTGGAAACAAGAACCTTGCCGGCAACAGCTCAGTGCTCTGCGTATATATCTTCCACCACCCCTTATTATTTTCTGTGAATGAACTGAACCAGCTTTCTCATCCTCACCGGTCCTCCTAGCTTCGCCACTGCAGCATTCGCCTTCTCTGACCCCCTTCCTGAAAACCCTCTCCTTGACCCTGCCTGTTCTCAGGAACGGCGATATCGCCAAGCTCGTCGCCCAGTCGCTGGTGGCTCTGGGCTACAAGAGCACGTGGATCGTGAAGGACGGCGTGGACGGCGGCAGGGGCTGGGTGCAGAGCAAGCTCGCGACCGAGTCCGGCGGTCTGTCGTTCGCCGAGGTGCTGTCCCCGTCGCGCATCATCGCTGGCACCGGCACACAGCGCGTGAAGCCCTCCCAGCGCCTGCTCAGCAGCGGCTCGTCGGAGTAAGCTGTGGTGCGGGTCTGAGAAGCAAGCCAAGGGCGCCGGAGCTTTCTATGGCGTTTTTTGGGTGTCAGTTTGACTGTAGGGGTTTTTTTTTCAAGGCTGCTTTAGCTGGAAATGCACAAGCGTTGAGCTAGGGAGGTCGTCACTGCAGATGCTTCGGGATTTTTACTTGTATTTGAACCTTTATCTCGACTTCTGAAGATAAGCTTATACTCATACCTGGCTTATGCAGCATAGTAACATGTTGGAGATGGTGTAGAACACAATAGAAATGTACATGTTGGAAACTGCGGTTTAGATCTGTGAGGCGTTTTGGCTGACTTCAGAAGCTGAGGTTTTGATACTATGTGCAGACTACCTACAGTAACACATCTTGAGCTAAGGAGCTGAACAACTGAAACTCTGGTACAATAGTTTTGACTGTACTGTTGGGCCTTCGGGTTGGATTCCCCGTCCTGATGTGCCACCTTTGATGATATCCCCTTTGTTAGGCTGAGAAAAGCCCTTAGGATCTTTCCAGAGACTAAGTCCCAGTTGTAGAATGAGACTTGAGTAGTGCAGCAGAAGTTGAGGCAGTTGAACCCTTGTACTAGTATATGAGAACAAGTGATTGATTAGAGAAACAAGCATACAGCAATATATAGAAAATAAGAAAGCAGTTGTAGAATACAGTTGCAGGAACGATTATCGAGTCGCACAGCGACTCGATTGTCGCTTCGGTTACCATCCGCGCTGTTGTAACGGTCAGTCGCAACCTCCAGTTGCGACCCTTCGAGTCCCTTCGCGTTCTTTGTGTTAAAGTAGCTCTAGGCTAGGATACTAGGCAGGAACAAGGCGCCATGAATGTGGCGGCGGGGTTTAGCTAGGAGGGTAGGAAAAGTGTCGAGAGAAAAGAGAGCTGGATTAGGAAGAGAGAAGAGTACAAGGAGGGGTTTGTACCCTCTACAGAAAAGGTTTAGTAACAACCTACCAAGCCTATATTAAATTATAACTTATATAATTTGAACACTTTGTCCGTCCCCTCGTGTAACCTCCGTTGACTCGCGTACCCGTTGCGATCTTCCTCGAGTGTAGTGTTACACTTCAGAAACGCTTAAGTCCTTTGAGATATTTCCAACACCTTTCAATCTCAATGCACTGTTTCATAGCAGACACTAGACTTGACAGGCGCTTCTCTGCAATGCCCGGGCCCCACATTTGATCTGATAACCGCGTAATTCTGCAGCCGAGTATCTTATATAACAGATTGCCCAGCAATTCATCCAGCTAGCGAGCACATAACCATATGCTACAGCACTAATGCCTGGTATGCACAGGCACATCCCCCTCACAGACTTCTTCCTCCAGGATCCCAGGCTTGGCAAAGGCTGTTCTGCACAGGTCTTCAGGCAGCCATAGTTTCCGAGCTAAACAAACTGCACTGTTTTGCATGTCAGAGCCAGTAACAGCAGCAGTGGCAGCATCAGGAGTGATAGTGCCAGGAGGTCCGAGGTTAGGTTCAGTTGTAGAGAAGCACTCACGTAAGGGCATCAGTTTGACGCTGAAGACTCGAGCAAAGGCGGATGCTAGATGCGCTGCTGCGTGCCCCATCATTCCCCCCTCCCATGCCTGCCCCGAGTCAGGTCTCGTGACCCACTCATCCACTGCCCAATGGTCTCCCACCGAACCCGCATCCACCTTGTAGCCATCCGCAGCTGCACTCTCAGCAGCCGTGCCAAGAGCAACAGCGCCCCCAGCAGAGGTGGCGGGTGCAGGAGCGCCCTCAACAGCAGCACTATCAGCTCCAGGAGCAGCATCAGCATCAACAGCAGCAGCAGCAGCAGCAGCAGCAGCATCAGCAGTAGCAGAATGAGCAGCATGTGTTCGGTGGAGAAGGTGAGAGGCTACGGAGCCCACAGGGAGTGTGAGGCCGCATGGGACGATGTGGCCAAAGGCAGAGAGGTCCGTGGTGACATTGAGCGCTGCACCGTGGAAGGTGACCCACCGGGACACCCGCACACCGATGGCCGCCAGCTTGCACCCGCCTGAGAGGTGGGGGGGGGGGGGAGGAGAGAGAGAGAGGGAAGAGGGGTGATAGAGGTTTGCCCAAAGGCAGAGAGGTCCGTGGTCACATTGAGCTCTGCACCGTGGAAGGTGACCCACCGGGACACCCGCACACCGATGGCTGACAGCTTGCACCCGGCTGAGAAGGGGGGGGAGAGAGGAGTTGGAGAGAAAATACTAGGCAGATGAAGATGCGATACAGAGTGGTTTCCCGTAGCTGGACGCCTACATAGACAGTGCATAAAATGCAATTATGATTACTCTAAGTGACAGTGACTTATCCACCACCTAATGCAAACACACCCACACCCACACCCACACCCACACCCACACTCACACCCACACTCACAAGCACACACATACACACCTGACCACACTCCTGTCATGCCCTCCTCCCTGCCAGCCCGAATGCCGAAACCGTCCTCCAGCCCCCCAATAATCGCTTCTTCTAGCGAGCGCAGGTACCAGTGCAGGTCGCAGCAGTGCCGCCGCAGGTCCAGAATCGGGTAGATCACCAGCTGATAGGGGGCATGGTAGTGGGAGGGGCGCATGGCAGAAATCAGTGGCAAAAAATGTGGGTGTAAGGGGGGATAGGGGAGTGTAGGGGAGTGTAGGGGAGTGTAGGGGAGCAGCAGTGCCGCTGCACGTCCAGAATCGGGTAGATCACCAGCTGGTGGGGCGCATGGTGTGTGGGGGGAGGGGCACAAATCAGTGGCAAAGGTGGGAAGGGGGAAGGAGGAAGGGGGAAGGGGGAAGGGGGAAGGGGGAAGGGGAAGGGGGAAGGGGGAAGGGGAAGGGGGAAGGGGGAAGGGGAAGGGGGGGAAGAGTATTTTCAGCATCGACCCATCACACCCCCTCCAAGATAATATCTTCCTCGCCTCGCAGACACACCCCTTCCCCACAACCACACGTTCTCACCTGCAAGGGCGGCCGGGCCCCATCGTATACCACCTCCCCATGCCCGTGGTCCCCGTGCCAGAGTAAAATGACCCTACCTTCTTAATTCACGCTCTCACCTGCCCGGGCCCATGGTACGTGACCTCCCCGCCCCTCTCCGTGACGAACAGCTCCGCGCCACCTGGCAGCGTCTCAGCCGCTGGATCGAATCTGAGGTTGGAGAGATCGCTGCGCGTGCCAAGGGTGTAGACAGGGGGGTGCTGCACCAGGAGGAGGACGTCCGGGGGGGAGGGGGGAGAGGAGGAGGGGGGCGAGGAAGAGGAGGGGGAGGAGGAGGAGGAGGACAAAGAACCACTTCTCGAGGCATCAAGAAGCAGTTCGAAGAATTGCTCCGCCTCTGCTTCCCCTTGCTCCTGTTGCTCCTGTTGCCCCCGTTGCTCCTCTCGTTGCTCCTCTCGTTGCCGCTCTTGTTGTTCTACTTGCTCTAGTTGCTCTAGCTGCTCTTGCTGTTTGGCCCTGTCAGAGAGCGCTTGGTGCCGCAGCGCCACCAGCTGCCGCTGCCACTCCCACGCCGTGCGGTACGGCGTCAGGCGGTCCGAGAGGTCTATAAGAACACACTGCCGCTCTGATGCGGGGATAGATTGGAATGAAACGGGGTGTAGTTTTGAGGCGCCTCAAAACTAGACTGCGGTCCGAGAGGTCTATGAGAACACACTGCCGCTCTGACGCGGGGATAGATTGGATTGAAACGGGGTGTTTCGGAGGCGTAAGGAAGAGGGGGGCACATGGGAAGTTTCTGATCATGAGTCATGCGAGACGACTGAAACGGATGAAACGAATAATCACGCGACATGGGTCAGCAGCAGCAGCAGCAGCAGCAGCAGCAGCAGCAGCAGCAGCAGCAGCAGCAAATGGTTCCACAGTGAGTAGTGCAAGACAGCACTCGAGCGTCGCGCACCTCCTAAATCAGCGGAATCCGGTAACGATCCGCCGCTGTCCCGACCCGCGCGCGCACCCCCCGCCAATCGCGCCGAATGCTTGGTGCTTCCGGGGTTCTGTAGCCTTCCGACCAATCCCGCGCTCTGGACACCGCGCAAGGCCGCGCGAAAGGCGGCGTAAGGCGGAACCCCTCCCCCTCTACTGCGCTCCGATGCCCGAACGAATCCCCGCGAGTCGGAAGGACGACTGGCGGGAATCGGAATTGCGGGGCACGGCAGGGCGGAGGTTGCGCGGATCCCGGAAGGGCGCGCCGCAACGGTCTCCCCGGGACGGATGGTGGACGCCTGAGGGAACGCGGAGGAGGGAATCGGCGGTAGGAGCTGCGAGTTCGCCATGCGTGCGAGTGAGGGGACTGAAGAAGTGGAGAGATACGGTCGGGTAGAGGAGTCTATTACTTAGGCGCCTCAGAAAGAGCGGAAGCGGCGGAGGGTAGCTGTGTTAGGAGCTGTGCCTCTTCGATTAGGATCTGGCTGGGAGTTCGCCATGCGTGCGAGTGAGATTGTCGAATTGCCGGGACACGATTTGATAGAGTGAACAGCAGTCCGGTGCGCTACGGTGGTGAGCTGCGCGGGACACAGACCGCCTTGGTTGCCATTGTTTCTGACGCCGAGCAAGCTTGATTGAATGGCTTACGACATTACTTCGCAGTAGATGGCTTGTGGTCGGAACTACTGCACTGTATGAGGTTCTGGAATATGGGCTTTACTGGTACAGTAACAGCATAGTAACAGCTGCCGTGTCACGTCACTGACGGGAGAATACCACGCCGATGTCACTCTTTATTGAGCTACTCGCGTTACTTAACAATACGTTGTCATGCATTTCTGGTGCTTTATTCGAGCTCGCTTGTAACAGCGTGGTGTTCTTCTAAACAGATGCTTCTACATGGGCCACATCATATTAGGTCACTTTCGTGCAGCCATGCCTTCTTGCTGACGAATGGAATCGAGGTTGCGTGCGTGTCGCCGGGCCTGGACCTCACGTTCGCAGCAGGTTTGAATGGTTCGGCCAAACCTGAACCTTAGGTTTCCAAACAGGGCCTCCAACCACCTTTAGCTTGTTACGACGTGGTTACACAATTTTACATTTCCAGATTCGCCAGCGTCGCTTTCCTGCTTGACTGGTTCCCCAACCATCCTATCCCGATTTTGGCGGCTACCATCCATATGTACTCTTGTTACTTTTGTTGTGAGTTCCGCTCTTTTCGCTCACCGAATCGGCCAATACACCTCGCGAAAGAATGTGACATTGGATTGGACCAGTGACGCTTGCGAACGGCAGCCTGAGCGAGCGTCAGAGATGCTGTTCGCACACCAGCTGCAAGTCTGGTTGGGTTGGGAGAGGGACATCCCGCACAATCAGTTCCCAAGGTTTTTCATCTGCAGTTCACCGCTCTTCACCGTGCTCACACGCATTTGCACCAATGTGTAGCCCTTCAGTGCAGCGTAACTCCGAACCACGGTTGCTAGGTCGGTAAGCCCAAGGCTTTCTGCCTCACAATTCAAACTGAAGGGAACACCAGGGGAGAGGTTGAGGCGACTGATGCACAAGGTTTCCTAGTCATCGCGAGATAGCACCGTAGTTTCTTGCACACCCGCACCTTGCGGACGATTCCAATAATATCAATAGTTCGACGCGATTGTGCCTTTTTTTTACTCGCGTCGCAAACCTAGCGGATCGCGCTTCCTTCGTTCTGATATTCATCTTGACCCCAGGCACCCTTCAGTAGCCGTCACGCCAGGCCGTTTTGACGGGACCGAAAAGCATCGTCCTAGGGAATGCTGGGGGGAGAGCGGCGTTGGTTGCCGTAAATGGCCGTCGTCAGCTATCCAGAGCGATTAGCGTGTGGCGTTGGCGTTCTCCGGCATTTCAGAGACGATCGACCCCCTCGGGTTCGTTTCCTTGTCGCATCCTAGAGCAGACGTCCTCGTTTTCCTCGCCAGACGAGCCATACGGTCTAGTTCCCTAACTCCGTCAACGCGTTGTGCCATGTCCTAGCAATTTGACATTCTCCGCTCTTAGCTGTCTTCACAGTCGCTACTCCCTCCGTTTCATCCCTTCGTTCCCTCTCTCCTCCCCTCTCTCCTCCCCTCTCTCCTCCCCTCTCTCCTCCCCTCTCTCCTCCCCTCTCTCCTCCCCTCTCTCCTCCCCTCTCTCCTCCCCTCTCTCCCCCTCAATCCGCTCTTCCAGAGTCGTAAGCGTTTTATCCTCCAACTGGCATCGCGGCAGCGGAACTAAGGACCTGGAACCGGGAGTTAATCTCCTCCCCCCAGAAGCTGCATGAATGGACGGGAATGGGGAGTGGGGCCCCGACGGCGGCTCCGCGCTCAACGGCGCAACTGGCGGCGGGATTGTCGGCCATGGCGGCCAAGGCGGCCATGGAGAATACGCCGAAGAAGGTGATTACGGGGAGGAGGACGGCGCGTATGAGGACTATTTGCCAGAGGACGGGGGACCTGGACCGCCGCCCGCGGGTGGCGGAGCGGAGTACGGGGAGTACGCGGAATATGGGGAAGAGGGCGCGGAGATGGGCGGAGAGTACGCGGAAGAAGGCGGGTATGCGGGGGAAGGGGGGTACGCGGAGCAGGGAGGGTTCGAGGAAGGTGGGGAGTATGGGGGGGATGCTGGTCAGTATGGGGGAGAGGAGGGGTATGAGGGGCAGGAGGGTTATGAGGGACAGGAGGGGTATGAGGGGCAGGAGGGTTATGAGGGGCAGGAGGGTTATGAGGGGCAGGAGGGTTATGAGGGACAGGAGGGTTATGAGGGGCAGGAGGGTTTCGAGGGCGAGGGGTACATGGAGCATGAGGTAGGTCAGCAGCAGTACGATGAATATGGTAACCCTATTGACGAGGGCGAGATGTACGACGAAGAGGAGGAGCAGCAGCTCCAGCAGCAGCAGCAGCAGCAGTACGACGAGGAAGGGTACCCATACGATGAGGGCACGATGGACGAGGGCATGCACGAAGGCATGGCACAAGACATGGGGGATGGCATGTACGGACACGTGGATGTTGACGGGGAGGAGGGGGAGGAGGATGAAGGCGGTGGGGAGGGAGGGGGGGCAGGAGAGGGCATGTATCAGGGGCAGTACCATGGGCAGGGGGGGCATGGGCCTGGTGGTGCCGCTATAGCCATGTCTCCCCATGGCTCGCAGGGGGGCTACAGAGAGGGGGCTAGTCCGGGGAGAGGGGGGGGCGCAGGAGGGATGGTGCCTCTGCAGCAGCAGCAGCAGCAGCAGCAGTATGAGGGGGATTATGACGATCAGCAGCAGTACGAGGAAGGGCAGCAGGAGGGGTACGAGGGCGAGGAGGGATATGAAGGGGAGGAGGGGTATGTCGGGGAAGAGGGTGGGTATGAGCAAGAGGGGCAGGAGGGGGTGGGCTACGGGCAGGGCCAGTACGAGCAGGGGGGGTATGAGCAAGGGCAATACGAGGGAGAGTACGACGATCAGCAGCAGTACGAGGAGCAGGGGCAGTATGCGGAGCAGGGGCAGTACCAAGAAGGGCAGGGGCGATATCTAGAAGGGGAGTATCCAGAAGGGGAATATCAAGAAGAGGGGCAGTACGAGCAAGAGGGGCAGTACGAGCAAGAGGGGCAGTACGAGCATGGGCAAGGGGACGTGGGGTACGAGGGGGAGGAGGAAGGGATGGCGTACGAAGGCGAGATGTGCACATGTGACGAGTACGGGGGTGCTCCCCACCCGCCGCATGACTTCCACGACGACGACGGTAACATCATAGGTGGATACGAGGGCCACGGCCAGGCGGGGATGGAGAACGGGCAGGGGTTTCAACACGATGGAAGGTACCCGGAAGGACATGGGGGGATGCCTGGGAGGGGGTATCATGAGGGGGGGATGGAGGACGGGGAGTATGGGGAGGAGGGGTATATGGTGGAGGAGGGGGGGTATGAGGGTCAGAAGGGGGGTTATGTGAACCAGTATGGGGAGCAGGGGGAGTGGGTGGAGGGGGAGGAGGGATATATGGACGAGGAGGGAGAGGAGGGTATGGGTGGCATGAGTCACTTGAATCAGGGGCAGGGGCAAGGGCAAGGGCAGGGGCACTACCCCCCTGGGGCGGTAGGAGTGGGCGCTGGTGCTGGTGCTGGTCCGGCGATGTATGTCGATGCTGAGGGGGACCGGGATGGTGATGTTGATGATGATGATGATGACACCGATGGGAGGATAGAGCATGAGCTAGGGGACGAGGAGGAGGACGAGTTTGGAGCCTACGACCTTGCACTGAGGAAGTCCCTATCGGGGATACCAGAGGGGGATGAGGAGGCAGAGGCAGAGACGCCTGCGCCCCGGATAAGGGGAAAGTTTGTGCCGCCGTCTTTGTTAGATCAATCCGGTACGATTGAGGAGGGGAGTGATGAGGAGGGGGCAGGGAATTGGGACGAGAGGGATCAAGATGGGGAGGAGGAGGAGGGGGATGAGGGAGAGGCGCGTGGGAGAAGGGCGAATGGCAGGGAGGATAGAGGGGAAGGGGAAATGGAAGGGGAAGGGGACGGGGAAGGTGAGGGGTCAGTAGTCTCGTTTGAGAGCGGTGAAGAGGGGCTGGAGGAGGATGAGCACGCGAGAGAGGTGGTGGAGAGCAGGAGAGTGGAGTCCGGGCGGGCTCTTAATAAGAGCAGCACTGCTGGGTCTGGGTCCGGATCTACACGAGAGAACGATACAGGATCCGTGATAGAGAGAGATACCGCTGCCAAGAGCTGGGGCACGTTTGGGCACCCTGCCTTGGGCAGGGGGAGCAGGAATAAGGGCCGGAGAGTGAATGGTGAGGTGCTGCTGGAAGGAGAGGAGGACGAGGAGGAGGAGGAGGAGGAGGAGGAGGAAGAGGAGGGAGGGTATAGGGGAATGAATGGGGATGTGTTGTATGAGGATGATGAGGAGGGGTATGGGGAGGAGGAGGAGGAGGAAAGGATGGAGGGGGAGGGAGAGAGGTACATGGAGTATGAAGGGGAGGAGGGGGGGTACGGAGAGGAGCAGGGAGGGTCGGGTGGTGAGGAAGAGGGGGAGGGAGAAGGGGAAGGGGAAGGGGGAGGAGAAGGAGGGGGAGGCGGGGGGTTTGCGTTGCTATCTATGGGAAAGGATCTGCCTCTAGCGGCTGAAGGCCAGCCTGTGGATTACTCAGTGGGGGATTTGGAAAAGGCCTTTCGTGCCATGCAGGGGGGGGGAGGAGGAGGGGGAGGGGAAGGGAAGGAAGGAGCGGCAGGAGGATCCCTTGCCGCTGCATTCTCTGCTGCAGCAGCAGCAGCAGGGAGAGGGGACAAGGGCGGCGGTGATGGTGGTGGTGGTAAGTTGACGCAGAGAGAGAGTAGCGGAGGAGGGGGGGGGTTCGCTTTGCTGGAGTTACAGGACGGTATGGATGGGTTACTAGGGCAGCCCGGGCAGCGGATAGACGACTCCGTTGGGGATTTGGAGAAGGCTTTCAGGCAAATGCTGGGCGGCAAACTGGGGCACGGGCAGGGGCAGGGGCAGGAGGGGAAGGCGGGGGGCAGAGGCGAAGAAGAGGAGGCGGGAGAAGACGGGGAGGGAGGGGAGGAGGGCGCAGGAATGAGCTTAATGGACCGAATGAACCAACTACAGCAGATGCAGCAGCAGCAGGACGGGGGGGCACTGGGCTCACCCATGGGCGGATTGGGAAGTCCGATTCTAGGGTTTGGAGGCATGGGCAGTCCTATTGGTGGCAGCCCTAGCAGCCCGATGCTTGGGAATGGTTTAGGCAGCCCGGCTTTTGGGGGGCTGGGGAGCCCTCTTTCTGCTTTAAACAGCCCCATGGGGTTTCCTTTGCAAGGGAAGTTCCAGGCACAGGGAGATGGGAAGGGAGAGGTGCGGCAGGGAGAGGAGGGGGGGGGAGAGGATGGAGAGGAGGGAGAGGAGGGAGATGGGGAAGGGGAGGAGGAGGATGAGGAGGAATTGCCCCCGACCCCGGTTCCCCCCAATGCGCTGCAGCTGATGCGCGAGATGAAGAAGTTTACGGAGATGGCTGACGACGACAGTGATGATGATAGCTTTGCTATGGAGGCGAGGGAACAGGCGGAGCAGGAGGCAGCAGCAGCGGAAGGGGCGGGGGGAGGGGAGGAGGAGGAGGAGGAGGGGGGGGAAGAAAGCGGAGGGGAGAGAGGAGGGGAGAGAGGAGGGGAGGGTGGAGCGGGTGGGTTTGGAATAATGGATCGGTTGTTGAGCTTCCAGGAAGGGATAGAAGATGGGGAGGGGGGGATGGGAGGTGGGATGGGGTTTGGAGGGTTTGAAGGGTTTGGAGGGCTTGGAGGTGGGGGGAGTGGAGGTGGGGGAGAAGGAAGTAAGGGGGGAGGAGGAGGAGGAGGGTTGATGGATGCTTTTTCTCGGCTGCAGCAGGCTTCGGGAGGAGGAGGAGGGGGAGGAGGTGGTTTTGAGGGGAGCGGAGGTGAAGGGAGGGAAGACGACGGGGATATGGACAGGGATGGGGATGAGGAGGAGAAAGGGGGCTTCGGGAGTGAGGGTGAGGGGAGTGTGTTGGAGCATGATATAGAGGGGGAGGGGGAGGAGGAGTATGGGGAGGAGGAAGAGGGTGGGCAGGAGGTAGGAGAGGAGGAAGACGGGGGTGAAGAGTGGAGGGGCGAGGGGGGAGGAGGGGAGGGGGGGCGTAGGGGATGGGGGTTTCCCGGAAGGAGCAATGGAATGGGGCCCGGGGAGTATGAGGAGGAAGAGTATGAGGGCGAGGGGGGAGGGATGGAGGAGGGGGGAGAGGAGGGGTATGGGGGGGAGGGGGGGGAGTTTAATGGGGAAGGGGAGCAGGAGAATGGTGAGGAGAGGGAGGGGTATGGTGAGGAGGAGGAAGGGATGGAGCAGTATGAGGAGCAATATGGGGAACAAGGGGGGGGGGAAGGGGAAGAAGAGCCAAGTCAAAAGCAGCAGTATGTGGACAATCAGCAGGAAGGCTTCTACTCTGACGAGGCAGGTGGGCAGGTTTATAACGAGGATGGGTATGAAGAGCAGGAGGGGGCGCAGGAGTATGGTGAAGGGGAAGAGGAGGAGTATGAGGAGGCGCAAGGGGGGGGGGATGAAGGGCAAGGGGGGGAGTATATGGGAGGAGAGGAAGGGTATGTCAACAGGGCAGGGGAGTATGTTCAAGGGCTAGAGGGTGAGTATATGGATGAGGTGCAGCTGGGTTATGAGGAAGGCCACGGGCAGTATATAAACGAGAATGGGCAGCTTGTGAATGAAGATGGGCAACTGATAGACGCAGATGGCCACTTGGTGGACAACAACGGGCAGCAGATAAATGACAACGGGCAGTATGTGGATGAAAACGGGCGGCTGGTGGACGAAAACGGGCAGTATGTGGATGAAAACGGGCGGTTGGTGGACGAAAACGGGCAGTACGTAGACGAAAACGGGCAGTATGTGGATGAAAACGGGCGGCTGGTGGACGAAAACGGGCAGTACATAGACGAAAACGGGCAGTATGTGGATGAAAACGGGCGGCTGGTGGACGGAAACGGGCAGTACATAGACGAAAACGGGCAGTATGTTGATGAAAACGGGCGGCTGGTGGACGGAAACGGGCAGTACATAGACGAAAACGGGCAGTATGTTGATGAAAATGGGCGGTATGTTGATGAAAACGGGCGGCTGGTGGACGAAAGCGGGCGGCTGGTGGACGAAAACGGGCAGTACATAGACGAGAACGGGCACTATGTGGACGAAAACGGGCAGTATCTGCAAGAAAATGGAGGAGAGTTAGGGTTTGACACTGGGGGTGGGTTTGACGCTGGGGGTGGGTTTCTGGGGCAGGATTTGGGAGGCATGAGACGAGGCACGCCGCTGGACGTGGTGTATGAGGAGGACGGGGAGGAGCAGATGGAGGGGCATGACGAGGAGGAGGCAGGGGAAGAGGCGCAACCAGAACAGGGGTTTAGTGACGGGCAGGGTTACAGTGACGGGCAGGGCTACAGTGACGGGCAGGGATTTAATGACGGGCAAAAGGAGCAGTATGAAGACGGTCAGGGCAGCTTTATTGAAAAACCCGATGTGTATGACGATGGGTATGACCAAGGGCAGCAGCGGGGAAGTTTCGTGGAAAGAGGGGGTGGCGGCGGCTTTGGGGAGGAAGGCCGGTACCCGGATGGCGAGGGGAGTTTCATCGAACGGCCGGATGTGGAGCAGCAGGAATCGTACCGTGGAGATGCGTTGGGCAGCTTCATTGAACGGCCAGATCCTTACGCTGATGGCCAAGGGAGCTTCATCGAACGGCCGGATTACGAGGAGGGAGATGAGGAGGAGGGATATGGTGGAGGGCAGGGGGGAGGGTATGTGGATGAGGATGGAAATTATGTGGAGCAAGGGCAGGAGGGGTATGTGGATGAGAATGGAAATCCTGTGGAGGCGGTTCAAGGGTATGTGGATGAAAATGGAAATCTCGTGCAAGGAGGGGAAGGGTATGTGGATGAGAATGGAAATTTCGTGGAAGGAGGGGAAGGATATGTGGATGAGAATGGAAATTTCGTGGAAGGAGGGGAAGGATATGTGGATGAGAATGGAAATTTCGTGGAAGGAGGGGAAGGATATGTGGATGAGAATGGAAATTTCGTGCAAGGAGGGCAGGGGTACGTTGACGAAAATGGGAATTTCATTCCCATGCAGGAAGCGGAGTATGCTGACGGGGAGGAGGGGGGGTATGTGGATGAAAACGGCAACTACGTGGGGCATGGGCAGCAGGGGGGAGGGTATGTGGATGAGGATGGGAATTATGTGGAGCAAGGGCAGGAGGGGTATGTGGACGAGAATGGAAATCCTGTGGAGGCGGTTCAAGGGTATGTGGATGAGAATGGAAATTTCGTGCAAGGAGGGGAAGGGTATGTGGATGAGAATGGTAATCCTGTGGAGGGGGGTCAAGGGTATGTGGATGAAAATGGAAATCTCGTGGAAGGGGGGGGCCAAGGAGGCTATGTGGACGAGAACGGAAACATCGTGGAAGGAGGGCCAGAAGTGTACGTGGACGAGAATGGGAGCTACGTGGCAGAGCAGGGGGGGCAGGGCGGCCAGGGGGGATTCATGGACGAGCACGGTAACTTCGTGGATGGGGGGCAAGAGCAGGGTTATATGGACGAGAATGGGAACTACATCGGACAGCAGGGGGAAGAGGTGGAGGGGGAGGGAGACGGCCCAGTGAGCCCCATGGGTCTTATGGCTGGGCAGGGCATGATGGGGGGGGGGCATGCACCCATGAGCCCGGGGTTCGGCCCCATGAGTCCCATGGCTCCTTTATCGCCCTCGTCCCCCATGGCCCCTACCAGTCCCATGGGTGCTGCATCGGGGGACCAGTATCTGACCCAGGGATTTGGGCAGGGGTATGGGCAGGGGCAGGGGCAGGGGCAGCAGTATTACGACGATGGGCAGGGGGAGGCTGGGCCTATGAGCCCCATGTCCCCGTATGGCATGGATGGGCACCAGCAGCAGCAGCAGCAGTATGGCATGGGAGCTCTAGGCAGCCCTATTGCAGGAGGCGGAGGGGGAGGGGCGTTTCCCCCAAGCCCTAGCAGTCCCCACATGCCTATGCACCCGCCTTCCCCCCGGCAGCTGTTCACACAGCAGCAGACCCAGCAGCAGCAGCAGGGGCAGAATCGTCGCATGATCCGGCACGACTCGTCTCGCTCCTTTGACGACCGGTCCTCAAACAGAATGCAATTCACCGATGACGATGGCCGGCCATTCTCTGGTGCTGCTGGCGCCGCTGCTGCTGCTGGTGCTGCTGGTGCTGGTACTCCCCCCGGTCTCTCCCCCACTGCCTACTCCCCTATAGGGTTCTCCAACCGAGCACCCCCCCCTTGGGGGTCTGGGGCAGGAGGGGGAGGCGGAGGGAGAGGGGGAGCGCACAGGCACGGGAGCAAGTCATACGGGGGGGAGATGGATAGATATACAGGGAGGGAGCGGTGGGCTATGGGGCAGGGGATTGAGCTAGAGAGGCCCAAGAGCCGGCAGGGGGGGTATGATGAGAATGGGCGACCGTTGAGCAGACGGGGGTCGAGAGAGGATGAACGGCCACTGAGCCGGCACGGGGAGAGGCCCAGTAGCAGCAGGTCGTTCCGGGGGGGATATGAGGGGATGTTGTCCCCGCAGCTCCAGCCACAGCAGCAGCAGCAGCAGCAGGGGATGGGTAGCGCCAGCAGCAGCATGCTTAGCGGATCGTTCCAAGAGCGAGGGTCGTTTCGAGAGAGGGGGTCGTTTCAAGAGAAGGGCTCGATGCAGGAGAGAGGGTCATTCCGAGAACGAGGGGGGGGACAGGGGTCGTTTCAGGAACGAGGCTCGTTCAAGGAACGGGGATCCTTCCATGAAAGGGGCTCGTTCCGAGAGAGGCCGGGGCAGGGGGGGATGGGCATGGGGATGGGGGGGGTGCGCTGAGCCCGAGAGGGGGAGGAATGGGGCAAGGAGAGGAGGAGGACCCTTATGCCGAGGAGGCTTATATCTCAGAGAAAATGCCCACGCTTCGAGCTGAAGGGCTACCGGCTGCCGCTCGTGGGAGTGGTAGTGGAGGGGGCGGAGATGGAGGGGGGGGTGCGTTTGCCCGGAAGGTGTCGGGCAGGAGAGACGGGCATCAGGCCGAGGAGTTTGCTTTTGGGCAGGTGGGAGGGATGGGGGGCGGTGGGGAGTACGATGGCGATGATGGGAACATGCAGGGAGGGTATTATATGGGGGGAGGGAGAGGGGGAGGAGGGATGGACGCTGTACCTGAAGAGGGGGAGGAGGAATACGAGGAGGGGGAGGAGGAATACGAGGAGGGGGAGGAGGAGGAAGATGTGCCAAGCCCGGATATGGTTACCAGAACGACCAGTGTGAGATCTAGCCGGTCTGGGGGGTCTAGGTACTCGAGAGATGGTGCAGAGGGGGGGTTGAGTGGAGGGAGCGAGGGGGAGGGGGAGGGGAGTCCCATGGGAGGAGGGTTTGGGTATGGTGCATCTCCTGCTGCTGGCGGTGGCAGCGGTGTTTCAGGGGGTTATGGAGGGGATTATGGAGGGATGGGTGGAGGGGGCTTGGGAGGCGGAGGAGGAGGAGGAGGAGTGGGGGGTGCGGGGCAGTACAGTGAGTTCGGGGGAGGGTTAGGGTTAGGGTTGATCGGAGGGGAATTGGGGCCTGTACCTGAGGTGGATGAGGACGCATTAGAGGAGGAGGAGGAAGAGGAGGAGGAAGGGGGATTTTCTGCAGGAGAGTTTGACGGGAGGCAAATAGAGGAGAGCGGGCCGGGGGAGAGTGAAGTGGAGGTCGAGGAAGGGGAGGTGGACGAGGCGGAGGAGGAGGAGGAAGGGGAGGAGGAAGGCGAGTATGAGGGGGAAGGGTACCATGAGGAGGAGCCTGGGGAGTTTGGGAGCCCGATTGGCATGGGTGGGGCGGGGGCGATGGGGAGGTATGAGATGGACGCCGGAGGAGAGGACTTTCAGCTGCAGCCACAGCAGGGGCAGGGAGGGCAGGGAGGGCAGGGAGGGCAGGGAGGGCAGGGAGGGCAGGGAGGGCAGGGAGGGCAGGGAGGGCAGGGAGGGCAGGGAGGGCAGGAGGAGGAGTTTTCGCAGTGGCAGAAGCAGCTATCCTCTCAGATGTACTCCCCTAGGCCCCAGGTACCAGCTCACCTCATGCAGCAGATGGGCGTAGGCATGGGCATGGGCATGGGCATGGGCATGGGCATGGATGCAGGCACAGACCCGCTCATGGCTCACCAGCAGCAGCAGGCGGGAATGATGCATCTGGGAATGCTGTCCCCCCGACCAGACAACAGCCAGCAGCTGTTAGTGCACCCGCCACTGCTGCAACCACAGGGACTACCGGGTCAGGGGCAAGGGCAGGGGCAGATGCAGCAGCAGCAGCAGCAGCAGCAGGGGCAGGGCGCAGGGCATAACCACCAAGCTCCTCTGCAGGCAGTGCAGCCTCTGCAGCCGTCCCCACCTGCCAAGAAACGGTCTCCCAGACAACAGAAGCAGCAGCAGGCGCAGCAACAGCTGCTGCAAGCACAGAAAGCTGCCACTGCCCCGCTCCCCCCCAGCCAGCAGCAGCAGCCAGTGCCACCAGCGATGGTGCAACAGCAGGGGCAGATCACTCCGCAGCCCCCACCTCCTGCCGCTGGGGGGCAAAAGGGAGGGAAACGGAGGCCGCAGCAGAGGAAGGGGTTGAAGAAGAACCAGCAGGGGGCAGCACAGCAAGGGGAACAGACTAGCCAGCAGCAGCTACAGCAGCAGGAGGGACAGCAGCAGCAGGGGCAGACTGGGATTCCGAGCGCTGGAGTTAGTGCTGGTGCTGGTGGCGCTGTGGCCGGTGGGTCTCTAGCTGCTACTGATGGTGGTAGTGAGAGTTTGACTGGAGTAGGAGCAGGAGCAGGGGCGCAGCAGGGTTCTGGTAAGAAAGCAGGGAAGAAAAAGAGCAGTGGCAAGGGAAAGTCGAGCAAGAAGGGAGTCCAAAGTAAGGAGCAAACTCAGGAGCAACAGCAGCAGCAGCAGCAGCAGCAGCAGCAGTCGCCTACTGCGATCAAGTCCCTAGAGAAACTAGATGCGCTCAAGTCAAGTGCTCTCGCACCGCTATCCACCAAGAAGAAGGGGCTCTCCCCCGCAGGAGCAGCAGGTGCAGGGGCACAGGGAGCGAGGGGCACAGCGGGCAGCAGGGGAGGAGGGGAGGAGGGAGCCGTGGTAGGCGGTGAGAGGGTGTCGATATACGAGGGTATGACCCCTAGGCTGAGTGCGTACGACCCCTGGGAAGATGAGGAGACTCGCATGCTTGCTGCTGCAGAAGCAGCTGACACCAGTGCAGGAGGGGGGGCAGGCGAAGCAGGAAGGCCCACTGTTTCTCCTGCTTCTGCTGCTGCTGCCGCTGCCGCTGCTGCTGCTGGTGTTGATGCCCTGGGCTCGCCGTTCCAGTGGCCTGCAGTGGCCCCTTCGTTCTCCACTCTTGCCACCCCGCCTGCTGCTCTCAGTGCACTAGGAATGGTCGGCAGCAAGCAGTCCAAGCGGAAAGGGAAGGGCGCTGGCAAAGGGTCTAAGAGCGCTGAGGGGAGGCTACTGGGGCGAGGGGATGGGGAAGGGGAAGGGGAAAGGCGGGCAGGGAGGAATGGCGGGGTGAGTGAGGAAGCTGCTGGCTCGACTGGGGGGAAGGAAGGGAAGGGAAGGAGGAGTCGGGCAAGTGGTGCTATTGCCGAAGCTAATGTTATAGCGAACGAGAGGGTTAGCGCCAACGGGGGGGGTAGCATTAGCAGTAGAAGTAGTATTATCGAGGCAGCTATTAGGAAGGGACTGGAGAAGCATGGTAGGAACGTGCATGCGGATCTCGCTGCTGCTGTGGTGACAGCAGCAGCAGCAGCGGCAGCAGCAGCGGTAGAAGCAGCAGCTAGAACGCCCGGGACTTCTATTGCTTCTGCAGCCGCAGCAGCAGCTGCAGCGGCGGCGGCTGCAGGAGCAGGCGCAGTGGGGCAGAGCGCGGCTGCTGCGAAAATGAGACGGCGTGTGAAGAGGGGGTCTGTATCTCCTGTTTCTCCAGAGCTAGACGCATCAGCAGTAGGAGCAGCAGAAGGAGCAGGGGGGATGGCAGAGCTCACAGGGAAGCACCTTCAGCAGCAGCAGCAGCAGCAGCAGCTTCACAACTCCCTACCTGCTGCTGCCAGGGTGCTGAAAGCTAGCTCGCTTCTGGCAGGGCCTGGCACCAGTGCAAGTCCTGCTGCTGCTGCTCCTGCTGCCCCTGCTCCTGCCGCCACTGCTGCTGCCTCGCCTGCTGCTCCCGCAACTGCTAGTTCTGCGTCCTCAACTGGAGCAGCACCGGCAGCAGCAGGAGCAGCAGCAGCAGCGAGAGGCATGCCGCGTGGTGACTCTGCCATATTTGACTCTCTGCCCATGGGCCCTGTGCAGCTGCAGGGGTACTACGCTGGGGAGGACGGCATGCTGAGGAACAGCCCGGGCAACGGCAGCAGCCACGGTGGCAACGGTGCCGGCACTGTCACTTCAGTCGCAGGGGGAGTGGGAGCGGCAGGAGGAGCAGGCGGAAAAAGGGGAGCAGGAGGAGCGGGAGGAGCGTCGCTTGCAGAGGGTCCGGATTCGTTTGAGGATTTGAATCTGGAGGAGATAGGGACAGCGGAGACGGGAAGGCAGCTCGTGTTTGCAGGCCAGGCGGTGCAAGTGCTGGATCGGCAGCAGCAGCAGCAGCAGCAGACGGTGCTGCAGGGGGGGGTGTCGGGTCGCAAGAGGAGCAGCAGCAAGGAGGCAGTGGCTAGCACGCGGCGCCAGCTCTTCCCGTCGCCGCAGCAGAAGAGTAAGCATATCGTCGCAGCTCTTCCGTGGAGGGACTTGGCAGGAGATCCTCGCGTGACTTGGATGCTTGGCTTGGCTCTGTGAATCTCTTCGTTTCTCCTATCCCTCCTTGGATGGATCGCTTGTTCTCTTGAACCAGATTGATTCGTGCATTCTCGTCCCTCTCGCTTCTGCTCTCTCTCCTCGCCACTCGCCACATAATCCTAAGACAACACCAAGACACCTAAAAAAAGCAGTTGCATGTCCCCCTCCTCTTTCCCCCTTAATCGTCCCTCCGTCTCTCCCACCCCTTCCCCACCCCCTCCCCCTCCCGCCCACCCGCCACCCCCCTCCAGCAACAGTCCCGTACTTCGGCTCCTTCTCCCCAGCCTCTCTCCTCCACTCCGCGCAACTCCTAGAGCACCAGCAGCAGCGCTCCCTCGGGTTCTCCGCGCTCGACCGCTCTCTCCTCACTGCCATCCTCGCATCCCTCGACTCCCCTCGCGACTGGCTCTCCTTCTCGCTCGTCTGCAAGCCGTGGCGCGCCGTGGCCTACCACGGGCTGCGCTCCCTCCGCCTCGTCCGCGGGAGACGAGTCACCCTCGAAGGGCTTATCCGCGCCTTAGCACACTGCCCGAACCTCACATGTCTGGACATCCCTGGTATGTGTTTGGACCAGCCAGTGGGGAACGAGCTGCTGTGCACGATTGGGTACTCGTGCCCGGAGCTGAGGCGGTTGTCTATCGGGGCGGATCCGGAGCTGGGGTCGACGTTTCAGGAGAGCGGGCTCGCGATGCTGTTCTCGGGGTGCACTAATCTGGTGGAAGTGAAGATAGAGGCGTTTCGCAGGCAGCACTCGCGCACGAATGGGGGGGCTGGTGCCAGTGGGAGCAGCGGCAGCGGCGGCAGCAGCAGCAGCAGCAGCCGTGTCAGCGGTGGTGGTAGCAGCAGTGGTGTTGGAGGTGGTGGTGGTGGTGGGGTGAGTCCAGGAGGGGTGGTTATCAGGGGCACAGACCCATCTCTCGTCAGAGTTTTATCCACGACCACACCTGCATCCCCATCGACCCCAGCAGCAGCAGCAGCAGCAGCAGCGTCATTAGGAAAAGCAGCATCAGCCCCAGCAGCATCAGTCGCAGCAGGAGCAGCTTCAGCATCGGCATCATCAGCCATTGCCACAGCAGCAGCAGCAGCAGCAGCAACTCCTAGCACAGCAGGCGACTGGGACATCTCCTATATCCCAGAGTCCCTCGGCGAGCTCTCAAAGCTGCAGTCCCTCTCGCTCAACTTCCACAACGGCCAGCACCACGTGCGCCTCCCAGACTCCATAGCCAACCTCACCGCTCTCCACTCCCTCGAACTCTCCTTCCTCTACCCAGCCTCCCTCCCGCCCTCCCTCTGGACCCTCACCAACCTCCAAACCCTGCGCCTCATCGGCTGGAAGGGACTCGCTTTCCTCCCCAACTGCATAGGAGAGCTTCGGAGCCTTTGCACGCTGGACCTGCGCTGCTCCGAGCTGGTCGACCTGCCCCCGTCGGCCGGCTCGCTCCCTTTCCTGCGAGAGGTGGTCTGGGAGACGCGGCGCACGCGGGAGATGGAGCTCTACGGGTCCTCTGTCCCCCCCTCCATCATAGCCTTCTCTGACATCACCTGCCTGACCCTCAAAAACGTCTGGACGGCGTCGGACGACCTGCAGCACCTGACCTCGCTCACTCGGCTCGAACTCTGGGGCGCAAAGGGGCATCTGAGGGTGCTCCCGGAGTCCCTAGGCGAGCTGGATAGGCTCGTGCATCTGGACGTGCGGGGGTCGTTCCGCGTCGTGCCCGCTTCTGTCGGCCGCCTGCGCCGCCTCGAGACGCTCATGCTGCTCAGCGAAGTTTTGGAGGTGCTGCCCGCGGAGTTCGGGCAGCTGACGAATCTCCGCGAGCTGCGCCTCGACGGGTGCCGGTCCAACCCCCGCTTGCCCGCTTCCCTGTGGGGTCTCCACAACTTGAGAACCCTCTCCATGCCCTGCGATCGCGTCCCCGAGGAGATAGGCAACCTCAACTCCCTCCACTCCCTCGCAATTGAGTCTGATACCGCCCGATCGGTCGGCAACATCTCCCTCCCCACCCCCATCGGCTGGCTCTACGAGCTTAGGGAGCTCCGCCTGGTCTGTCCCTTCGTGCGCTCCCTCCCGTCCTCCTTCGTCCTTCTCGGTAACCTCGTGGACCTCCAGCTACAATTCTCCGGGCCACTGCCCAAGAATTTCGGCGAGCTGAACTCGCTGCAGCGGCTCGTCCTGGACAGCCGGGAAGTTTACGCGCTGCCCGAATCCTTCGGAGACATCCGCACGCTCGAGTTCCTCACACTCGTCTGCGAAAAACTTGCGTCGCTTCCCGACTCCTTCGGGAGCCTCTCCTCGCTCCGCTCGCTCGCCCTCGTCCACTGCACAAATCTTTCCACGCTGCCCGTATCCTTCGGGAAGCTGAGTAATCTTTCCCGCTGGGAGGCACAATGCAAGGAGCTCTCATGGTTACCAGTGTCCATTGGCAATCTCGACTCGCTCCAAAGCCTGGACCTTGAGAGTGACGCACTCACGCAGTTACCAGACACCTTTGGTAACCTGCGCTCGTTACGGAGCCTTCGGCTGGCGTGCCCTGCGCTGCGCTCGCTACCTGCTAGCTTCCGGAACCTTCCGGACCTCGTGCAGGCGAACGCAGGAGTGGATTCCCTAATGCTGCAGTAATGCCACCGCAGTGGTGCTGCCTTGATGCTGCAGTGGTTGATGGCACTGAGATCCAGCACAGCAGCACTAGTGGGAGGAGTACCCCTGTGCCAGGAGTTTCCGGTGTCGTGTGGAGCGCAGGCTGCAGAATGATGTGTCCTCTCCGCTGCGCTGCTATCAACCCATTGCTATGCTATGTCTGGAGCTAGCTCCCTCTCCCCCGCTTCTTGTGCCATTCCGTTTACCTTCCCGTTTTTTCCCTTGGTGTTTCCGTCCTTGCTTTCACTTCCCTTTTGTTGTTGCGTATGCTGCTGACCATTGCCCTGGTTATTCTGTGTTGGAAGAATCTAGCAGTTGAGTGCATTAGACCACTTAGGGATGCATTGTGGGCTTAGTTGAATAGCATAGATGGGGCAGATAGGGTGGCTATAAGGGTAACGAGTGTAGCTTTTGGGCCTAAGAGGCCTTTCCTGGTTTGAACCGATCCATTAATGTATTTATGTGCTTGAGCTAATAATGCCTTATCTATGTAATGTTTTAAGGTCAGTTTCCGTAGGCTTACCTAACGCCGTAGCCAGATAGCTTCGTGCGTGTACTCAAAGACACTAGTACGGTATATCGAAGTCCGACACGCCGAATCACGAGAGTCCCTAGAATCAAGTCACCGTAATCAACCGTTTTAAAACAGGCATGAAAAGGTTGACCTTTCTTCACCGCTCTGTTCCGCGTGATTGCCTAACCGAGCAAAGTCTACACCGTCTTTAAACTCACTGTACCCCCCACGTCCGTTCGAACACCCCTGCGTTCGAGAGCTAAGGCTACACGCCCTAACGGGAGCCACTAATCCAGTCGGGCATGGCTTAGTCGCTCAACCAGGGAGCCGCACTAAGGGGCCTCCAGTTCGCTTTTTGTTTCGCGCGGCGTTCAGAGAGACGAGCCTTCACCTCCAGTTCTCAGTACCCGGAATATCACCAGCCGCAGCAGCAGCCGCAGCAGCAGCAGCAGCAGCCGCGGCAGCAAAGAAAGCAGTCGCAGGAAGGTTGCCGAGTCTGCCACAATGACGGAGGTAAGAACAGGGTATGGGCTTCGTTCGTAGTGAATCATGCCGCCTAGTGAGACCTGATTACTGTCGTTGCAGGTCGCTCCTTCCGCCGTTCGCTGTGTGCGAATGTTGCGTGGATGGCGAAAAATCTAGGGTTACCCCAGCTACGGTAGCCGCAGCTCGCCTTTGGTCGCCGAAGGGTAGAACGCCGAGTCACGTCGCCGCATGTTCCGTTGGGCTGCACCTCCTTGGTTTTGAGTGACTTTGATTTGAGTCCACTCCACTCAAAAGTCACCTCGCCACCTTCCCTGCCGCACCTTCAGTCCACTGCACCTTACGAGGACCTACCGCACCCGCCTCTCCTCCCTCCCTCTCTCCAGCCTCTCCTCCCTCCCTCTCTCCCGCCATTCCTCCCTATCCGCTTTTGAGGCGCCTCAAACGCACCCTCCTCTCCTCCCTCCCTCTCTCCATCCATTCCTCCCTATCCTCTCCCCTCCCCTCTCCTCCCCTCCCCTCCCCTCTCCTCCCCTCTCCTCCCCTCTCCTCCCTCCCCTCCCCTCCCTCCCCTCCCCTCCCCTCCCCTCCCCTCCCCTCCCCTCCCCTCCCCTCCCCTCCCCTCCCCTCCCCTCCCCTCCCCCCGCCCCTCCCCTCCCCCTTCCTAAATTTCCAGTACTGGGTGAGCCAGGGGCAGCACTGGTGCGATTACTGCCGCATCATTCCTCCTCCCTTGGACACCCCTACTCCTCCCCATCCACGATCGCACTCTCCCCCACAACCCACCCCCCTCCCCGCCCCCCACCAGTACTGGGTGAGCCAGGGGCAGCACTGGTGCGAGTACTGCCGCATCTTCCTGGCGAACAATGCGGCGTCCATCCGCATGCACGAGGGCGGCACAAGGCACAAGGAGGCGGTGGCGACGAAGCTGAGCGCCATCCGCAGGGAGGGCAAGCAGAAGGAGCGCGAGAAGGAGGAGGCCGAGAAGGCAATCGCGGCGATTGAAGAGGTGAGGAACTAAGAAGGGAGTTCGGGGTTTGGAGGAAGCAGAGGAGAAGGGGGGGGGAGAAGGGGGAGAATAGGAGGGGGGGGATGGAAGGGGGAGGATGGAAGGTTGTGGGGTGTGAGCCTGTGAGTTTGTGAGGCACGCGGCACAAGGAGGCGGTGGCGAAGAAGCTGGGCGCCATCCGCAGGGAGGGCAAGCAGAAGGAGAGGGAGAAGGAGGAGGCCGAGAAGGCCATCGCGGCGATTGAAGAGGTAGGCACAATGGGAAGAAAATGGAGGGAGGTTGGGGGTAAAGTTCTGGGGGGGAAGGCAAGGGGAAAGGGGGGGTGGGGGGTGCAAAGGGGGGGGGGATGCGGGAGGATGGAAGGGTGCGGGGTGCTGGGCGGTGGGAGCTGGAAGATTGTGATGGGTTGTGTGAGAAAGAGAGAGAGGATGGAGGGGTGTGGGGTGCCAGGCCTCTCATCCCCCCCGTCGCCCCCTTCCCCCTCCCCCCTGCCTTCTGCAGGCGGCGAGGCGGCAGGACGACAAGGATGTGGCAGAGCAGCGGCGGCGAGGGGTCGAATGCCCCCCTTTCACAGCTGACCTGCTTGTACTGATCTCCCCTCTGCCTTTCCCCTCTCTCCCTCTCCCTCCTTTCCTCAGGCGGCGAGGCGGCAGGACGACAAGGACATGGCGGAGCAGAGGGGGCGAGAGGTCTGACGACCCCTTGTTCCGCAAGCTGCATGTCCGCATCCCCCCCATCCCCCCCTCCTTTCGCCCCCCTTCCCCCTCTCCCTGCCTTGCACAGGCGGCGAGGCGGCAGTACGACAAGGACGTGGCAGAGCAGAGGCGGCAGCAGCAGGGCTCGGAGGTGCAGCAGCACAGAGCGGCTGTGGCTGCTGCGGTCGCTGCTGTGGACGCCACTGCTGCTGCTGCTGCTGATTCAGCAGGAGGGGAGCCGACCATCCCCCCTCCACCACCCCCCCCTCAGTCCAAAATTGTTGCCGCTGATGGTACGCGGGTGGAGATGAATGGTATCAATTCGCACTAGCCACGTCCTCCCATATACTCCCAGCCTGTAAATGACAACTCCCATAGAATTCTATCAATATCATGTTGCCTTCCTCTCCAACCCCTCCCACTGCCCCGAACCACACTCTCCCCCCCCCGTCCCCCCCTTCCCCCCGCGTCATTCCGCTCGTCTCCCCCTCCCCCCCAAGACCTTGATTTCTTTCCCCCATCACTTCGAGGTGACTTTTGAGTGGACTCAAAAGTCACCAAGACCTTGATTTCTGTCCGCCATCACTTCTCTACGAGCGTGGGTGTTGGAAGACAGCAGCGGTTACCACGAGGGCTACTTCTATGAATCCAAGTCGGGGCTCTACTTCTCGGTCGACTCAAGAACATCCCGTCCACTCCTCTTCGTCTCTCTCCTCTTCTCGCTCCCGTCGATCCATCAGAGTGGGTGCTGGAAGAAAGCAGCGGCTACCACTACAGCCACCGCTCCGGCTACTTCTATGACTCCAAGTCGGGCCTCTACTTCTCAGATGCCATCGGTGAGTGCTGTTATGCTTGTTTTGAGTCAGCTCAAACCGAAGCGACTATCATACTTCTCATATGCCATTGGTGGGTGCTGTTATGCTTGTTTTGAGTCAGCTCAAACCGAAGCGACTATCGTACTTCCCAGATGCCATCGGTGGGTGTCGTTTCGGCTGCTGCGATGCAATGAGGACATAGCCTCCGTAGTGCCAGCCCTGGTAGTCTGTACTGTAGACTGTAGTATTACCAGACCATGTCATGTCTCGATAGTAGTTGCCATGTTATGCTTGTTTTGCCATGAGCCATGTCATGCTCATCTCCTCCTCTCCGCCCATGCCTCCGCCCCCGTTGTCAAATGATATAAGGTTGGTTTTGAGGCATCTCAAAACCAACCTTATATCACATTGTCAAATCACATTCCCGTCCCTTCGTCCCTCCCCCTTTTCCCCTCGATCCTTCCCCTAGCACACAGGTCGTTGGTGGTCCAGTCACCAGGAAGTTTCTGCACCAGGAAGGCCGCTTGAGTGCTTCCTCCCAACCAACGCTCTTCCCCCTCCATTTCCCCACGCTCCCGCCCCCTCCCCGCAACCCTCCCCCTAGCACACAGGTCGTTGGTGGTCCAGTCACCAGGAGGTTTCTGCACTCACAGTAGCTTCCGTCAGAAAGGCGGCCTCTCAAGTTTTTCCCCGCACCTAGTGCCCTTGTCCCTTTCCCCTTACTTTCCCCTCCCTTCCCTCTCCCCCAACCCCCCCCACCCTGCTCCCGTCCCCTACCCGCCCTTCAACCCTTCCCCCTTGTCCACAGGTCGTTGGTCCAGCCATCAGGAGGTCTCTGCACTCTCAGCAGCCTCCCCCAGAAAACCCTCCCCAGCTTCTAACTCCCAACAACCCGCTGCGGCTACCACAGCTGCCCGAAATAATCCTGCAGGGGCAGGCGGGCCGGCCCCAGGCCTGGTCCGGGCAGCTAAAAGGCCGGTGGGAGGGAAGGTTGTGGCAAAGGGAGTGGCTTCGTCTGTTGCGTGTGATCCGAATGCGAGGAAGCGGGGGCGCAAGGTGAGTGAGGAGGAGGAGAAGGCTTTAGCTGCTAGGGAGGCAGCGCGGAGGAGGACGCAGGAGAGGGAGAAGAAGAGCCTCGGGCTTTACTCCTCGTATTGATACAATGTACTATGTATCGATGATTGAGTCTGTGGGTTGGAGGATATGGCGGGATTGGCTTTACGGTAATACCAAGTGTAGAGGAGGATGTTGGGTTACGAGGAAGGGGTTGAGAACAATTATCTGTTCCAGTTATTGCTCCAGAGATGTGTTCAATGGTTTCTCATTGTGACTAACATGCTTCTTGTGCCAAACATTTTTCTTGTGCCTAAACACGACAAAACACTCTGCAAAATGCCTTTTTGTGCTACATGGGCATCAAATTGGTTGGGGAAAAAAACCACTACCATATACAGCGTACAAGCGAGGGGAAGCAACCACAGAGCAACCACATAGGATAATCTGGGGGCAAAGGAGAGGTGACAAGGGCAGCAGCAAGGAGGGGGGCGAGAAATACCAAAACTACCGCTAAGACACACTTCTACTTGTGGACATCCTTCAGGGTGGAAGAAAGAGACTCTGGTATGATATGCACAATGCAGCAGGCATTGGGACAGGCAGGCAGGCATCAGGATCAGAAAGCTGAGTCTGCGCAAGTGGCGGAGGCAGGCACTGGCGGAGACCAGCGCAGAAGCTGCAGTTGAAAGCAGCTGGCTTACAGCCGCGCCTCAGGCACCAGCTGAGTGATGTAAGGGTACGCGTCCAAGGTCAGGAAATCCCCCAGGGTCGGCGCCAGGCACTGGCTCGCAAACAGTGCCGCCGCTTCCTGGAACCTCCCAGCGGCGAATCTCTTAGGCCCGACCTCCTGCTGAATGCGCTGCACCTCCTCCTGGACCACCTGACTGAACAGCTCCTTGGTCACCTTCACCGGGACCAGCTCACCGTCCAGCACCGCTCCGTACCGCAGCCACTGCCAGTTCTGCACGCGGCTGATCTCAGCCGTCGCGGCGTCCTCCATGAGGTGGTAGAGCGGGACGGATCCGGACCCGGTCATCCATGCCTCGATGTACTGAATCCCCACGCGTGTGTTCACACGCAGCCCGTCGAGGGACTTGGTCCCCGTGGGCATGGCGACCAGGTCCTCTGCGGTGACCTTGACGTCCTCGCGCATGCGCTCCAGCTGGTTGGGGCGCGGCATGCCACGGTCGAACACCTCTAGGACCAGCGGCACGAGCCCGGGGTGCGCCGCCCACGTGCCATCGTGCCCGGCCGCCACCTCCCGCTGCTTGTCCGCGCGGACCTTCGCGAACGCGGCCTCGTTCGCCGCGGGGTCGTCCTTAATCGGGATCTGCGCCGCCATGCCGCCCATCGCGTGCACACCGCGCTTGTGGCACGTCTGAATCAGCAGCTCCGTGTAGCTCTTCAAAAAATGCTGAGTCATCCCCACCTGGTGCCGGTCCGGGAGGAGCCGGTCCGGATGCGCCCGGAAGGTTTTGATGAAGCTGAAGATGTAGTCCCACCTGCCGCAGTTAAGCCCGGCCGAATGCTGCCGCAGCTCGTAGAGAATCTCGTGCATCTGGAACACGGCCGGGAGCGTCTCGATCAGCACCGTCGCCTTGATCGTGCCACGTGGCACGCCCACGCGGTCCTGCGCGTGCTCGAAGACCGCGTTCCAGAGGGCCGCCTCGCGCGAGTGCTGCATTTTGGGCAGGTAGAAGAAGGGGCCTGCGCCGCCGTGAGTCGCGCGGAACTTGGCCTGGTTGTGGAAGTAGTAGAGGCCGAAGTCCATCAGGCACCCGGGCACGGGCTGGCCGTCCACCTCGAAATGCGCCTCTGCGGGGGTTAAAAGCAATGGGAGGGAACGAGGGCAAGCGTGACAGAGGATTAGGAGGATTACTAGGAGTAAGAGAGATTCCTATCAGCCGCTACGGTGGTGAGGCATGATAATATTCCGTTTTATTCCTCCTATTAATTGTCAAAAAACTGCAAAGTCCTCGCAATCAGCACCAGGCAGCTCGGCAACATCGGACGCTCCTTTATCCACTCGTTCTTTCAGCACTGGCGGCAGGATCAAGAAACTAGTACTACTGGTTTGAGCTCGATGCCGCCGTGGCGTACCTTTGAGGTGCCAGCCGCGCGGGCGCACGAGCATGACGGCGGTCTTGTCGTTGAGCTTGTACGTCTTGCGGCGCGCCTTGTCCTCGAACGAGATCGTGCCGTTGACCGCGTCGCGCAGGTTCACGTGCCCGTCCATGATGCGGTCCCACGTCGGCGCCAGCGAATCCTCGAAGTCCGTCTGAGGGGAAGGACACAAACGGACGGTTAATCATGAGCCAAGAGCCAAGGACGATGTGAGCAAACGAAGTCGCGCATGTTCACGTGCCCGTCCATGATGCGCTCCCACGTCGGCGCCAGCGAATACTCGAAAGGAAACAAACGGGCGGTTGTTAATTAGAGGCTAACGAAGGACGACGTGAAGGACAAAGCTCTACTCGCACAGTCATCTGTTCCATGTGCGACCGGAGACAGGTAGAAACGCGAAGGACCAACGAGACAAAAGCCTCACTGTTTTTGAGGCGCCTCAAAAAAAGAAACGCGAAGGACCAACGAGACAAAAGCCTCACCATGAACATCTTGGCGCCGGAGTTGAGCGCGTTAATCACCATCTTGCGCTCCACGGGCCCCGTGATCTCCACGCGGCGGTCCAGCAGCACGGGCGGGGTGGGCGCGCACTTCCAGTCGCCCTCGCGGATGGCCTTGGAGCACGCAGCGAACGTGGGCAGCTCCCCCGCGTCGTAGTGCGCCTGGGTCTCCTCGCGGCAGCGCAGAATGTAGTCGACGCGCGGGCGGAAGGTGCGGACCAGATCCACGACGAACTCCACCGCCTCTGCAACGCGCGGCGGAGGTAAAGAAAAATAAAATAAAAAGAAGAGCGGCGAGAGAGAGAATCAGTACACTGATTGGGAAGCGCAGGAGATTGGGTGATTAGTCCAGCAGGCGATTGGGCGTGACTATTCCAGCAGGCGATGGGGTTCCAGCTTGCAAAAAGCGAGACTGGGACCAATTTCACCTTGCCGATTTTCCACCACACGCGCGAAAGACTCGAATTTCCTGACAGAGCTTCTCCATGGCAGTACCTGGGGTCAGAATCTCCTGGTACGCGGGCTTCAGCACGCCGCGGACGCGAACGCCGGCGGGTAGCTTCACTTGCCGAGTCACCGTCGTGGGAATGCTCTCAGGGTACGAGTAGCCCTCCATGCTGGCCTCTTCACTGGTCTCTTCGCCGGTACTAGATGCTCGAGCCGCAACCGGAACGACGCGAGCTTGCTCGAAGGAACGGGAGGTCGAACCTAACAGGAGGTGGTGGTAATTCTTGCAACGGGTCGTCCTGGAAGGACGGCGAGTAGCAGTGGAGAAGTGGAGTGGAGTGGCCAAGGTGAAATTGGAACTGAAACTGAGAGCGGAAGGCTTCACGGCTACGGATGTGAATGGCGAGCTAGGGAAATTTATACCACCACAACTCGAATAGCTCAGCGCACCAGCAGTAGTGGTCATCGCCATGGCTCTCCTGAGGTGGCTTTGCTGATGATGATGTGGCGGGGAATCCGCAAATGTGGTGTGCGGCTTCAAGAACGCGCGGAAAGAAAACATGGTTCTGCGCGCTGCTGTGCCGTGCCGTACCAGAGAGGAGGAGATGCGCGCGCGCTTCAGGAATTTCCCGCGCGGCGCTCTTCGGGGCTCTCGCGTGACTCGTCCCGTGCTTGCCGCTAGGCTGCGCTGCGCCTGCAAAGCTAAAGCTACGCGCCAGGGCGGGGCTCCCTCCCCTTCACCTCCCGAGCCAAGCCGCCTAATTTCTTGCGCCCGCCTGCTGATGTCAACAGCGGGCCACGCAAGGCCTAGCGCGAAATTCTCTGGGGGTGTCATTTCTCCGTCTGACGTGGCACCGTGCTGATGTCCGGGCCAGTGCTATTTCCATGATGCTGTCGTCGTCGCCCATGGCTCGTCTCAAAACGGAGCGCTGATTGGCGGATTGCAGCTCCCTTGGCCCGGCCCCACCTGCCTGAACGGAACAAAGTACCATGAGGGATGGCATCATGCGAGGAGACTCTTGAGTCTCGAGCCGCTAACTTGAAAGGAGGGACCACTTAGCTGGAGCTGGGCTTCCGCGAACGCAGCAGCAGCTAGGTCCAGCGCAGCTTGAGGTCGTGCTTATGTGGAACTGACCCTTCTGTGCGTGACTTGGCACACCGGCTGAATGTGACAGTGCTCGAGGTGGCAGGGGAAGACCAGGGGTGGAAAGGTGGAAGTGGAATTGACGTCGATCCTGTATAACTACACTTTAATGCATTGAACTGCTAGGACCAGAGCAGGTTAGTTGTAACATGTCCTTAGACACAATCAAAAGTTGATGTCATTAAGTTTCTAACAAATATAATATAGTACTTTTAACAGTTTCTACATTGTTTATGGGGGTGGTCATAGTCTTGCTTAGTATGAACAATATTATGTGTAGAATGTAGTACAGTTCTTAGCACACAGAACGGTGCATTCTGCGAAGTCAGACACTCATCTTATCCAACATCAGATCCTGCTTCCACAGATTCCTGTTCGTTTCACTTCACCACCCTCCCGCTGATTCAAACATCAGATCCCCCCCTCCATTCCCTGCTAATTCACACTGATTCCCGTAGCGCCAACAGGACTGCACAGCAGGCATGGCGGCTCTCGCGTTCATCAGCCGCGCAGCGGCCACTGCTCCGTCCATGCCCTTACGACTCTCTCCCTTTCGTGACAACAACGCAGCGGCTCCGTCAACCCCGCGTCGGCTCTCCCCGCTGCATTCCTCCTCCTCTCCCATCTTCTCCCGCCATAGAATCGAAGTATTCCGGCAGCATTTGATCGGCTCACCTTCGCGGAATCACGTATCCTGTCAGAAATATTTACGAGCGCGTGATACACCGGCAAAAGCACGTGCCACTGCATTCACCTCCGCTTCAGCGACAGCCTCGGGGGCTCCGCAGGGGGAGAGAAAGCGAGTGGTTATAACGGGGGGGAGCAAGGGACTGGGCTACGCCATGGCGGAAGAGTTCCTATCGATGGGCGACTCGGTGGTCATCTGCGGGCGAAACAACAATCGCCTCACTGCTGCCGTCGACGCTCTCCGGCGATCGGAAAAAGCGGCCAACGGGGACGATCTTGATAGCAGTGACGCCGAATTTTCCGCGGAGCCGCCGAGTCTGCGCGTGTGGGGGATTCGGTGCGACGTGGCGAGCGCGGCGGATCTGGCGGGTCTGGCGGAATTCGCGGTGGCGCGTATGGGCGGCGTTGACATCTGGATCAACAATGCAGGCACGCAAAAATTCACCTTGGGATTCCGCATAAGGCTCACCATTGACGTTCAGTATTGTGAAACCACGTATGGCTGAGACCACGTTGATTTCGAGTACTCATCTCCTACTGGTAAGAGCCACAGGGGGGGAGAATCTCAAGTCACGTTGGCCTGGCACGTCAAGTCATCTCTCATCGTCCACGAGTGGTCAGTGGTCACTCCCCCTGGCTCGCACCACTCGTTCCTGTGGGTCCCTTCTCCCCCCCCCCCCTCTCGCGTGGCACCAGGCCAGGTGACGTCCAAGTCGCTGCTGGCAGACGTGGCCCCTTCCGACATCGCCTCGGCTGTCAGCACCAATGTGCTCGGCTCACTCCTCGGCTGCAGGTGAGCCGCCAACAGCTACATCGTACACATCCCTGCAAGCGCTGCCTGCCCTGTCCCTTCCGCCAAATTGCCCTGTCTCTCTTCTCACCCTTCCCTGCCTACCCTTCTCTGCCCACCCTTCCCTGCCCACCCTTCTCTGCCCACCCTTCCCTGCCTACCCTTCTCTGCCCACCCTTCCCTGCCCACCCTTCTCTGCCCACCCTTCTCTGCCCACCCTTCTCTGCCCACCCTTCTCTGCCCACCCTTCCCTGCCCACCCTTCTCTGCCCACACTTCTCTGCCCACCCTTCCCTGCCCACCCTTCTCTGCCCACACTTCTCTTCCCACCCTTCTCTGCCCACCCTTCTCTGCCCACCCTTCCCTGCCCACCCTTCCCTGCCCACCCTTCCCTGCCCACCCTTCTCTGCCCACCCTTCTCTGCCCACCCTTCCCTGCCCACCCTTCTCTGCCCACACTTCTCTGCCCACCCTTGTCTGCCCACCCTTCTCTGCCCACCCTTCCCTGCCCACCCTTCCCTGCCCACCCTTCCCTGCCCACCCTTCTCTGCCCACCCTTCTCTGCCCACCCTTCTCTGCCCACCCTTCTCTGCCCACCCTTCTCTGCCCACCCTTCCCTGCCCACCCTTCTCTGCCTGCCCTTCCCTGCCTACCCTTCTCTGCCCACCCTTATTCTGCAGAGAGGCCATTCGGGTGATGCGGCAGCAGCAGGCTGACGCACCTGCCGCGTCCTCCTCCTCCACGCCGCTCTATCACATCTTCAACCTGGGGTTCTCCCGGTGGGGAGCGGCGTTCACGCGCTCCGCTGCCACGCACAAGGCCACCAAGATGGCGCTCTCGCAGCTCACCACCAGCCTCAACGACGAGCTCAAGCAGGCAGGTGCGTGCATCTCTAGCTGTCTGTGCATCCACATGTGTCTGTGACTCTGTGCACCAGTATCTGGATCGGCATTCGTCTGGGCATGTCTTCTCGCCTTATTGATCCCCATTCACACGCACAAGGCCATTAAGATGGCGCTCTCGCAGCTCGCCACAATCCTCAACGACGAGCTCAAGCAAGCAGGCGCGTGCATTTGTAGCTGGTGTGTATGTGCATCCCCCTCTGCACGTCTCCTCGCCATGAGGTGTCTCTATTTGCCAAGATGGCGCCAAGGCCTCCAAGATGGCGCTCTCGCAGCTCACCACCAGCCTCAGTGACGAGCTCAAACAAGCAGGTGCGCGCTCCTTTGCGTGTCTGCCAGTGCGTCCCTTCATGTTTCCCCACACATATTTCCTCTCACACGCCTCCGTATCTGCCTCCCCATGACACATGACATGACCCAAACATGTGTTTCAGTCACCCTAGTGGCTGCCTGCCTCCTCTCATGCCTTGTCCAACTCAGCATTCTGCCTGTGGCAGTCCTCTGGCAGTCCTCTGGCAGTCCTCTGGCAGTCCTCTGGCAGTCCTCTGGCAGTCCTCTGGCAGTCCTCTGGCAGTCCTCTGGCAGTCCTCTGGCAGTCCTCTGGCAGTCCTCTGGCATTCCTCTGGCATTCCTCTGGCAGTCCTCTGGCAGTCCCCTGGCAGCCCGTGTCTTAAGAGGTACCCTATCCCTCGCATCACATCGCAGCCACATCGCCCTAGCCCAACCACTGCACCCCATGATGCCACCAGGTCTGACGAGCATAGCGGTGCACAACCTGTCGCCCGGCATGGTGCTCACAGACTTACTGCTCAAGGACTCCACCCCCATTGCGCGCCGATTCTTCAACGCACTCGCAGGTGAGCAGTGTCAAACCTGATAAGAGTGTGCCGTAGCTCTGTGATTGTTTTATTAAAAGAATTTCATATGTGCTGCATTTCCCCTTTGCTCAACTTTGTATTATCTTCTCCCCCCTCCTCCCCCCCTCCCCATGCCCGCTCACTATGAATACCGCACTCTACAGAAGAGCCAGAGACTGTGGCTGCAGCTATCGTGCCTCTCATTCGTTCGGTGGCAGGCCCGAATGAGAATGTGGAGTACATGTCTCCTGTAGATGCCTTTGTTCGCGTTATCACAGGAGTGCCTCAGATCGTCAAAGGTGGGCGCTTCTTTGATGGAAACGGGGACAGAGTTATGCAGCCAGGAAATGAGTATGCAAGCAATGGGGTTAAAAGGCAGTTCTATGACCCGTAGCGTACATGTCTTTACTAAAGCACGAAGTTGCCGTTTTTGTTGTGGTGTGTAGTTTAGAAGGTGGCTAGGTTCTGTTGTTTACAGTTCGTAAGGGCTGTTTGACAAATCATGGCTTAAAATATGCGTTGAAGAGAGATCCGCCAAAAGTTGGGTTTCTAATCCTAAGGTTCTGGGAACCCAACCGGTAATTGGTACGTTTCAGGAAACAGCATAACGTAACTGGAGATGGTATAATTCACAGCAACAGATGTAAAACTGGCCTTTATAACGGCACTTGATTGCACACGAAGCCGCTGATTTGGAAGCATGGTCCCATCCACGTCAGTCATGCCCATGCCAGGTCAGCCTGAAGAGAGGCAGACGCGACGAGGAGATTCGTTCTGCGGTAACCAGCCATGCGAAATAAGCGAGCCCAAAAGTGTGGCCCTTGTACTGTCCACACGGAACTCATCCTCCGGTTTTTGGACCCATCCAAACCTACCAAGACCCAGGCTACATGCCTGCTTTACCTCTTATTAGGGCGTGGTACTTTGGCAAATAAAGCCAAATTTCGCAACTTGGGAATCGCAATTCGCGAAATATCTCGGTGCGAGCGCAACCCGATTCTGGAACATCGGATTTCGCGTTTCGGGTGGGAATTGCAGCTCATCTGGAACATCGGGTTGTGCTCGAAGAATGCGAAGTGCCTGAAATGAAACGCGAAACCTCCCTTATCAGACTCCTGGAACGAATCAAGTTTTGCATTTCGATTTGCTGCTTTCACGCGTAGCGGCGCGAAGCCAGCAGAGTTTTTGAGTTGCGCAACCCGAGTTGCGCATCTCTCTCTGTATGTTCGCCAACTTGTTTGGCGAATATTGACGAGATGCATTACTCTCGTAAGTTACGCAACTCAGCCAAGTTGCACGAACGAGATCTTGTCGAAGTACCACGCCCTCAGCTCTCTCCTGCTGGCTTGTCTTCTGTTCTGTTCTAAACCAACGGCAACTTCTTCACCGGAGTCCCAGCTTTCGTCCCTATCATCCAGCCAGCCACATCCAGTCGCCTTTTCCCATTCGCGACCCGCAAGCAGTTGAACTATATACAGCAGCGAATACCGTAGTAGCCGTTCTTGAGTAAACCAATCATGGCGGACAGCGCCGCGGAGGGTCTGACTGAGGCGCAGAAGCAGCAATATCTTGACCAAGGCAAGGCGACGTGTCTCCGTTGTGTATCCTCTCCGTATCCTTTCCTTGCCTGTGGATCCAGTCTCTCGCCCTTCACTTATGCTTGTTAAGCACCAGCAGCAGATTCTGCGTTTCCTATCGCCAGGAGTTTTTTTTTTGGTTTTTTTTGTTTTGTTTTGTTTTTTGTTTTTTTTTGTTTGTTTTTTTGTTTTTCTTCTTCTTCTTTAAGAAAGAGAGAGAAAAGAGTGAATGCCTTGTCAGGACTCAGAAGTACGCTGGATTTCGATTTCCACGTCACAGATCGCAGTCCTCTCGCTTCCCAATGCTCCCTTCCCGATGCTCCCCGGGCCGAGCAGGGTTCCTGGTGGTGGAGGATTTCGTGTCGGCGGACGACTGCGCACGCATGATGCGGCGAATCGACGAGCTGCTGGAGGGCTTCGACCCCGCCAGCGTCAACATCTTCAGCACGCGCGACCAGGTGGGGCCATTAGTCTCTTCCAGGTGGGCTCATTTACCCCACTGTTCCTTCACTGGCGCTCCGAATTCCTTCTCTTGAGTCGACTCGACCCCGACAGCGTCAACGTCTTCAGCACGCGCGACCAGGTGGGGCTGTTCATTCGCGCTTCCCTGCCCTGGCGTTCTAATCCCTACTTTTACACCTTTTTTTGTTTTGAAAGCTAGGGTACGCACACTTCCATGCACACGCACACTCACACACACACTCACACACACACTCACACACACACACTCACACACACACTCACACACACTCACACACACGCTCACACACACACTCACACACACACTCACACTCACATACGCTGACAGCCTGACACACACCTCCTTCTCCCCCGCCCCCCCCCCCCCGCCCCCCCCTGCCTCGCCGCCCCCTCCCCTTTTCCAACCCTCCACCCCCCTCCCCCTGTCCCCCCCTTCCTTCTCCGCCCCTCTCGGCTCGTTCTCTTAACATGTGACTCGTTATTTCCTCTCCCTCGTTTCCTTGCTTCCTCCGATTGCCCACACGACACGAGACAGGCCCGTCTGACCAACGACCATTTTCTGGACAGCGCCAGACGAGTCTCCTTCTTCTTTGAAGGTATACCAGCCAGTTTGCTTGCAGGTGCCTAGTAGACTCACGTGTTGGCCGTTTGTTCCTTTAACTTTTTGGGCAGAACAAAGCAGCAGCGGCCGTTTCCTGGTCTGTTTGGCCTGAGCTTGACCATCCTCTCCGACTCGTTCTTAAATCCCGTCTCTCCCTGCTGCTGTGTCTCTGTCGTCGTGCCGCGATGATGCCTTGGTTTTGACAGAGAAGGCGTTTGATGCGGACAAGAAGCTGGTGAAGCCGAAGAAGCTCGCAATCAACAAAGTGGGGCATGGTGGGTAACGGGTCGCACGGCATTTCAGGGCATTTTTTAGAATTCTCAAAAATACCCTGCAAACTTAAGAAGCTCGCAATCAACAAAGTGGGGCATGGTGGGTAAGGCAAAACAGGCACGGCATTTCTTAGCCCAAACAGACCAGGAAAACGGGTTTGACACATGGAGGCGCTTTTCTGAGCAGAACGAAGCCTCACAAGCAGTAAATTCTAGATTATGCTACCTGCCAACCCTCTCCCGCCCCGCTCTTTGTTCTTCCCCCACAGCCCTGCACGACTTGGACAGTGTGTTTGGCCCACTCTCGCGCTCCTCCAAGGTCTCCTCCCTCTGCAAGTCCCTGGGCTTCCACCGGCCGCTGCCTGTCCAGTCCATGTACATTTTCAAGGTGCGCTCCATCCATGCCATTTCACTAAGGAAACTGGTCTACGTTTTTCCAGTACAGTGACCACTAGATGGCTGTTGCCCGTCCAGCCCATGTACAGTTTTTAAGGTGCGCCTGAGCTTTATTCTGGCAATAGGAGGACTTGCCTGTACGAGTGAAGAAGAAAGGTGAGAGATCAACCTTCTGTCTCCAGTCGTTGCTCTACCCTCCAGTCCTACCTCTCAGCAGCTTCGCTCCTCCACTCGCCAGTCCCATACCTTTCCTCTCAGATGCTTTCGTCATGCGTCGCTCTGCCATCGCCCACTCCCCCCCCCCTCCTCCCCACCTCCGTCCCTTGCAGCAACCAGGCATAGGCGGCGAGGTGGTGCCGCACCAGGACAGCTCGTTCCTGTACACGGACCCGCCTTCGTGCGTGGGAGTGTGGGTGGCGGTGCAGGATGCCACAGTGGAGAATGGCTGCCTCTACGCACTGCCGGGCTCGCACCGCGGTATGTGGGTGGGTGCGTGCAGGTCGTGTGTGGGCGTGTGGGTGGACGTGCAAGATGCCACAGAGGAGAATGGCTGCCTCTACACACTGCCCGGCTCGCACTGTGGTATGTATGTGCACAGTCAGGTCACACCGTGGGGTAGCTGTGCTGGTGGAGGGTGGGTGGGTGGGTGCATGCAGGTGGTGTCTGTGCTGCGTGTGGATGGCCAATGGCCATGCAAGACGCTACAGTGGAGAATGGCTGCCTAAACGCGCTGCCCGTCTCGCACCGGGGTATGTGTGTGTGGGGGCCTGGAGTGGCTTTGGTGGTGGAGGGTGGACGGGCGCATGCTGGTCGTGCGTGGGCATGTCACGTGTCGGTGGCCATGTAGGACGCCACAGTGGCCGGCTGGCTTTACGTATTACCAGACTGGCACCGCGGTATGTGTGTGGGGTGTGTCGTGTACACATGCTTGTTAGAGTGAGTATGTGTATTCTACGCATTGTTCAGATGGACTCAAGTGCATAAGATAGGTCGAGCCCTGCTCCCCCGCCTCTCATTTTCTCCCTGCACCCTCGTCCCCCAATCTCTCGCACCCCCTGCTTTCCTCTTCCCCCCCCTTCCGCCGTCCCCGCAGACCCCCTGGCCCGCCGGTTTGTGCGGGACGGCAAGGGTGGGGTGGTGTTTGACGCGCCCAGCCCCACATACGACCTGTCCCAGTTTGTGCCTCTCCCAGTCAAGGCCGGCACCGCCGTCATTCTCCACGGCCAGCTCGTGCACTTCAGGTGATTTCTGTTTTGCTCTTCAGGAAATTTTGTTTTTCACTTCATCCTTCCTGTTGTTTTTTTCTCTCCATAGCTCCGATCCCGCCCTTCCCCTGTTCCTCACCCATCCTACGTTTCCCTGTGGGTGTTCCGCTTCCTGGTGCCTACCCTACGGAAATCCGTATATACGGACCCCATTCGCTAACTCCTCATTTCCTGACAACCTCATTTTCTTGCACTGTAGAACCATCCATGATCCATTGATGGTATTTCCTACGTTACTGCCATCCCTACGATCATCCCCACCACCACCATCCCGCACCAGTTACGAGAACAAGTCCCCAGTATCGCGCCACGCCTACTCAATGCACATTGTGGAGTCCGACGGGGCCGCCTATCCCTCCGACAACTGGCTCCAAGTGGCGCCCAGTGACCCTCCGTTCCAGCCGTTTTACCCTGCTGAATCTGCCGCTGCAGCTGCACATTAAGGGTTCTGCTTGGGAAGGTTATACTAAATTCTGGTTGTAGCGCATCAATGGCATTCCAATAGCATCAGCGGGGCAAAAAATCGCCATTGTAGTGTAAATAAGGGTTTTTAGGGGCGCTTTAGAATTTATGTGAGCAGACAATGGTCGCTGCATCAGAGCACCTTATGGAGAATTGGAGGAGCTTTGTGCGCTAACTTCTAGGAGAAAAACTATTTCGTTCAGATAGTCATTTGTGAAGCGGAATCTTCTCGGATAAATGAAACAAGCAGCTTTTGGTGAATCCGAACGACAGCCAAATCCCTAGAGCCAAGTGTTAAATTATATATTGAGTTATATGATTGTTAGGCTTGGTAGGTTACCGAACTTTACTGTAGACAGTACAATTCCCTCCTTGTATGCCTCTCTTTCTATTCCACCACCTTTTCTCTCCTCAACTTTTCTCCTTCCTAAACCTCACGCCTCTCCATGGCTCCTCCTAGCTAAACCTCATGCCTTTCCTAGCTTCCTAGCTAAGCTAGCCTTTTAAAACCCCACGGCAAAATAGCAGAGGGGGGTCCCTCTTGATGTGGGAGGTCGTGAAAAAAGCTAAGTCCCTTTTCAGCGAAAACCAACCCCCGCACAGCAAATCGTAACGCAGAAACGAAACCGAACAAAACAGCATCTGACGAGCTCCCATTGGTGGAACCTGAAAACGAACCCAAGGACACGCGCGAACAGCACGCCCAACAAAAGTTCCGACAGCCCCAAGTCGCAACCGGGCATCGCACAGTCTGACGACCGAAATACGACGGGGTGTGCGAGCGGGAAGCGGAAACAAGGGGTCCCTCGCTTTTCAAGAGGGACCCCCCTCTGCTATTACTGCAATAGAAAAAACCTCCAGTCAAGCAAACCTGGGCCGACCAGCTGTCGAACACCACAACTCACCGCCATCCACACTCCACAGACCTGGGTCGCCACTACTACTAGACGAAGTGGGGACCGCCCACGCTCAGTTTAGCAAACATCATGTGTCCTAGAAGGCGGCAAGCCTCCCAGTCGAGAGCGACCCTAAAAAGACCGCCGCGAAAAGGTAAAAAAAGGGGGCTGCGCAATGCGGCGCTTCTCGTCCAGCGCAACAAGGAAAGAACAGAGCGCGAGACCAGGGTCGGACGGGGCGCCGAAAACATTGAACAACGGGCGGCTCTAATCCTAGCGCGACGCGTCTAAACGGGAGTGCTGCGGCTTGCGGGACCCAAACGACGGTTTTGAGCCTTGTTGCAGAACCTGGAACCTCATATTTATACGGCTGGGGTATTACAATCCTGTTGGGACCAGCGAACACACTCTCCCACGCTTAGTTATGACCCCTCCCCCGCTCTTCGATGCCAGGGGAACGCCTGTGCATGATCATCGCCTCGCGTCTTTCACACATCTCGGTGGCCTGTATGCTGCGCTCTCTGGAACACACACCAGTTCTGTGAGCCCCACACTCCACCTCTCACATTCCTGCTCCCACTGCCCCCCCACAGGTTCTGGAATCGCTAAGCCCTGCCCGCCTGCCCACCGTGTCGCATCCACCAGCCCATAAGCATCAAGTACGCTCACCCTCTCCACACACACTCCTCCTCTCTCTCCCTCTTCCACACACAATCTCTCTCCCTCTCTCTCCCTCTCTCTCTCTCTCCCTCTCTCTTTCTCTCTCTCTCTCTCTCTCTCTCTCTCTCTCTCTCTCCCTCCCTCCCTCCCTCTCTCTCTCTCCCTCACAACCTCACCCTCTCTCTCTCATACACTGCTGCATCCCTTGCCCACAGGTGCCCGTGCTCTGTGAAGGATCTATACGTCATCCACCCAATGCATGCGATGCAATAATCACCAAGTGTAACACACCCTTTTGACCAGTCGTCTTTGGGTGAAACACACCCCCACAGCGTGTCCCAGCACGTCTATGCTCTGCAACTAGCGCGCTGGAACACGGGTGTGTGTGCTGCGCCACAGGAAGCAGCAGGAAGTGGGAGGCAGGAAGCGGGAACAGCGGAAACAGCGATCAGCGAGCAGTGGGGAGCGGCAGGAACCTGGGAGCGGAAAGCGGGAACAACACTCTGCGGCGGGATGCGGGGCGCGGGAATTGGGAACCCCGATGGAGCAGGAAGCCTTCCCGCGGGAAGCATGAAGTAGCGATTAGAGTTTAGCAGCGGGAAGTGGGAAGCAGCGGGTAGCGGCGGGTGGCGGGAAGATAGGCGGGGCAGGATGTGGAGAGGAGCGAGAAGTGTTCCGCAGTAGGAAGCTCGACGCGGGAAGCGGGAAGAGGGAACGCGGGAAGCCGAAAGCACGGGAATTCGGGAGGCACGGGAAGCGGGAAACGGGAGGCGCGGGAAGCGGGAAAGCGAGGGAAAAGTGGGAAGTGGATGCGAGGGAAAGCGGAAAAAGCGGGAAGCGAGGGAAAGCGGGTAGCGGGAAGCATGGGAAAGCGGGAAGCTGGACGAAACGGAACTTTCGCCCTTTATTCCCTTCTTTTATTTCTTGCTCTTTATCGCCCAGGCTAGGCTACACGCGTGAGGAACTCTACTGATAGCCAGTGACGAGACTAAAGTTCGAACTCGGAAATCCTAACTTCACAAATCCCTCTCACCGCTTATCCTTCCATTTTGGCAGTGAATGGGGGGTTGGTTTGTTTTTGCGAATGTGTCAGTTTGCCTTCGAACAATCACGTGTCCCCTTTCTTAGCCACTGCGACGTTGTTTCAGTTCTGTCAGGGTGGATGGGGTTACCCTCTTCATAACCCTCCGAATTTTTTGGCAAATACGCTCGCGCATTTTACATCGCCATGCACGTGGCTATACGCTGTTGGCCGTCCAATTCGGGGATCCTCGTCACTCGTGCAGCTGAAGCACATCCACGCCCACTTTGATGGCCTCGCTCTATTGGCTGCCTGAGTTTACATGCGACGCTGCGTCTCGTCACGCATGACTAGCCCTTGCCCGAAACGTATTTTAATGAGCCATCATTTCACCAGCGGGGTTTTCCGTGCTGTTTCAAAACCTGCCCTGCCCGCAAACTATCCCCACTCTGTCCCCTCGGGCGTATGGTGGGGGGCTCCATCAAGTGGGGTCCCAGCTTGATAACCCCTCTGCTATTTTGCCGTGGGGTTTTAACACCATGTTCCACAAAGTTCAAAACCGGTGATTATTCTCGTATTCCCTACGTCCCAAAAGGGGAAGGGGTGACCAGGAACAGGGGGGGGGTAACCGGGGGACCTCGGTGGGGGAAGCGGCGGAAGGAGACGGACTCATCAAAGGTGACGTCGGGGGAATGAAAGAACCGGTGAGACGGCGGGTGGTAGAAGTGCCAGTCAGACGCGTCAAGGGGTAAGCCGAGGAAGACACAGGGCAGGGTGGGGGTAGTGAGCTTGTCCGTGCCAGAGGCACGAACGTGAGCAAGGCAGCCCCAGACGTGAAACGCAGACGTGTCACCACGGGACCCAGACCAAAGAAGGGTCGGCGAAACCTGAGGCTGCTGGGGGTGCGGCCAGAGGTTAAGCTGGTGAGCGGCGTAGCGAACGGCGAACGGCCACAGAAAATGGGGTGCACCGGCATGGATCATGGAGGTGTGAGCCACCTCCATGACCAAACCGATGCGTCGCTCAGTGACTCCATTCTGCTGCGGGGAGTCCGGCAAGGTGAACGTCTGGGTGATGCCCTCCGCACGACAGAAACGACCAAGGACACCAGAGGCAAACACGCCACCATGGTCGGAGTGGAGACGCAAGACAGGGAGACCGCGGTGGACAAGCGCAGAGACAAGCCTCGGAAGGAGAACGTCAGGCACGTTGGCCTTCCGCTCCAGCGGAAACACCATGGTGTAGCGCGTGTAGTCGTCCACGCGCACTAGGAAGTAGCGCTCTCGACGCGGCCCATGGACGGGGGCGGGGCCCCAGACGTCCATGTGCAGAGTTTGTAGCGGTGCTGCGGTAGGGGGAAACGAGGAGGAGTGAGGGGCATGGCGGAGGCGGCCCTCGACACAGGGCGTGCAAGGTGGGGTTGGGGAGGAGGGAAACTCGGGGAACGACCCGGGGAGGCCTAGGACGAGACCGTGTTGTGACATGTGACACAGACGCGGGAGCGCACGGTGACCTAGGCGGTGGTGCCAGAGAAGAGTTGGGTGGGTGAGAGACCGACGGGAGCAGGCAGCAGCAACCGAGGGAGACGCAGCCACCTGAGGGGGGGTCTGAGCCGGGGGGGTCACCGTGTCCAATGTGAAAAGACCGGACACCGGGTCCCGGGGGAACGTGGAAAAAGGGGGCACCAGTGGCGGCCTCGGTACAGACAGCGTACCGCTTGTGTCCAGGGAACGTACTGGTGACGCCAAGATCCTGAAGGCAGTCGACACCAACTAGGTTCCTGGAGAACGAGGGGATGTGCAGTCCTGTGAGCGAGCCCGAGGGAACCGCCGGGCAGGGGAGGGTGGTGGAACTGCGGGCGACTACTGGGCCGGAGGAGGGGTCAGCAAGAGAGACTGCGGCAGGGACAGGAAGTGGTGTCAACGTGGTCGAGTCGCGGAAGAAGCACCGGGAAGCGCCAGAGTCGAGGGTGAAGGAGAGCGCGGCAGTGGCGGCCGGAGGCGAAGCAGCAGCGGAAGCACCAAGGCTAAACAAAGCAAGGGATCCTACGCCTGACGTTGCACGGAAGTCTAAGCAAGGCACACCTATACTAGGCAACAAGGGGTAATAAGACGGAAGCACACTAGAGTCATCAGCATACATGACATGCAGAGCAGTAACAATCTCATCCATATCCAGAGAAAAAATCTGAACCCTACGACGAAGCAAACTGTGCCAGTCTGGGAGCTTGGGCGACGGGCCGAAACGCTGACGAAACAGGTCGTCCAGGTGTCAGAAACAGCGGACGAAGGTGTGACCGATCTTACCGCAAACGAAGCCATGGCAAGGACCGGTTTGGAGCAGGTACTGACAGCGCGCGTCACCCGAACCACCACCCGGCAGCCCACCACGCGCACCACCACCACGTCCAGCGCTACCACCAGCGCCAGGCCACCCGGGCGGGAGACCACTCGCCCGTCTCTGCTGCTACTGTGGCTGCTGCGGCTGCTGTGACTGCTGCGGCTTCTGCGGCTGACGCGAGTCCGGCTGCAACACTGGCGGCTGCTGAGACGGCTGCTCGGCTGCACATGTCAGGGTCCCCTCGTCCGCACCACCACCAGGAGACCAAGCTCCAGCACCACCTAGACTTGCACGCCCACCCCTGCTGCCACGCCCAGCCTTGGGGCGGTGACCCTTCAC